CCTTACCAGTACGGCGGTCGATCTTCTCGAGGAGCTCGGCGAACTTGCAGGCAATGTGGGCAGTGTGGCAGTCGAGGACGGGGGCGTAGCCGGCACCGACCTGACCGGGGTGGTTGAGAACGATAACCTGGGCGGTGAAAGAAGCGGCGCCAGCAGGGGGGTCGTTCTTGGAGTCACCGGCAACGTTACCACGGCGGATATCCTTGACGGAAACGTTCTTCACGTTGAAGCCGACGTTGTCACCGGGGACACCCTGAGCGAGCTGCTCGTGGTGCATCTCGACGGACTTGACTTCAGTGGTAACGTTGGAAGGAGCGAAGGTAACGACCATACCGGGCTTGAGGACACCAGTCTCGATACGGCCGACGGGCACTGTGCCGATACCACCGATCTTGTAGACATCCTGGAGGGGAAGACGGAGGGGCTTGTCGGTAGGACGCTTGGGGGGCTCAATGGCGTCGATGGCCTCGAGGAGGGTCTTGCCAGTGGCCTTGCCGGCCTTGGTCTCCTTCTCCCAACCCTTGTACCAGGGGCAGTTGGTGGAGGGCTCAAGCATGTTGTCGCCGTTGAAGCCGGAGATGGGGACGAAAGCGACACCAGCGGGGTTGTAGCCAACCTTCTTGATGAAGTTCTTGGTCTCCTTGATGATCTCCTCGAAACGGGTCTGGGACCACTGGGTGGTGTCCATCTTGTTGATGGCAACAATGAGCTGCTTGACACCGAGGGTGTAGGCGAGCAGAGCGTGCTCACGGGTCTGGCCATCCTTGGAGATACCAGCCTCGAACTCACCAGTACCGGCGGCAATGATGAGAATAGCGCAATCAGCCTGGGAGGTACCAGTGATCATGTTCTTGATGAAATCACGATGACCGGGGGCATCTGTTAAGGTAATGAATTAGCATGAGTTGGAATAAATGCGGGGCTATAGTGCGACATACCGATGACGGTGACGTAGTACTTGGGAGTCTCGAACTTCCAGAGGGCGATATCGATGGTGATACCACGCTCACGCTCGGCCTTGAGCTTGTCAAGAACCCAGGCATACTTGAAGGAACCCTTGCCGAGCTCAGCGGCTTCCTGTAGTTGGTAGTCAGCATCATGTCGAGTGTAAATGAGTCGGAGTTGCTTGGTGTTGTTCGAACGCGGGGTAAGTGGGTCTGTGCGCAGCCAAGCGAAAATCTTTGACCCCAACCCCACCATAAGGTGAGGGGTTGCCACAAAGCCAAACCAGCGGGGAAAGGCCCAAAGACAACAGAATGGCAGAGCAGAGTGAAATGGCGATGAAGATGGTGAGCTGAGCAGATGGTGACTGACCTTCTCGAACTTCTCGATGGTACGCTTGTCGATACCACCGCACTTGTAGATCAAGTGACCGGTAGTGGTGGACTTGCCGGAATCGACGTGGCCGATAACGACGACGTTGATGTGAGTCTTGTCCTCCTTGCTGTGGCAGTTGTTAGCAAATGATGCGTAGAGCGACTGCAGTGCGCGCGACCTGATTGATAGCGACGACGACGTGATGACGGATTGACGTACCCCATTTTGACGGTTGATGTGCTGACTGGCGACTTTGCGCTAGAAATGTGAAAGTGGCAGGAGATTGCTTGAATCAGGTATGCCGACGAAGAGAGGAAGAGGAAGAAAAGCTTGAAATAGTTTGGAGGAGGGTTGAGATTTTAAGTCCAGTGGGGAGGGCAAAAAAATGGACTTGGTGGGGCCGGGTCTGCCTGCAGGAGCCCGGGCACAAAAAAAATGGAATGAAAAAGTGGAGCTAGCCCTCAAAATCGTCAAAACTTTGACCTCCCTTGTTCATGCCGCGCCTTGCCGTCCCATGCGTGACCCTTCACGTACCGACTTATTGTTTGCTGGGTACCGTTCACAGCCCCTCAACGCTATTCAATCACATTCACTACTACACTAGCCAAAGTGGATTTTTCTTCCAAATGTACCGTCTGATTTCATTTTTCAGAGTGATTTTGTTGCCTTCATCGCACCCATCACCGAAATCTCGTCTGATCAGAAATTGCACACAAAACCGGTCATCGGGTTCAGTTTGCAAGAATCGGCCAGTCTGATAACAACTGTTGGTATGCTGCAATTGGTCATCCTATACACGATGTGAGCTTTTCCCCTTCCGACCTGGTGCCTGCCTGCCTTGCCCCTCTATTCCGCTGCCCCTCCTTTCGGCTGAGAATTTGCTGAGTTGTGAAGCACCAGTTTGCCCCTCCAATAGAGTCTCGATGCCGATCCCTGGCTTTCGCCTCACCCTTCATCCCTCGCTACACACGCATTTGCGGTGAGTGCTGCCGGAAACGATACGGACAAGCGACTGTTGATGAAATTTTTTTTTCCTACGCTACCCACAAGCTTCACTTTAGACTAGTGTAGTTCAGTGGTCACGGTGGATATGTACATTATTATTGATATGAGGGTACTCCATGGGATCGCCTGCGTCGTAGCCGTGAAGGGCTCATGCAGTTTGGGCTTTGGCGCATCTAGCTTCCAAAGCCCAACCACAGGCGAAACGACAATGGATCTAACGAGTTTCTCTAGCGGCCAGCGTGACTCAAAATTTTTTGATTCGCTGGTGAGACACACCCCGCAGCGTTGCCGCACAAGGGCAGTATTGCTTTCCAACCTTGTTGACCGCGAACGTTCCCATGTATACGTACGTCGACGTTGAGATATTGTGAAAGCGTGGCCATGAATGTCACCCTGTCCGGCCTTTTCTTGAATCTCATTTGGGTCTTGAATCATGCTTCTCTCACTTCGCATTTCACAGCCCGCTGCCCCCGTCTCCAGGGCTCTCCCTCGCGATGCGTTGGTTCCGGGCCGGGCCTGGACGCCTGCCTTTCCCGGGAACAAATGGCTTTTTCGGTGCTGCACGCTGTCCATGCCTTGCTGTCGGCTGCGTTGGTAGCCAGATGCGATGCCACTCAACCTGGCATGTCTGGATTGTTTGACATTGAGCTGGATAGGCCAATGGTGGCGTAGAAGCCCCCATTCATCCCGGTCTGATGTGAGACGCCCGTCGTGGTTGCCCGAGTCATATCTCGAGCTTCACCGAGACCAACAAGAACACGGATGCAAACGCCAATGAAACCTACTGATTTGTGAGAATCGTGATCTTAGTTGTTCCGGGGTTAGGGCTATCTGAAAAATTTATTCCTTGTTGCTCTCCGGCACATCTGTCCCTGTCTGCGGAGTTTTAATAGTACCATCAAGTGGGGTTTGGCAAAATGTCAAAGTGGACAACACCAAGCTTTTTCTTTCACGCAAATCGTACCAGGTCCTGTCCTTTGTTGGCCATGAGGTTCTTCCTCCTCCGCCTCCACCGGACGGGCGAACCTCTGATTTCTTTTTCTTTTCTTTTTTTTGTTGCTGTCCCCGCCCTGCCTACCATCGACAACCGGCACATTTTTGACCTTTGCATGTGTACTGCGTAGTCGATACACCCGCAAAGCCCGTTGGAGACCATTCAACAACTGTAACGGTTCAGGTTTCGTCCTTCCTCCCGCCTCTTTCCCCCATTCATCTGATTGGATGACTTGGTAGGTTACGTCGAGGCCCCAGTAACCTGATGGGTTGCCGCCCAAGGCCTCAGACCCCTGTTTGTGGCCTCTGGTGGCACGGCAACCACCGATGAGGTACCCGTTGAGGTTCACCTCGACTTCACCATGAAAACATCACCATAGTCAGTGAGACGTCGTGATTGGCGTCAGACGGGGCGATGTGTGGTCAGCTACGAGGACAAAGAATCCAGATACTATACTGTAATGTAGTGCAAGTCAATCCAGAAAGAAAATATAGTTATCAGTGCCTGATCTTTGCAGTCAAAGCATCGCTTGAAGCTGACGAAGAGAAAAAAAAAAAAAAGGTCTCGTTTCCTAATTCGTCCTCACTCATGGGGGCTCCTCGCCGGGTAGCATTTCCTTGCCTTTGGTTTCAGATGAGTTGTTGGCCCAGATCCTGAGTGGCAAATTACAAACAGCCGTAGGTAGTTATCTTGGGATGAACTATGTGTGAATGTGTTCCAGAGGGTTCTCGATCACACGAGGCATCGTGTCGTCAATAAACTTGGAATTTGCCAGTTGCGACTGAAGCTGTGAAGTTTGGAGTCGAGGACTCGAACAACGACGAGTATCTTCAACCATTAGCATATCAACTTATATCGTGGCCACGTATGCTGTGTGAACTCCCATGTAATAGTTGGATTGCTTCAGTTTGAAATGTAATACTTCTAGGAACTCACATCTTCGCGTGCCAGATACCTATAGCTATCGTTCATTCGTACCACGAGTGAATTGGTTGAGCAAAAGCGTCAGTCTATCGATGTTCGATAGATGGATCGTAGTGTTGGGACCGGACACTACAAGCATTCAAGTTCTCAAACAGTCTTCATTCTACAATACTTACATCTTACGAAAAGTAACATGGTTCATTCTTTTCCAGATTCTACCAGGGTCCATCGATATCAAGTATCAGATGTCCACAACATCTCGTAGAAACCTTGCCAATTCTAACAAGATGGCTTGTTCTGCCTCAACCAGTCACATCCTATCCAACATTATGTGATGTATTTGCTCGAGGTCTTGATTATCATAAGCCTGTACGAGCTTGAAGCAACCGTGATAGACGAAAGTCGTCGCACAGGCACGAACGGGTCTGGAGACACCCACGTTCCAGAAAATGCGTCCACTGCAGCCTGCCCACTCCTGCGGTAACCATACGTCATACCCACTTGGGGTGCGTTTCCGTGACCGATCGAGATTTGATCGACATGTTCTAGGAAGTTGCTTGCGGTATAGGCACTGCCATGAGATTATGTAGACTGGCTGACAAAAGCTGGCAAAAAAATGGACCATTTCATAAGTACTTTGATAATCGTTATATCCTATCGCCCAACTAATTCATAATGATCATCATGCCGTTCTCTGTGTCCTACCATTTTATCTTTTCTTTTCTCGACTATGTACTTGGAGGTATCGCGTCGTATACCAAGAAACCATATCCATCCCAGACTCCCATCGGCATACCATGTACGTGGCCGTTATGATAGACTAATGGCCCCTCTAAGAACTGCTGTCCCATCCCAATCGTATGTTATTACTCCCCGTCTGACTCACAATTGCTCCTTTACTGGATGAGCTGCGAAATCTCCTCGTCGTTGAACCCAAACAGGTAAAGCAGATCAAGCAAGCTATCGCCATTTAGCCTCGCGCTCGCCTCCATCTGCACCCTCGGCTTTGCATTCCACGCGACACCCAGACCGGCCGCATCCATCATGAGCAGATCGTTCGCTCCGTCTCCTACCGCCACCACCTGATCCAACGGAATGCCCTCCTTGCCCGCAATCTCGATCAGCAGCTCGCGCTTGCGCTCCGCGCCGACGATGCGACCCTTGACCTCACCAGTCAGACGACCAGTCGCGTCGTCAATAACCACCTCATTCGCATGCGCATAGTCGAGGCCGAGCTCGCCAGCCAACCAGCTCGTCAGAGGTAGGAAGCCACCAGAGAGAACGGCGGTCTTGACACCAAGGCGCTTAAGGGCGCGCAATAGGGGCCGCACGCCGTTGGTAACCTCTAGAACGGGACGAAGATCGTTGAAGAGGGTGCTAGGGAGGCCAGTGAGCAACTTCACGCGCTCGCGGAAGGCGGAATCGAATTCAAGCTCGCCTAACATGGCGCGGTGGGTGATGTCGGCAACGCGGGCGGCAAGGTCGGGCGGGTCCTTGATAGTAGCAGCGAGGAGATCGATAACCTCCTGTGTGATAAGAGTGCTGTCCATATCGAAGACGACTAGGCGAGGATACCTGCGGAAAAGAGAGTCGGCACGCAGGGCGACATCGACGTTCCACTCGCGCTCGAACCGGTAAATAAGCTCGTGCTTGCGCAGATCCGCAAGAGGGAGATAGTCAAGCGAAGGGCCGGGAGAGAGAGTCAACTCGACCACGAGTGGGTGGTGGTCGGGGGTCTGATCGAGCTTTAGGCAGCGGTGGGCCGAGTTCAGGTCAGAAGCGCCGGGAGGTAGCGGGAAGCTAGACATGAGGTGGAGGAAAGAGGTGATGCACATGGGCGAGACGTAGGAGCCGTAGAGGTGGTCGAGAGGTTCTGGTTCGGCAGTGGGCGGCTCAAGGGGGAATGTGTCGAGGCTGCTGGTCGGGGCCATGTTACCGGGTATCTCAGAGTCGGCGGCGCGACCCTTGGGTGACTGGCTCCCGGCCGGAGAGGACGCCTGCTGGGGCGAAGGAATAGCATTGGAGATGCGGGGCGCCGTGGACTTGTAGTAGAGAGTTGCGACGAGTTTGTCGCTTCTGGTGCCGGGAGCCGGGGTACAGTTGGGGTGGGAGAGTTCGTGGCTCAGCCCACTCTCGACAATGGTCGGCGGGTGCTCAGGAGAAGGAATGCCCTTGAAGCGGGCGACGCCCTTAGGAGGGACAATGGGTGATGGCAAGGTCGCGATCGATGTCGCGTTCATGTCCTCGACAACCGTGTCGATGCCATAGTGCCCCTCAGGCTTATTGGGGGCACGGTACTGCTGGTGCTCCTGGAGGTACGAGCTGCTTCTCATGCTGGAGGACAGCGACGGCCGTTGAACTCGGGCGGTATTGCTTCTGTCGGACATGGTTGTGGTCTGGATGCGACTCGAGGCTGTGACTAAACACTGGCGCAGGCGTGTTCGACGTTCCTAGTAGAACGCGACAAGCAGTTAAATGCCTGATCGTAACTGCGAATAGTGACACCTAAGGGCGACCGCGCTGTAGTGTAATAAAGCGCTTGCGGTTGTCGGGAAAAAATAGAGAGACACGAGGGCTGGCCTTTGTTGATGCGACCGCGCGGTAGGGTGAAAGTGTGACTGGATGCTATCAGCGATCAGTCAATAGAAAATCGGGTTTCGCTCTCCGGCGTCAGGACTGGCACAATGCAGTGCCTTGGGGACACCAACCGAAGTGGAAGCGGCATGCACGACCCCACCAAAAGCCTGGTTTTGGCACCCGTGCTGCCCCGCCCGGGACCTTGACAAATGGAGCGGCTTTACCGGGATCGGAGCACGAGACACGGCACGCCATGCCTTCCCCCGTCCTGGTGGCATATGATATGCGCCTGGGTGGAAGGGATTAACAGGAGAGCGCTGTTGGCGACCAGGTTCGTTATGCCCAAGGCAAAGTTGGCACAGGGTTTCAGAATCGCATGACAGGCCGCGTGTTTGCGCCCGTTTGTTCCCAAACTGCCCTCAGCATGTCCATGTCTATCACCAGTCTGGGATTAATCTTGGGTTGATGGGAAAATGGGCTTTTGGAGATCGGTGGAAAATAAAATGGGAGCTCAGCATCTCCGGACGGCCGACGAGAAACTGAGGTTCTCTTAATGCCCTTGGTTTCAGATGTGGAAAGAGCGCTTGCTGTTGGGGTTTTGGAGCGGATATCGGCCTCGCGGCACTCGGTAAGGGAACTTCTGAACTCGATCCTGACAATCGGAAAGTCAGCGGTAGAGGTATGCAGATACTACTTGCAGCACGTAGGAAACTGCATGCGTCTGTCCTTAGAAATCTTTTCCCGGTTGACGTTGCTTCGTGGTGTTATAGTTTTTCCATGGCAGTGGCACAAAAGGCCCAGGACAAGAGAAGAAGGCGATTTCGCCTCCAACTGAAAGAAACGGGCTTCCAGAGAATGAGCTACCTCGATGCCCTCCAATCTCATGATGCGCAGTGTGTCCAAGAGAAGCGCGACACCTTACCGGTGCGGTGGAAGCCCCAAGTAATCGCAAAATGTTGAAGTTCCATTCCTCGATGTATGTACGGTGGATTAACGTCGCGCCTTGTGGGGTCAAGCGAAGGGGAAAAGTGACATCACACGCGACTTTTGAATATACCCTATTCGGCTGCAATTGTCCGAGGGATATGATTGGATGGTGACAGTTTCTAAGCAGAGGCAGGGCAGCTGCTAGTGTATACGTACATACAACGAGTTTCCGGAAACACATCCAAACCGCATGCTGTAGTACCTATACACTGCATGATATGGCAACGGCTGACAGATCGCGCTAGAACATGCGCCATGTTCTATGAGCCTGAAAGCACGATCACAAGCCACGGCGAGGCAAAATGGAATTTCGGTAGGTGATGACGTTGATGATCAAGACTTGGGTCTCTGACGACAGAGCAGCGTGCCTTTGGGACGCCAGGGGCATGGAGCGAAGACATGGAGCGAGGGGGTTTTGAGCAAGCAAAAGTCCTGCTCTGGTTGGAGCTTCACTCTGCTCGCCACAGAGAAATCGGCACCCCGGGGGTCCCAAGTTAAGACTCACCTGCAACGGACGGCCGGACGTTCTTTCAAACCGTCCGATGTGAGGAAGACGCTACGGCATATAAATCCCCACAAAAGCCAGGCGGCATTGACCAATGGCAGGGCGTCCAGATGTCGTGATCAGCCTCCTTTTCAACACCACCATCCCAAAGAAACCGACGCACTGCGAACAACGCTGCGATTGCGTCTTCAGCCCCGGTCTGACACCGTTCTTCGGCCATCATGGGTCCAGTCAAATGTCCCCTAGAGGGTGTACGGCCAATGCTGACCCGTTCTCTGCAGTCGTAGGTGTGGATGGTGTGCTCAATGCCCGGCGTCAAAGTCCAGCAGATGCGTTGACTTGCGGAATTACTAATGATTCTGGCTTGGTCATGATTTCCTCTGTGCCCCAGATTTGCAAGACTTGAAATCGGAACCGCAAAGGACCCCAGACTCCTCCTCTTTCTTCTCGGATTCCACAAGATACCATAAATTCCAGCCCCAGTTCCACGCTTGTCCGTCGAGCCCATCTTATCTCCGGATTCTCTTATAAGCCACTCTGCTCCCATTTTCCGAAGCGTAGTTTGCTTGGTCTTGTTTCCATATCCTGCGATTCTTAGCTCCGTGATCTATCGTATCGTCCATCAAGGTTGTCATCGGTCGTTGTCCGAAAGTGGTCGTCTCACACATACACTGTCACCACTCACTCATCCACAACAGACACATCACCAAACCTCATCCATCCATCCATCCATCCATCCATCTTCAACATGGCCTCCGAGCAAAACTCCCAGACCTCCACCAGGGCCTCGTCCCCCAAGCTTGACGGCAAGTTTGACGACAACGCCTCCGTCGACTCCGGCTTCGCTTCCGCCAACTCCTCCACCGCCAACCTTCCCTTGATTTCTCTCACCAAGCCTCATCTCGACCACCTAAACAAACAGCTCGAGAACATGGAGGCCCTGGACATCCTCCGCTTCTGCAAGATTCTCTTCCCCAACCTCTTCCAGACCACGGCCTTCGGCCTGACCGGCCTCGTCACGCTCGACATGCTCTCCAAGCTAGCCAAGGAGTCACCCGACGCGGCCCCCGTCGACCTGATCTTCCTCGACACGCTCTACCACTTCAAGGAAACTTATGCTCTCGTCGACCGCGTGCAGGAGCGCTACCCCAACATCCGGCTGCACGTCTTCAAGCCGGCCGACGTGTCCACCGTCGACGAGTTTGAGGCCCTCTACGGCGAGAAGTTGTACGAAACCTCCGAAGAACTATACGACTGGATCGCCAAGGTGGAGCCGCAGAACCGCGCCTACCAGGAACTCAAGGTGGCTGCCGTTTTCACAGGCCGCCGCCGCTCCCAGGGAGGTGCACGCGGCTCCATTCCCGTCATTGAGCTGGATGAGGAGCGTGGCATCGTCAAGATCAACCCGCTCGTCAACTGGAGCTTCCAGCAGGTCAAGGCCTACATTGATGAGCACCAAGTGCCTTACAACGAGCTGCTCGATAAGGGGTACAAGTCCATTGGTGATTGGCACTCGACTAGCCCCGTCGCCGCGGGCGAGGACGAGCGTGCTGGGCGCTGGAAGGGCAAGAACAAGACTGAGTGCGGAATCCATAACAAGCAGAGCAGGTATGCCCAGTTTTTGGCGGAGAACGCGAGGAAGCAGGCAAAGGGTGCTGCTCCGGTTGAGACGGTTCAGGCTTGAAAGAAGAAAAGGAGGTAAAAGAGAATTAGAGGGGTGGCTGGATGGGAGGACGGGCTTCGTATCTCTCGTTGACGTGGGAGACTTTTGGGCCTCGATTGGCAACTGTCTTTCAAGGCGTCGTCTTTTTTCTTCTTTTCTTCTTTTTTCCATGTTCGCCCTTGGGTGCGTTGATGGATCATCACTTCATTGCGAGTGGAAAGCATTCAAGTATTTGTTAGCATTGTGGCGTTTCAAAATGGGCATTCGGGCAGGCGTTTGTGGGCAGGAGGACAATATATACATCAGCGACTCCTGAGAGTAGTCGGCCGCACCGAGTTGCATTAGGTACGATCGGTCTTAGATTTTTAGAGACAAATAGTATCGTTATGAACACATCTTTGCTCATGTGCGTGTGAAGTTGATCAGTACTTGCAAGTGTCCGTGTATCTGATTGACGTTAACAAACAAGCGGCTTTTTTGATGTTGTGTTAGTCATTTGCTCTAAAGCGCCACTGCATCTCTGATTCGTAGGTCGCGCCCGTTCAAGGCAAGGTTTTGCGAAGCCAGTCGGATCATCACAGCGAAGACCACCCGTGACACTGCTTGCCTTGGCGGTGAACTTCCACTTTAGTAGCACACCCTTCAACGTCATATTGAATCGACATAACACAATGAAAATTAAAGTGGGTGCGGGATGTAAGCCAGACAAGCAGGCAACCGATGCTGTCGACAAACAACAAATTTACACAATCTCATACGAAAAACAGCCTCGCTTCTTTCTTGTGCATATATGCCAAACATACCTAAGAGTGACATCAATCTCAAGTCGGGCCAACAGCCACCTTTGTTTGCTTCGAAGCTCGCAAAGCTTTTGTTCACATTCTTCCCCAAGACAGGATTATCAGAAATCACAATCCACTACACAATTCCCGGGAGAGTGACACCTTTTTCAAACAACCAAAACTCCCTTTGAGTCACTACCGCACGGAGCTCAGCTCGTTAGCCAATTTCCCCCGAAACCGGTCAACGTCAAATTCCTTGTCTACTCCAAGGCCATCCTACTCTTGCTTTGGCGGTTCAACGACTTGCTGGACCGATTCCGGTTCTGATTCCTTTAGAACACTATCACCATCAGCACTAAGTGCAGTGGAAGCAGGGCCGTCTTCCTTTTGTCCCTGCTCTTGTTGTTTAGCCGCTTCCTGACTTTCCGCTGGGGTGCCTGCGGTAGCCTCTTTCGGCTTTTCTTCGTCTCTGGCAGTAGTAGCAGGGGGGGAAGGAGAAGGAGGAGGAGGAGGAGCAGCAGCACCGGCAATGGCAGTGACATCGACAGTAGCCTCAGTACCGACTTTGTCCGACTCGGCAGTATTACCTCCATCTTCTACCGCAGCTCCCTGTGTCTCCGGCTCTGACAATGGCTTTTCTTCGCCAGCCTTGGTGTCTTTCTGATTGTCCACTCCACCGTTGCTCTCTTGTTTGGTAGTGGCACCCGCAGCCGCACCTGTACCGGCACCGCTGGCGGCACTACCGGCGCGACTCACTTCCTCTTGACGGTCTAGTTCCCTTTCCAGGCTACCGAGCAAGTTAAGCCCGTCGTCTTCATCCTCTGTCGTAGCAGTGGGGAGCAGGGCCGGGGAGTCTGGCGGTTGGAGCAAGGGCTCTGCTATCGTGGGTACAGCATCGTCTGAAAGTTGCTCCTGAAGTACATCGACTTCTTCCACCGGGGCGTCTGCGGGAACGGACGAGGATTCTATCAGTGCCGATGCTGTTTCTGTGGCCGTGGTTATCATTTCTGTTGTTGTACCTGCCGTGGTGGAAGTGGTCGACGTGGAAATTGAGGTTGGAGCGTCTGACCGCAACCCTGGCAAGTCTAGTGCAGCCCCAAGATCCTCAACTTTAGCTTCGGCAGATGGAGTCGATTTTGCGGGCTGTTGCTGCTCAGAGTTGGTGTCGACATCCATTGCGATGGTTCCAGTTGTAACATCCACTGCGTCAGCTACCGGCTGCTCGGCCTCTACCACCACTTCGGAAAGGAAAGCAGCGCTGACAGAAGTGTCTTGTGTGTCAAACTCCTTCGCCGCAGCCGTAACTTCGGTCTTAGCGTCGTCTACAGCCGTAGACGGGAAGAAAGATCCCTCAACCCCTGGCACATCTGACCTAGACTCTGGAGGCTCTGTTGGCGATCGGATCATTACATTCTTCAGTGGACTCCCTTCAAGTCTCATTGACGCAAGTGATCCGAGCGTTGGCGGGGCGAGGCTGCTGCCAAGGCGCGACCTGGCAGCAGCATCTTCCTCATTACCGGCATCTCCTTCTGGCTCTTCAGTTGAGCTGGGCCGAATAACTTCCGATGCTCCTGCGTCGCCCATCTCCTGGTCTTGGTCCTGACTGATGCTGGTATCAACACCAGGGGTATCGCCCTCAGCCATGCTTTCGTCGGCATCGCCTTCTTCTTCCCCTTCGTCGCCATCGTCGCCGTCATCATCATCGGAAGGAATCTGTGAGGAATCGGCCATTTCGCTATCCTGGTTCGCACTGTCACCGGTTTCTTCGATTTTGATTCCCTGTGCCGTACTGTCAGCTTGGCTAGCGCGAGTGTGATATACGTTAGAGAAACACTTACGTTTACTGGAGTGCCCTCCATCTTGACCTCTGCATCACCGGCCTCCACACTAGTCGGCTCTGGCCGCGTTGTTGTTGGGAGTGGCAGCTTACCCTTCTTGCGACCTCGACCAGGGCCCTTAGCCTTCCTCTTTGGCGGAGGAGGCCTTCTCCTGACTGGTGCAGGCGGCGCAGCCTGAGCCGCAACCTCAGCCGCAGCGACTGGTGCCGGCACCACCGTTGTTGATATGATCTCGCCATCAACCTGTTGTCCCTCGGCCAAAGTGATCGTCTGCTCGTAGGGGTTGCCGGCGGCGTCAATACGCCGGACGGTTGCTCTGGTAACCGTCGGTCCCTGGGCTATCTGTACCAGCCTCGACTTTGGTGGTAATGTGACCGTGTTCTTATGGCGCTTGGCCAGATGTGATTCAGCAGGTCCTTCGATGTTACGTGGTGTTTGCTTCCACATCTTCACGGTGAACCCTTCAGCAGCCGCATCGCTTTCCTTCTTGTCGCCCTTGATGTTGTCAATGTCAACGTTTTCATCGTCGTCGTCGGTCGGGGCGGGTCTCTTGTAGAGTCGGCCAGAGCGAGCGGCGCGCAAGAGCTCCTGGCTGTGGGTTGGGAGCAGCTTGGTTTCCTTGGGCATGCCAAAGGGCAGCTCGACGTCCCAGATATCGTTTTTCTGCGTAGCCTCTGCAGGTTGGGGAGGTGTTACATTGACCCATTCCTGTCTCCATTGGCGTACAGGTAGACCCTCGAAGTCGTCGTGTTCCGGGAAACCGCTGCGAGCGCCACGCCGAGTCTGGGCTGCTGATCGATGGTACTAGAGTTGCGCAAACACAACCGCATGGTCAGAAATAGTTCAGTTGTGGCAGCAAGCAGGAACTCGAGACGGGACTAAGGCGAGCAAACTCACGGTGGGCGCCATTGAAAGTGTGTGAAGGTCTGTCTACTGAGATACCGAACCTCCAGCTGTTCTTTCTCATGCCCAGGCAGATAAGTACGAAACGCCAAAAAAGTGTAACACTGTTGTGTCGATATCCAAAACACCAATAGTTCTATCCAAGAGGGAGGTACGTGGACGTATACTGGTGACCGTGGAACAGATGGTCGAATATGTCGAAGTCTAACCTTGGATAGAGGTGGATCAACGTCGGTGGGTGAGTGCAAGTCAGCGGTCCAGGGACTGCTTCTAAGTGCTGCTTGTTCTGTGTTGGAACCTGGACAGAAGGATGGATGACGATGAACAATAACGATAGATCGGTTGAAAGCGACTAGATGCCGGACTACGTAACGATATGGCGCAAACTATACCGGTAGGTAGGTAGGTATGTAATAGAGAAAGAGAAGAGTAAGGGGAGCCCGTACTGATGCAGAGGTAGCTTCCACAAGAAATCGATCCTATGCTACCAGCTAAGAATGTTGTCAATGGAAGGATGGAAGTCGACAAGGTGATGTTGCGCGTCGCATTCAAGTCGCGGCGGCCAACCTGACACTCGATTGACTGCAGTGGTCAGTGGTCGCGCGCACTGGTCGCACTGACCATGCCAATGGGACATAAATGCTCGGTAAAGCAATTTACCTTCTTAAGGCAGCCCTCACTGCCAAACAGATCTCGGATATGCAAGGAACGAGTCGATCCAGTTGCGACAAGGATTCGCAGGTTCTGATGGTGATCCGGAAAGCCGGTTATCATGGCACGACACAACCAAGACATAAACTACACCCAAGGGACCGTTCATAATTGTCCCGAATCACTGGAATCTGATCTGGTAACTGATTTAATTATCCTCTGCTATCAGAGAAGCCCCGTCGACTACCACCTTTGGACTTGTTGGCCTGCTAAATCAAAGCTGGTATTGGTATCGCGTCATCATTCCTGCGGGCTCGAACAGGTGTACTCTTCGCCAACCCTTCACTCGTAGTATTATACATAGCCTTTTTTTTCTTCCCGTGTCATTTGTACAAAGCGACAACTAAACAGGGATTTTCGCCTGCAGCCATTTAGTCCCAGCTGAGGTTCAGTTCGTTAGCAAGACAGCTCTTCCCAAATCTGCTTCTCAAGATTATAACTCACCCAGTATCCTTCTGCCTGAGCTTACCTCCTTCTTTATCCTTACCCTGCGACTTGTTAGATCACCTCTGATATACTCCACGAATAAGTTCAGGAAGACTTACCGAGAGCCCACCCTCGACGACCAAGCGGTCCTGTTGGTAAAACTGGCTAATAACTGTTTGGCGCTATTTCAATGTCAACTTGTCTGTATTCTCCAGGTCGCGTCTCAGCTCAAGTGCCCGGCATACCTTGAGCATCTGGAGATTCTGTAACCCTTTCTGCACAAGTTCCTGCACCTGTCTAGGATCTTCCACGTTCTTGTTTTCCCTAAAAGCGTCTCTTGTGCGGCGCTTGGCGTATTCTCTGAAGTTGTAAGAGGAAAACTGATTTCCCTGGCGCAAAAGCTGACGATACTGTTGGTTCAAGGCTAAGATGTTAGCGTTTGTGTTATACTAGCCCAAATAGCGTTTGCGATCCAGGGAAAGAAGTGTGTAGAAAGGCACGCTGCGTACCAGCGACAGAACTTTGCCGGCTGACTCGCCAGTCCTTGCGACGGTAGACATGTCGATCGACTTCCTTTCCCGTTTCCCTCTTTTTGCCTCTGTGCTGCTTGCTGCGTACGATTTGGTATGCTCGTGCCTCGTGGAGAAACTCGTGAGTGTGGTAGGAAAAAGGTGCTGTAGAAGAAGTCAAGCCGCCGGCGAATATGGCTCGTCGATCGGTCGTGATGATGCGTTTGCCTTCGGCCGTCAGCGTACGGCGAAAGCTCGGACGTCCGCATTTCAGATGTGGTTTGCGACCTTGGCGCGAGTGCTGGGTGGCTCGGATATGTACATACACTATGCGTAGCATGACTGAGATCTACGGTTACTCAACATCTCGATAAATGCATTCATTCATGTCTGTGGCATATGATGGCTTACGACGTCCTCTTCCTCTCGCCCATTCGATCACTTCTCGTCCACTAACCCTTCCGCTTCCGGACCTTTGTCCATTACTGCCATTTCCCAATTCATGGTTCCCGTTACAATTCTTATAATGATTGTTCGGCCCGGAGTCTTGCGCCACTGCATATTCGAATTGTCCTTTCCAGTTTCAAATGCCTCCTTGCACTCGATCAAATAGCCACAGCAAAGCATACTAGACACGCCGAGTACAATGCCTCTTATTCTGGATCAAAGCACCCCGACTAAACTCAGAACCAAATGCTTCCATCGTATCACCAAAAAAAAAAAAAAAAAAAAAAAAAACAAAAAAAAAAAAAAAAAAAAAACATCTTACAGCTTCGTCACGGGCTCTCATAACCGAGCAGCCGAGCAACCAGGATCGGACTGTCCATCTTCGGTTATCCTTACAACCACTCAGTTATCTCTCGGAGCCTTAGAGATCGGAAAGGATACGGACGTTACGTTCTTCCATCAAGACAAAGTTCTCAGGATTCAGCGAATGATCAGAGGCCCTTATATAAAGAGAGCCCTCTTGTACGCTGACCGGCAAAGGCATAACCGGATCGCTTGCCTGAGCCACTTGTCTTCTGGAGGCACCCTGCCCACCGCGAGGGATGACCGGCCAGATACAGCATGATTCGAAATTCAAGGACGCGCGCACCGGGAAGAATCCAAGATCTTAGTTGACGGGTGTTAGATGGTTAGTTTCCGAACATCATCACGTCATGCCGTGGGGAATTCACTGCTTCTGACATCAAATCCACTCTATGAGTTCAAGCAAGATCGGCCATCAAATCGCGGCAAGGAGACACGGCTTTTCCGGCTTATCGCGCGTCAAACCTGACGTCTTCGTGAGGCTGGTGTCCTTGGGGATCACAAGATGAACCACATATCGGGCAGGTTGGGCTCTGCTTCACCCAGATGGGCTGCCTGATGGAAGACAACCATCAAGAAGCCTGCATGGCGGCCTCGCGGTGGTCGGGGTTACAGCAAGCTTCTGACTGTCTACCTCCATGGTTTCCACCAGAGAAATGGCTCGATACGGCTGGGTCGCTGCGCCAAAGGAATATCGACATCGGGAACTGGAAGGGTTGACATGACTGATGATGCAACCCCGGATTCCATCTTAGATCTCGCTTTAGCTGAGCCTGCCATCGAGATCCAAAGGTCATGTTCTGGTCTTCGCGTTAAGCAGCAAAACAACTTCAACCAGGATGCCTCAAACAGTCGGAGCGAGCCCAGAAAGCCCAGAAACGTACTCGACAGCTTGTCGTAACTGTACTCATACACCCTTTCGCAGCATTACAGCTCTGAATACCCTCCGTTTTACCTGGTTACGGGTCAGAATCAGCGGGAGCAATTGTGTACCTTGAGCAAGTAGGGGTTGCAACCGGACAAGAATACCTCGCTCTAACAGCGATAGCGACCCTCTCCGATCTGAATGTGAGCCTGTGTACATACTACATCACGCAGAATGTTGAAGTCACTAAACGCAAGCCGTGGAGAGTTGATTCCGAGAAATGGCCGAGCCAAATTGCCATGATGTGCTCTGTAATGCAAGGCATAAGCTCCCACAAACTTTCGGCCTCTTTTCCGTTCGCTTCACAATTTGATGGGTACAAAAGGGAAAGCTGTCGGCTTCACGTCAAGCCCAGGGCTGTATATATGATTGTGATCCTTGGCAGGAGTACGCCAGGTGGATGTCACCGGGCCTTGTACCTCCGCGATCCTAACAGGTAACGCTGGAGGTCCACAGAGCGTCGTTCTAAAGCCGGTTGGTTCCGATAGTCTCGATGTTTCTTGCAGTAATGTTCCAAAAAGCTTGGCTTCGTTCTGCCCTTCTGTTGCGTCGGCAGCACTCCTCCCCCCTCCCCCCACGTTTATATAATGACAAGGAGCATTTGGAGGGGTCAGTTCCCCACAATGGGGCCGCTATTGACTGAATCTGTGCTAGATTCGTACCACTTGCAGAAAGAAGTCAAAGAAGGGAGCTTGAATCGTCATGGGGTCGGGCCATGTTCACCTCGGATCGCTTGCGTAAACATCACCAACTCGAGCACGGAAGTGCCCAGGCCTTTATTACTCGCGCCAGCCGCTAGTTAGATTTCGAATCCCCGACGAGTATAACGGTTCTTATCCGAAAGGCCGGGAGACTCGTGGCTGCCGTTCACTGGCATTCTCCTTCGTATCATGACGTCGAGCATCGCACATGGTTCCTTCTCGATGTCGTCCCACGACATTCTCTCCCTAGCCGCCCGAGCCCGCCAAGGGATCTGTCAAGGGCGTGGACGACTGCCGGCCCTTTGCATAGCAAGCATAGCTAATTGGCGTCTCTTCTAACGTCGTGAGACTACGCACCTCGGGTTCCTACGCTAACCCCGTCCACTCTTGTTTGTTGTTGCGGTGTTACCGTACGCCTGTGAATCATGGCAATGCATATAATGGAGACCTGGTACGTACAGGATCGAACAGCCAAGCTCCCAGGCCGTGCGCTGATGGGCCCAAGAGCTTGTTATCTGGGAATGGCACGATCTCCGAAATGTCGTGGAGACCAGCCACGAAGGCCCCCCTGGGGGCAAATGGGGAAGGGAATATCAAGCGAAAAAGAGGGATGGAGCCATAAAACATAAGAGAAAGTAGAGGAAGCGGAAATACGGTCCGCTTAGCAAGTGGCCTACCATCAAGCAGCAATGTTTGATGTTTCAGAAGCTGAGCCCTGGGTTCAGGCCGTATGGTGGAGCTTCCCTTTTGCGTGGTCCAACTACCACCCCGCAGCATCTTGCGTTTGTTGTACACCAATCCTTTTGGTCTTTTCCCCCCGTCATCGTTTTTGCCCCTGAGAGCATGGCAGCCAGACGTACGGTCTCTCCAATAGTCCCTCGGGACTGGCCTGCCCGTGGGCTGAGCACCGCTGGGCCACTTGGACAATACATCCTTGCCCTGTTGATCCACGATAGGATCTCCCTCATTCCATGTGCTCCGATTTATCCGGCTAGTTCTCCTTGGAATGGGGCGAAGCGAACCCAATGTCACAATTCGTTGCAGGGCCCCGTGCTCTGGGAGGGCTTGAATCCACATCCCGCCAGTCCGGTTGGATTTCCGGACAAGAGAAATTGGGACAAGTGAAGTGTCAAGGTGTGTGAGATCACACTCACACTTTGCCCAGGCTGGGGCTCTCTTTTGTCGGCCCAGGACAGTCCGATTGTGGTTGCTCGTCGTACGGGATTCTTTCCGTATATGCGTGTTCGACCGCCGAGTTGTGCTCGTTGCATCCGCCACTGCTCCAGGGGGGGAAAGAGAATTTTGTTCGGTCTTATTCCGCTTGGGCTGAGGCAGAGGGAGCAGATTGCCGCCGAGGAACATATCTGTCGTTTGTTGGATGGAACAGCGTCATGCCCTCTTGGTTTCTGCAGACACCAAGCCGGCGTTGCTCTTTAAATCTTTTTTTCCCCTGCGGTCTGGTCGCGAAGGTCCATCTCTAATTTATTTTTATTCTTATTTTGGGCACGCGCGGCGATCTACGTACCTTTCTCATCCCTCGGCTGGTTGTGGAGTTTTTGTGGTTCATCACTTAAACTGTCGTTCATCCAATTCCCGAAAGGGCAATCTCAACGGACGAGAGAATCAGCGACTCGCCAGACCATTCCACGCCAGCGGCTCTATTGATCACAGACCTGAATAACGATCGCTTTCGTGACATCCAGTGAGTAAGTCAAGCGCTGCCTTTCTTTTCACCATTGCACTCTTTACTTACCACCTCTTCTGCGAACAGCCAACTACGTACCTGACACAGGGCGCCTGTCATTTCAAGCCCCTTTCGCTCTTTACCCCTTACTCTCATTCACTTTACGTCATTTCGCATTCCAAGTCATTTGTCGGATTTGGATTCTACACACCGGCAGTAACAGACTGTGCACGTCAGTTCGCCTTTGGTTCTTTCGTTACCGCCGTCACGGGCACGCGGGGAATTGTTCCCCGGAAACAAGGTCTTTGGTGGTGGATGAAGTTAAACAGTACCGAACGATAAACGATTCAACGGTTACCCTTCCCGTCGCCTTCTAGTCACCCCAGCGACAAGCTGTTGTTACCAGCTGCCAGCAAATCACACGTTGCCCGTTGCGCAAAACAGACGGCAAAGCAACCTTTCGAACAGGTTCTTCGGTTAGATAAAAGGGCTCTCCGTCGGACAATTACCAGCAAGTTTGCGGTGTTTGCCCTGATCGATCAACTTAGGCTCGCCGGCGCAGCCCATCATCAACCAACAGGGGAAAATCGTCAGTTGTCGACCTACAATACAAAGTTCTTGGGTTTACCTAGGCGGCACGGGATCCGGTCATAGGTCACACGGGTATTATCAGGCAAAGAAGATCAAAGTTGATTCTCGTTATCCTTCAGAGGCCCAGCGCAGCGCCGCACAAACGACAAGCAAGCGCCTCTACCCCCGGTACTTACAAGTGAATAATCAGGGACCAAGACAGACCAAGAGTTTGTTTGCTTCATCCCCCTGAACCCAGCCCAACGGGCGGCTTGGGCGCTTCACTTAGCCATTTCGAGATTCTTGTCTCGGCAGAACGTTCCATCTCGGTTTTGCCCGAGCATGATACGATTATACACTAGTTGGCATCTCATTCGATAATATTCACGAATCTGGGTCACCGCACACTCTCTTTCAGCGAATCGACACATTTAGCGCGAAGACTACTGGCACAAGCTCCTCCTAGCTTTCTACCCGCATTCTCTACCCTCGTTTAAGGATCTTACCTACCACCGGACCACGTCGAACTCTCGAACATTACAACATCGCAAATGGATCTTACCCAGCGGCGCAGGCTCGCTGCACTCGACTTCAACAACCCAGGCGATCACTTCACACCAGCAATGCAAATACGAAACGAAGATATGGCAGCAACACATACATTACCCGAAAGGGCGGCGAATCCCACCATCGCCCCCTTCAACACAGGACTCAGCGGAGTCAATCAACCTATGAACCTCTTGTTTAGGGATACACTCTGGCTTAGTATGGGGGCGGTCGCCGTCGTGGTACTGGGAGTCAGAATTATAGAGCTATCATGGGCGAAGCTACGGTTACTTTCAGCCATGTCTATCCCAGGCGATAGACAACACTTTTGGAAAGTGAAGCAATGGAGCTGGATGCCGGGTGTCAAGAGGAATCTCATCTATGCCCCCTTATGGAACAAACGCCACAACCGAGAAATCCGACTCTCGAGCGCCATGAACATGGGTACTCTACCCTCGAGGCTTCACAGCGTCCTTCTTCTCCTTTATCTGGCCAGCAACCTAGCGTACATGTTCATCCTCAACTGGGGCAACGAGAACAAGTACTCATTCTTGGCCGAACTTCGCGGACGGTCGGGCACTCTTGCTATGGTCAACATGGTTCCGCTCATCATCCTCGCCGGCCGAAACAACCCGCTTATTGGTCTCCTACAAGTCAGCTTCGACACTTATAATCTTCTTCATCGATGGATGGGCCGTGTCGTGGTCTTTGAGGTGCTCCTTCACTTGATTGCATGGGCCATCGTCCAGGTAGCCGACAATGGCTGGGCTGGCGTCAAAGAGAAGACATTCAATGACCGCTTCATCGGCTCTGGAATGGCCGGTACAGCCGCCATGGTCGCCATTCTGATCCTGTCTCTGTCTCCTGTGCGCCACGCCTTTTACGAGACCTTCCTCAACACGCACATCATCCTCGCCTTTGTCTCCTTCGCTGCGACGTGGGTCCACTGCGTTACCGCGACCCTCCCGGGCGGACTTCCCCAGCTCCCCTGGATCATCGGTATCTTCTGCGTCTGGATCGCCGACCGGCTGGCACGCATGTTTCGACTCGCCTACTGCAACTGGTCACGCGCTCGCGGAATCACCACCGCCTTCGTCGAGCCCATGCCCGGCGAGACCTGCCGCGTGACCCTCAGTCTCCCGCGCTACGTCGACGTCCAGCCGGGCACCCACGCCTACCTCCGCTTCAGCGGCATCCGCTCGTGGGAGAACCACCCGTTCTCCATCGCCTGGGTCGATCACACCACCGAGGACGAACTGCTTCCCATCACCGAGAAGGACATTGGCGCAGCCGCAAGTCCTTCCTCCCGTCTCAGCATTAAAAAACCCGTCGCCACCTCTGTCTCCTTCGTCATCGGCGCCCACTCGGGCTTCACCCGCAATCTGTATGACCATGCCGTAGCCGGCACTGCCGACCGCCGAAAGCCAGGCATCACGATCCGCGCCGCGTTCGAAGGGCCCTACGCGGGCCACCACTCGCTCGACAGCTACGGCACGGCCGTCCTCTTCGCCGGCGCCACGGGCATCACGCACCAGATCTCGTACCTGCGCCACCTGGTCGAGGGGTACGCGGACGGCACGGTCGCCACGCGGCGCGTGGTGCTGATCTGGATTGTGCGCGACTTTGAGTCTCTCGAGTGGATCAGGCCGTGGATGGACGCGATACTGAGGCTGCCAAGACGAAAAGAGATCCTGCACATCAAACTGTTCGTGACGAGGCCGAAGAACCCAAGAGAGATGGCGAGCGCGTCGCGATCAGTGCAGATGTTCCCTGGTCGGCCCAACATACCGATGTTGATGGCTAAGGAGGTACATGAGCAGCAGGGGGCCATGTGCGTGACGGTGTGCGGACCGGGTGGGTTGGCGGATGATGTGAGGCATGCGGTAAGGAATTGTCAGAGGGAGAGGGGAACGGTGATTGATTTTGTGGAGGAAAGTTTTACTTGGTAATCTCCATCCTTTTCAAGTTCTGGGTTTGGGAGAAGACATCTTTTTCTCTCTTTTTTTGTTCGTTAGGGGCATCTATCTTTCTCTGCTTTTCTTTTTTCCTAGCTGGCTGCCTGCAGGCTACCTAAATACCTACTGACCTACCTAGCATGGCGATGAATCTCTCGATCTCCTCAGAAAGAAGCGAATTCTTTTTCTTCTTTTTGGCTTTCAACATCAGGTGTGAACAAGGCAAAAAAAGGGAATGGCTTCTTTGTACATATCGATCCGCGCCTGCTGTGAATACCTACATAGCATCTATGATGATAATTACAACTACCTTCTCATCTCTGTGGTGAATCTGTGTGCTATTCACCTTATGGTTTTGCTGTCTGTAGGCGATGCGGCGTGAACATGCATACGGATGAGGCAACACTATCCTGATAAGGAACTCCCGTGTTCTCAACTTGAATGGAGATATGACATCAAGGTGCCTTTGGTGTTGATCCGGGATTAGATCTGAAGTCCGAGGTTTGTGGCTTGTGGCTTGTGATTGATGGTTACTTCCGTAGCTGTTGACGAGGATGACCTTACCTGTCACGGTGTGTGTCTTTTTGGTTAATCGAATCACCGGTTTTACAGATGTGAAGCACTCTCAGTGAGAGCTTTGGGAAGGCTTATTTCTTTCATATGACTACTTTTTTGTCACTTGTAGATGACAGGGCGCGAGACACCTTGCTGGTCCCGCATAACATTGGATTGGCATGACGCATGGCTTCTAACGGCGTTACAGCGGATGTGCACTAACTTCCACGCTAGGGGGCAACCCCGCGAGAATAGGAGATGTTTCTTTTCATGATCTTTTCTTTTCTGATGAATCCGTGCTTTAGGAAGAAAAAGAGTGACTGCGAAGGCCTGTCTAAGATCGGCTTCCAACGGGTTTAGAAGTAAACATTCCAGGCAATCGCATGATCCCCCCCTGGCAACGAGAAGTCCGATCATCGGTGACGATACATGTGGCGGAGAAGGGAGTGGGGCTTTGGGAATGTATCCCCTGTTATTATTAGTTCAAATTGGGAGCGGCCTGTCCCTTGTCCGGCCATTGCGCAAGCCGTCCAGCCCGGGATCTCCGTCGTTGATGGCGTCAAGGTTCAGGTCGGGATGGCGTATGCAGTGGTATGCCAGCGCCGGACCCCCGAATCGGAGGACTGGTCGTCCACATGGAAGTTCTCGAAGTAAACACAGCTTCCTCGGGCCCGGGAGGCCGGACGAGCAACTAGTGTACAGTAGTAGTGTGTGCAGTGGAGAGGCGGCCTTAGAACGGCTTTGGCTGTCCAATTGACGTGTTGTCCCTGGAAAAGTTTGCTAGAGATTCATAGCGAACGAGCCAGTCCTGGGTGGCCAATTCATTATTGTCGTGCATGTACACACACTACTATGTACTGTACGACGGGTCTCGGGGGTAGAGGGAAGAGGCTCCCCTCACAGAGAAGATCGACGGGTACTCACCTACCCACATCATAGGAGGGATGACTGTGACTGACGATTATTTAGTGGCCCGCCATTGGGTTTGCACCAACAGTTACTGGTAGCAGCTAAGCCGTCCTTATGTCGTCTGTGCCATCTGTATTGACGATAGCAGACATGGAGATGCCCAGCGCCAGGCGTTATGGAAAAAGATGCCAACACCCAAACCAGAACCAGTGGCGATGAACATGCATAGCATACCCCGCGGAACACTGCATGGAAGAGTCAGCTTGGACATTTGCCCGACATTCAAGACGACTACCAGTGTTTGAAGTGGGCGAAAAAGGGTTGTAGTTAGTCCTTCCGGGAGAGTGGGGCATCCCAGATCCCCCGTCTCGTGGTTGTTGGAGTTGAAGCTTGGCCCCGCGAAGATCTCCCCAGCAAGGCCCATCACGCCCCGTTACCGGAAACGCGCCGGTTGCTCGTCCAAGACGAGAACCAGGTGGAATGACTCAGAAGACTTTCACGAGTTCGGGCGCCGAGTTGGTATAATACTGGACAACGTATCATCTTTCGCCAGTCAGATTCTGGGGAAGTGTCTTCGTTCCCGCTCTGAACTAACCAGTCGTACTTTGCAATTGGGGATTTGCCTTGGGATCTTGCATACCTTCACCCCACTTTTCGTCTTTCTTTTTCCCGAAGCACGTCAGTCGCAACATCGGGCACTCTTTGATCTTTCCCATCTTCTGTCCAAATTGCATTGCCTAGTCATCCACCTTGCACCGTGTTCAAGATGCCGATGTAAGCACAACATACTACGTCGATTCCACCTTGGTGACCCCCGTGTCACGGCGCACACAGGTTTTAACATACAGCGTGTCTCAGGCTCAAGGACCCCTCGACCAAATACAAGCCGTTCCCTCCCCTGAACCTCCCGGACCGGCAATGGCCCAACAAGACTATCGTCAAGGCCCCGCGCTGGCTGGCCACCGACCTTCGCGATGGTAACCAGAGTTTGGTTGACCCCATGGTATGCCTGCCGCCTCTCCTGCCTACTTGCGACCTGTCTCTTGTCACCAAGCTTAGCTAACCCTCCCCTCAGAACGGCGACCAGAAGTGGAGATATTTCCAGATGCTCACCGAGTTGGGCTACAAGGAGATCGAGGTTTCCTTTCCTTCCGCCTCGCAAACCGACTACGACTTTACCAGACGCCTTATCGAGACTCCCGGTGCCGTTCCCGACGATGTTTGGCTGCAAGTTCTGTCGCCCTGCAGAGAAGACCTCATCCGCCGCACAGTTCAGTCCCTCAAGGGCGCCAAGAAGGCCATCATCCACATCTACTTGGCTACCAGCGAATGCTTCAGGAGAATTGTTTTCGGTTTCACAGAGGACGAGAGCGTCGAACTGGCCAGCAAGTGCGCAGCTCTGGTCAAGTCTTTGACCAAGGACGACCCCGAGATGGCCGGCACAGAGTGGGCGTTTGAGTTCAGCCCCGAGACCTTCTCCGATACCAGCCCCGAGTTCGCAGTGCGCATTTGCGAAGCGGTAAAGGCCGCCTGGGAACCCACGGTGGAAAACCCCATCATCTTCAACCTCCCCGCAACAGTGGAGATGGCCACTCCCAACATCTACGCCGACCAGGTGGAGTACTTTTGCCGCAACATTACCGAGCGCGAGAAGGTGTGCATATCGCTCCACCCCCACAACGACCGCGGCTGTGCGGTTGCCGCTGCCGAGCTGGCCCAGATGGCTGGAGCCGATCGAGTGGAAGGATGCCTGTTTGGAAACGGAGAGCGTACCGGCAATGTTGACTTGGTTACCCTGGCCCTCAACCTCTACACCCAGGGTGTCTCGCCCAACATTGACTTCTCCGACCTCGGCAAGGTGATCAAGACCGTGGAGGAGTGCAACAAGATCGAGGTACACCCTCGTGCACCTTACGGCGGTTCTCTCGTCGTGTGCGCTTTCAGCGGTTCTCACCAAGACGCCATCAAGAAGGGCTTCTCCCTGCGCGAAAAGGAGGGCAAGGAGTACACCGATTATTGGCAGGTACCCTACCTTCCTCTGGACCCCAAGGATATTGGACGTGATTACCAGGCTGTTATTCGCGTCAATTCTCAGAGTGGTAAGGGCGGCACTGCCTGGATTATCCAGCAGCACCTCCACCTTGACATGCCCCGTGGCCTACAGGTTGCCTTCAGCAAGGTCGTTCAGAGGATCGCCGACGAGAAGGGCCGCGAGCTTCTTCCCACCGAGATTACCGATTTGTTCAAGAAAACATATTACCTCGATGAGAACCCGCGCTTCAACATTGTCGACTACTCGATCAACCCCGACCGATCCAGCTCGCCGGCGCCGCCCGCTCCGGGCAAGACCCAGGACACCAAGAACCTTGGACGTGTGTTCGAGGGTGTCATTTCTATCGAAGGTCACGAATACAACCTCAGAGGCCGCGGCAACGGACCTATTTCATCTTTGGCTAACGCCCTTAAGAGCGTTGGCGTGGATCTGGATGTCCAGGACTACAAGGAGCACGCCGTTGGCCGTGGTCGTGATGTCAAGGCTGCTACCTACATAGAATGTACGGCAGCCGGACAAACCGAGAAGGTCTGGGGCGTCGGCATTCACGCCGATGTTGTACAGAGCTCTCTGATTGCTCTTCTCAGCGCGGCGAGCAACGTAAGTTCACCTATCGTCAACTCCCTTGATGCTTGGTTTCGAGAATAATTACTGACTCCTCTTTTGCTACAGTTCGTTGGAAGCCGCGTCGGTAGCCCGATCATCCCCAAGCCTGTTGCCGACAAGGAAGTCAGCGGTGACGTGAACCTCAGCGTACCCAACGGTGTCAATGGCAAGAGCATCATCCAGGCCCTCGAGTCCCAAGCGGACGAGATGTGAGTTTGTTGGCTTTTTACAAGTAATGAAATGTAATGAAGCATTTGCATAAGGGTTGGTGAACGGTGGTTCTGGATGGGCTGGGAAAAAGTCACAGTTTCTGCGGTAGCCAAAATCCCCAACCAGGGGATTTTGACTGTTTACTGTTACCATCGACATTTAAAATAGGGGTTTGTTTTCGCGCATTTGTTCACAGATACCTAACCTACTTGGACGCGTTTGAGTTTCTTTGGGACAATCTCACGGATCCACGTTTTCATAAGCCTTAGAAAAAGGGGGCTTGGGGTTATGCTTACACCCAAAAAAAGAAAACATCTGATGACCGTAACCGGGACTACAAGAGATGTCAAAGCAACAGATTGCGTACACACACACACACACATCCAGAATACAGGACAACTGCTACAGCGACTGACAGTGCAGTAACATACAAAGATGAACCTGGCCTGCCTGGGCCCAAGAATGAAAGATATCAAAATCACATGCTTTATGCTGTTCTGGTACTCAGCTCATGCATTCTTTGTCTGCTGCTTCCATGGTAGCAAAACTTCGACAATATTGCCTCTTTCCTCTCCCACCTTGTTGCACGGCCTTTCGGGTGAAACACCGGGGAAGGAGGGGGTCTGCTATTGAGTCAGGATAGGCCATGGACGAGATATGCATCCAGAACACGCTTGTGGAAGGGAGGCAAAATAGTCTGTTATGTACTTTATAGAACAGTAATGGTAATAGAGGCCGAGTGTTTTCTGTCTTCGTGTAGGCCCTGGAAACCCAATCAAATGGCTGTTGGCTGTCGGCTGTCCCTTATAATGTGCAGGCATTTATCTTGGTGGGAAGACTTATACGGGCGACACAGCAATCCCCGAGGGATGCTGGAGAGGGAGCTTAATCGTGAATCTGTGGTACCTTCATATGATCGCTAGGTACCTATTAACTGGTACGGCAAGGAGCGTTCTTTATCTAACAGTTTAGAGGTGGTCACTACATCCACAACGCTTTCTCCTGTTGACGGGTGTTCTGGAAGAAAAGGGATGGGGGCTTCTTGGTGTTCAGAGACCCCCTATTAGGGAGGGAAGTCACTGCTAGCCCAGGCAGCCAATGGAGATGATAGCCCCATCTCCTTTTGCCCATTAGCAAGTCTGGCTTGTCTGGCAGCCGGCCAGGCAGGCAGGGACCTTGGGACAAACCTAGGGAAGCAACATTATACGTAGGTAGGTACTTCAGTTGTAACTGAGAGAGACCACAATCTGGGCGGGGAGGGGGTGTGCGTCATAGAGGTAGGTCTCTCAAACTTGGACCGTAGGTAACTGTTGTTGGTAAGTTTCTGTAGAGTTGGTGGTAACGCCCAAGAAAAGATACAGTGCACATCTGGAAGCGGATAGAAACGTCACTTCTCTCACCCTCCCTTTTCCACGACCCCCCGGCCTTCAGCCCTCCACTTCAAATGCACCTGGACCCCCGTTCAACGTCCAGCAGCCCTGCGGTTGCCGGGTAGCGTGTAGTTGCTACCTACCTACCAGTGAAGCACTGAGCCTTGGGCGCCGTGGGAGCCTGGCCACCTCAGTTGTGTTCTTGCAGACATAGGTAAGGTACCTAGGTACACCATGTGCCATCTTTTACTTCACATGGATGAAAGGACAGATGTTCTTTATCCTAAAACTTGATCCATTTGCCCGTGGGCAAAGCGTCTTCTTGAAGTGTTTGTACAGAAAGGTCTTGCATTTCATTGTCCTTTCCTCTCAAGTTGTTTCGTCCTGCAGTGAGACGTCTAATTCCTTCTTTCCCGCGAAACACGGAGCGAGCCGTTTGGTGCAGGCGAGCATTCCCGTCGACCTTTCAGGCCTGGTCAGCAAAAGTTTAGCGAAGAAACCGCACGAGCCAGGCGACCAAGGTAACACCAAACACAGCACTACTGGGATGCGTTACAGGCTCCCGTCCCTCCCCACAACAACAGGCAACACCCCCCAGCCGGACAGCATCGAAACTGAAAGCATAGTACACAACCCACCTGCACCTTCACCAGGCGAAGCATCAGCACCTGCGATTGTTGACAAAATTTTCGAGCAAAACAAGACCCGCAGTTTGGCGTCAGCACTGCACTGTGTCTGGATTCTCCTCTCTCCTTCCACTTGCAGGCGAACGCTCGGAACAGCGACAAACCCCTCGCATCGCCATCCCCATCCATCCCTCTCTATCCATCGCAATCGTCTCAAGACGGACCGCATCGATACCATCCATCCACCAACCGCCATCACCTGGCATCCAGATCCCACCCACGGCTCTGCATCTGCGCCTCGCCTCCGCGGTTCGATCTGATCTCACCGAAAGCAAATCGAGTCTTGCCCCGATTAAGATTCAAGGTTGCTGTGGACCGTGAACCTTGGACTCCCGCCCCCCGCTTGTTCCACGCAGCAAAACTTTAGTTGCATCAAGCCCAGGCCGACTTTCTCTCCCTTTCGGAAACCCCCCCCTCCCTCTTCTCCCACTACCACCGCCAACCCGCTTCGTTTGCTGGAGAGAGACCCGTTCTTCCTCCGAACCAGGCATCCAAACCGCAACCATGGAGGGCTCTTCAGATATCAACACCGTCCTCACCAACTCGCTGAGTCCTGGTCAGTATATATTCGACATCCTCACCCATGCCCCGACCCTCCTGCCTTTTGGCAGCCGCTCTCGCCATGATGAATCGCGTCAGCTCGTCCAAGCCGTGACGCACATGCTGACTTCTTGTCTCTAGACGCGACCCTGCGACATGCTGCTGAACAGCAGCTCAGCCAAGCCGCTGTGACAAACTTCGTATGGCCTCCTCCCCTCGTTGCTCCTGTGTCGCGTCTCCACAGCAAGGTCCTCAAACCCGCTGACTTGTCTGTTTCTTAGTCTCAATACCTCGTGACACTTGTCCAAGAGTTGGCAAATGAGAGCGCCCAGAGCCACATCCGAGCGGCGGCCGGTATCGCCCTCAAGAACGCCTTCAGTGCTCGCGAGTTCGCTAGGCAAGCAGAGCTCCAAGCAAAATGGCTTCAGCAGACAGACCAAGACACAAAGACACGGGTGAAACAGCTCACCCTCGAGACCCTCGCCTCCAGCAGTACCCAGGCAAGCCAGGCCTCGGCGCAGGTTATCGCGGCTATCGCTACCATCGAGTTACCACGAAACGAGTGGCCAGACCTTATGCACGCCCTGGTCAAGAATGTTAGCGAGGGAAGCGAGCACCAGAAGCAGGCCTCTCTGACCACCATCGGCTTCATCTGCGAGAGTCAAGATGTCGATCTACGAAACAGCCTGGTTCAACATTCCAATGCCATCCTCACAGCTGTTGTCCAAGGTGCTCGCAAGGAGGAGCCCAACCGCGAAGTCCGACTTGCCGCCATTACCGCCCTCGGCGACTCTCTCGAGTTCGTCGGTAACAACTTCAAGCATGAGGGCGAGCGCAACTACATTATGCAGGTTATTTGCGAGGCGACACAGGCTGAGGACTCTCGGATACAGCAGGGTGCTTATGGCTGCCTCAACCGCATCATGGCCCTCTACTACGAGAACATGCGCTTCTACATGGAAAAGGCTTTGTTTGGTCTCACCATCCTGGGCATGAAGAGCGATGACGAGGATGTGGCCAAGCTTGCAGTTGAGTTCTGGAGTACCGTTTGCGAAGAGGAGATTGCTATTGAAGATGACAATGCTCAGGTACGTTTCACTGCCACCTTGGTTGAGCAAGAATCCCACTAACAACAGCTGCAGGTTGAGAGCTCGGAGCAGATGCGCCCCTTCTACAACTTCGCCCGCGTTGCTACACTCGAAGTAGTCCCTGTACTCCTACAGCTTCTCACCAAGCAAGATGAGGATGCGGCTGATGACGAGTACAACATTTCGCGTGCTGCGTACCAGTGTCTCCAACTCTACTCTCAGGCTGTCGGTGCGGCAATCATCCAGCCAGTCATCCAGTTCGTTGAAGCCAACCTTCGCGCTGACGACTGGCACCTCCGTGATGCCGCTGTTTCTGCTTTCGGTGCCATGATGGACGGCCCCGAGGAGAAGTTGCTCGAGCCTATCGTCAAGTCTGGCATGCAGCCCTTGATCGGCATGATGGAGGATCCCTCTTTACATGTTCGTGACTCGACCGCATACGCTCTTGGCAGAATTACAGAGACTTGCTCGGAAGTGATCGATCCCGCTGTTCACCTTGACCCCTTGATCACCTCCCTGTTCAACGGCCTCATGAGCAGCCCCAGAATGGCCGCGTCCTGCTGCTGGGCTTTGATGAACCTCGCGGAACGTTTTGGCGGCGAATACGGTGCCGCGCAAAACCCCATTACTCCTCACTTCAACCAGTGCGTGACCAACTTGCTCGCCGTAACGGCGAAGCTTGACGGTGACGCTACAGTTCGCACCGCTGCCTACGAGGTTCTTAACGTGTTTGTGCAGAATGCTGCCAACGACAGTCTCCCTGCTGTTGCATCCCTCTCGGATGTTATCCTCCAACGTTTGGAGGAAACCCTGCCCCTGCAATCCCAAGTTGTCAGCGTTGAAGACAAGATCACTCTCGAGGATATGCAGACCAGTCTCTGCACCGTGCTCCAGGCAATCATCCAGCGCTTGGACAAGGAGATCACTCCCCAAGGCGACCGCATTATGCAGGTTCTGCTTCAGCTCTTGAACACTATTAATGGCAAGTCGGCCGTTCCTGAAGGTGTCTTTGCAGCCATCAGCGGTCTTGCGAACGCCATGGAGGAGGACTTTGCCAAGTACATGGACGCTTTTGCTCCCTTCCTTTACAATGCCCTGGCAAACCAGGAAGAGCCGAGTCTCTGCTCTATGGCTATCGGCCTGGTCAGTGATATCACTCGCTCCATGGGCGAACGCAGCCAGCCATACTGCGATCAGTTCATGAACTATCTCCTTAACAATCTCAGGAGCACTGCTCTTGCCAACCAGTTCAAGCCTGCAATCCTGCAGTGCTTCGGCGATATTGCTGGCGCTATTGGCGGTCACTTTGAGGCTTACCTCTCGGTTGTTGCTGTTGTCCTTCAGCAGGCTGCTACCGTTACCGCTTCCGCCGAGGGCTCTTATGAGATGTTCGACTATGTGATCTCTCTCCGTGAGGGTATTATGGATGCCTGGGGTGGCATTATCGGTGCCATGAAGGGCAGCGACAAGAGTAAGTTTCCTCGGTCTTAATCGCGCTTTGCAGAGGCTGACAAATGTCGTACAGCCAACGTTCTCGAACCCTACGTTCAGTCGATCTTTGAGCTTCTTAACACTATTGCTCAGGATCCTAACCGCAGCGAAGCCCTCATGCGGGCCGCTATGGGTGTCATAGGGTAAGTTGGCATGATGTTGAGACAACACATTATAGAAACACTAACGATTATCTAGTGATCTTGCGGACGCATATCCCAACGGCCAGCTGGCCGAAGTCTTCCGTCAGGACTGGATCACCGCCATGATCAAGGAGACTCGGTCGAACCGCGAGTTCCAGCAGCGTACCATTGAGACTGCTCGGTGGGCGCGCGAGCAGGTCAAGCGTCAGATCAGCGGCACCCAGGGCATGATCCAGACATGAGGTTCACTCAGCCCTGAGGACAATCCCAAAGGTGCTCTCTCAGCTCGTCGGCCCTCAGGGCCACTAGCGTTACTTCAAGCACTTCACTCCCGTAGTCGCTTTGGAAGATGCATTATCCCATCACTACCCCCAAGCCCCTTAGCAGCAAATCCTTGACGAACGCGACACGATTCCACGACACTACACCCAATCCCTCCAGTAACACGATGCACAAATGATGTGATACAAGCCCCTCGATGGTTTTGCACTAATTTATACATCATGTTCGTTTAAATGACACTTCACACAGCACCAACACACCTTTATATCCCTCGTCCCCCTTGCGCGCGGCTGCTAGCACTGGTTTGTTATTTGGTAACACGAATCCTGGGCGTTATTCGGGTCAGCGATAGAGAAGAAGGAGGAAAACGAGAGAAGAGATTTATCATGTACTGCGCGTCACCCTGTAGCACACGTTTCCCTTTGATATCCAAGGCAAAAGGAAGAAGGACGTGCATCATAGGGCGATCCGACGCACAACGCACAATCATGTAGAGACACACGAAGAAAGAAACCATTCCCTCAAAACAAACAATCCCTTGTTATGCATACTCCCACTCCCACTTATACTTTACTTACCTTTGTTCACACCACTTGTCCGAAATACCTACAATAACATGTAACATTTAACATCCAACAGGAGAAGGAACTATGTCAAGGCGCAGGAGGGAGGATTGGGCCTTCTCGGGGGATCATTCACATGTACCCTCACAGTCGTATATGGGTTGGCTACGGCAAGAACAAGGCTCTTGTTTGATGAAGCTAACTTGCGATATGATATCAGAAGAAGTGTTCTTGTCTAGTAGAAACAGCGAAGAAAAAAAAAAAAAAAGAAAAAAAACTAGACAGTTGCTAGGCTCAATGTGAACTATAACTTCCTCCCTAGGGCTTTGAGTGCTGTGAAGTGATAGTGCCCGCTACCTGTACACTTTAATACATCAACCATTTGGCACGCGACCAATCACGTGTAGCTCTTCTATGGCGGAAGTGCTACTTGTGATGCCTGCAGTTCAGTTCAGACAATCTTCAAACTGGTACTGAAGGTCCCACCTTATCCATTCTTTCGCAGGGCTGATTCTCAAGCCTCTTTACGATAATGAGTGACTTCCACCACAGTCTTTGCTGTCGGTCAAAACTAAGTGTGTTTTGGATTCCCAACTCCCACTGTCGTTCGTCTTCCGAGTGTGGGTCCTGGGGCTGCTATCTGGCGACGGGCGGGTGCCGACCGAAAGTTTTGCCCCGAGGGTTCAAATCGATTCAGGCGCGCGGCATTCGATTTTCACCCATCTGCGCCTGCCCTGTGCAGCACATATCCAGGGCAATTGGCGGTAGAGATTGGACCATATCTTGCCCTGCCGGCAATCAAATCATCCGCCCCGCAACCAACAAGAAGCCGCTCCGGCAAATCTACAGCTTCAACAGCTACCTTTTCTGGTCTGTCATCTGCAACTAAAACATCGCCGTTGTGCCGTACCGGCGTCCCATTATCGCTTCTTCTTATTCTTTTTGCCCTAGGCATCCTCCTCATCCTCCTACGGGTCCCAAAGCGCCGCCCGCGTCGTTGCCGGCAAGATGGACCAGGAGATGAAGCAGGCCGAGCAATCGCCGTCGCCAGCTCCCATGGCGATGGCTTCGATGCCGGCCGCGTCGCCTCAACCACAACAAGACGTCGAGATGCACCAGGACCAGGACTCCCCTCAGACTCCGATGCAACTGGACTTGTCAAGCCCCGTGCCAAATACCAATAGTCAGCCACAGCAACAACAGCAACAGCAACAGCACCAACCGCAACAACTGCAACCCCAGGTCAACCAGATCAACGGGCAACAGCTCACCGGTCAAATTCCTGGCCAATTTCCTCTTCCCGGCCAACCTCCAAGCCAGGTCAATAGCCCAGTCTCTGTCGGAACTCCTGGACAAGTTCCTGGCTTAGCCCTCCCAGCACCTGTCATCAAGCGAAGAGCTCCAATCGCTTGCCGAAGGTATGTGAACAGTTGCCGGATCGACGTGGCATCATCCAAACGTCACGAGTACCCAGGTGAAAGCGAAGGACTAACGTGTCGCCCTTTACAGATGCCGCCGTATGAGAAGCAAATGTCTCCATGACAAGGCCCAACCTCCCTGCCAGGCTTGCCGCGATGCTGGACTTGGTCCGGCTGACTGGTAAGAGTTCCCATGATGCACGCAGGCCCTGTCGCAAGGGTGTCTCTACTCTCTTCATTTGCTAAAACCAACCCTTTTCCCCAGTACGTTCCCCGTCCGTGGCCAGCCCGATCAAGATCGCGAATACCGACACCCTCGAATCAGAGCCGACAAGGCAACCAAACGAGACCCCGCGAAGGTCCGGCGCGAAATCCTCGATGCACCCGTACGCTCACCAGCGCCGGCGGTGCCCAGACCTATCAAGGGCTACGATGAATGGGATCTTCTGCCGCCGCTGCCTGAAATAGTCGAAGCCGTCCACAAGTTCACAGCTCACTACTTTCAGTTGGGCTTCATCCACAAGCAACACTTTCCCGAGCGGCTACGGACGAACCACCGATCTATCAGCGTGTTTTTCCTGCTGAGCATCTTGAGCATTTCGGCCCGATTGACACCAACATTGGTGGATCGGTTTGGCGGTGCTGTTCAGGCCGCTGAAATCTTTATGGAACGCGCCTCCGAGGTTGCTTGCCGCGAACTGTATAGAGATCCGGACCTGGAGAGATGTCAGGCGTTCTATCTGTTGAGTATTGCCCAGCAGGGAAGCAGCTTGAAACAACAGAGCTCGATCAACATGGCAATTGCTATGCGTATGGCCACATTGATGGGACTGCATAGGGAGGAGACCTACAGGCTGCCGGAAAACCCCTCGGAGGAACTAATCATGAGGGCAGAGTCCGCCCGCCGCACCCTGGTACGTGGCTCATCCTTACATTGGATGGAATGATGGGATTGCGAAATGGTCTGTGACTAATTGAATGATAGTGGATGCTCCATAGTCAGGACAACCTCCATTCGGGTCCGCGGTGCCCCGTATCTCTATCAGCCAGCGATATCACAGCATTACTGCCTTGCAACGAGAAGGACTTTGCCACTGGTCAAATTCCAAAGTCGAGAGCAGCGCTCCAGGACACTCCTCCGGCCCTGGAGAACCCTAGTCTTGTTACCGACGAGGGTCGGTCCCTGTTTGCAACGCTTATCCAGGCCCATTACTTCTGGGGAGCGATCTCCCGCCGGGTGCTCAGCAACGACAAAGTTACGGATCCATGGGAGCCAGAAAGCGAGTATGCAATTATGGTCAACCGCCTTGCGGAATGGGAGAGGGGTTTGCCTAATGACCATCGGTGGAGTAGCTTTCTCCTTAAGGGCTATAAGCAGGAAGGCCAGGACCTGGTGAGTTACAAGGAGGAACATGGAAAGCAAATGCCTACTCAGCGCTAATATCTCCGTAGGCATACCTTGGTGTGACGATGATAACTCGGCTCTGCAATATTGTTCTTAGGAAGGCATACTTGACCGAGTAAGTAACCCCGGTCAAGCGCTAAAGACTTTGAGCTGACAACACCGCATCATAGTATCTTGTCCGACGATAAGTCCCAACCAGAGCGCACAGCTTTCTGGACTGAAATGTCTCGTCAACTGTTCAGCAACGTCAGAGATCTGTACGAACAAATCGACACTCAATACAACGAGCGGTCACCCGAGGAAGGTCCTGGGGCACAGATGGCGGTAAGTACTGATGGGATTTGACTCAATCAATGAATGCTGACTGAACTCCTATTCAGGCGTTCTGCGTTTACAGCTGTGGCTTCCTCGCATGCTACTTGTGCAAATATCCAAACCGTAAGCTATCTGCCCTGAAGAGTGTTCTTTCAAGGACAATAAGCTAACGCGACATCATAATCAGTCTGCCCTGAGCCAGCCATTACTCGCGAAGGCCCTTCAATGGTTGCTCGTGTTCTCAGCATCTTGGCAGAAAGTAGGAACATATGGCCTTTGGCAACTAGGTGGTATGAGCATCTGGAACGGTTCTACACAGCCCAAAGCGGCGTGATAGTTGGTAACGAGGGTACCATGGCGGACAGCGTAAGTTATCATCATTTCCTCCAAAAGGCCCCTCGTTCACGGACTCGGCAGGCTGATTTTAACCTCCTGCTCCCCCAGAGAGATGAAATACCTCATGTCCTTCAGATGCCGACTGTCCAGCAACAGCAAGCCCAGGCTCAAGCTCACATGGCTTTGGTTCAAGCACAAGCCCAGGCTCAGGCTCAGGCTCAGGCCCAGGCTCAAGCTCAAGCTCAGGCCCAGGCTCAGGCTCAGGCTCAAGCACAGACACAGCAGGCACAGCAGGCACAGCAGGTACAAGTACAGGCACAACAGCCATCGCAGCTACACTCAACCTTTACTGCTCAGATGCAGGCCCAACAGGCCCAACAGGTACAGCAAGCTTTAAGCGAAAAGCAGGAGTCTGTACCTCAGGGTAGTCCGGAACAGGCGATCATTAGCCCAGCACAACCCAGTGTCCCAACTCCCGCGATGTTCATCGACCCCAGTCTGCGTGTGCCTACATCCTCACAACCGCAGGAGCAGACTCCTGCTCCAACCGCTCCCCAGCTGCAAGATTCGACATCCCCTTTGCAACAGGGACAGCAACCGCAACCTGTCGCCGCTGGTGTAGCTGGTCGGCAGTCAACAGATGGGCTGGGCCTGCTCATCGAAGCGTTTGACACTCAACAAGCTGGTGGCGTCCCTCCAACGACCACGGCTGGTCAAGGACAAGTTCCGTATGACCCACAAGCAACCCCGCAGCAGTATTACCCGCAACCCGGTACCTTGGGCGTCAATGACGGGTATGAGAATGAGTTGGGCTATTACATGTCGGATCAGGGGCAACCCGGTGCTATGCAAAGCTGGGTTGGTGGAACGAATATGTATGGGTATTAGGAGCAACCCACACAGAAAGACATGGCGGAGGCGGAGTTCATAAAGAGGGACTTTGGGAATTAAAAGAGCAAGGAGTTGATATAGGCGATATGTCTAGGTTAGGTGGGGCATCATCCGGTTGACGGTTGGAGTAGGGATTTAGGCGTACCTTGAAAAATAAAAATAAGAAAAAAAGAGAAAATATATAAGGAGTTGGACTATGGATGGTCTGGATTTCTATAAACTAATGAATACATAGGATTTCGGTGTTCAACTTTGCCATTTCGGGGGGAAGAGGTTTTGCGCCATGGCCATGGCTTTATACTACAGCTCTGTTGATGTCGAATGGCCATGATTGTAGTAGCGCATGTATGGCTGGCGCTGTTGGACTAGTTCCTCCGAAACTTTGCTATAGTGCTTGGAAATCGATAGACCAACGAACTTTTTGAAATATTTTCCAATTCTCAGAGTGCAATATGCCTGCTTCCGGTAAAACTAGTCGGACTCGTCGGCATCATTCGATGTTATAAGTCCAGGTCATCTTCACACTCTGTGAACCAGGTATAAGTAGTGCAAGTATCAAGCCTCAGCAGACGCCTCCAGATACACAGTTTGCCAAGGTGTTTTTCAGCACCGTACACTCCGTCATCCATGCCCGGAGTTTCCCTAAAACTCGGGAGCTTCTTAGGGTTATCTATGGCAGTTCGATAAGAGGCTTTCAGAGGGTTAAGCTAGCAAGTCACAAGCAAGTCAGCGCACCTGCTTGCGCTAGCGGGACAACAGCAGTCGCCGATTGCGAAGCGGAATTCGCGAGCCGGCAGCGCAACCAGACAAATCGCAAAACCTACCTACCTACCTACCCTTATCCTCCTCCGGTGACATCAGGGTAGATAGAAGCTCCCGGTCTTGAACTCCTACCTCGCCTCTCTCCCTGCACCAATTCCCCCTCTATCCTCCTACCAAAACCCCGCGACAAATTCACAATGGGTTCCAGCGCCTCGAAGCCCTCTGCTGCGGCGCCGCATGTGTGGAAGGCGTATGTCATTCTTCTTTCTGGGCAATTGATGGATTCTGGAGACTATTAAGAGAGTATGGGAAAGCTGACTTGTCAAACCCAACTAACTAGGCCCGCCCCGGCTGGTGTATCGCACACTCTTGTCGAGCAGTTGGAGTCTAGCCCCGAGGTATGATGCCGTCTCCGTCCGTGCCATTTAGCTGTCGAGCTAGTATACTGTCCTCCTGCCTCTGCCTACGATGCGAACCGGTTACTCTTCCCACGCCCACGCTACTGCGTCCCTCCTCCTCCTCCTCCTCCTTCGTTCGCCTACACAGCAGATTCATAAACCGTTTCATACCAGCCATCCAGCCAGCCAGCTCAATGCCTTCAATCATTACGCATCAAACTTCAACTGACACACAACGAAACATAACAGACCGACATGTCCCGCCAACAGGCCCTCGAGCTCCAAGTCCAAGCCCGCGTCGCTGAAGAGTTGAAGCGACTCCGGGCCGCCGAAGCCGCCAAGCTGCAAGAAACTCTTAAATCCTCTTCCTCCGACGAGCAGCAACAACAACAAGAGAACGGCATTAGCAGGCAAAAGGTCCAGAAGGAAATCGAGGCTTTGCGTGCCAAGCTTGACGAGCACCGCAAGGTGCGCCCGCTGCCCGAGAGCACGGAGACGGCGCGCAGCGAGGTGGTGCGGTGTCTGCGTGAGCACGACCGCCGGCCGCTGGACTGCTGGAAGGAGGTTGAGGCTTTTAAGGAGGAGGTGCGGAGGCTGGAGAAGGGATGGGTTGACAAGGTTGTTGCTTAAGTTCTCTGAGACTTGAGTGAAAGCTTTTCCCCGGACGCACCTAGGGTACCCGGCATACACACACATACCGACAGACGGATATACAGGAGGGGATATACCTGGACTGGGTACGGATGTTGGCGGTGGGCCTGGGTGTAAGGAAGGGAAAGCAAGAAACCTTGTGCGCTCATTTTTGCGCAGCCCAAGGAAGTGTTGAAAAGGGCTAGGGATGAGTGGATGGGAATGACGAGGCCAGCTGGGTCTTCTCATGGACCAAAAAGGAGAGGGAGAAGCTGCTAGTTGAGTTCATCTGCAGTCAATCGGAAGAATAAGCAGAAATGAGCAGCTCGTTGGTTGGGGTTACTGGTTGATAGGGTTGACTGCGACATTGCAGTCAGTCAAGTGTGTGTATGTGAGCGTGTATCATAGATGTCTCAAAAAGGTCAAGAAGCTGAAGACTTGTGGCTTTGGAGCTTGGAGCAATGGTAATAGATAAAGGCTAGGCTTTCCGTTCAGTCAATTCAGTCAGGTCAAGACAACGATCCAAAAGAACGGCAAAGAACTCGGAGACAAGACAAGCAAGAGTATAGATCAACATTATTTTCCACCGCCTTGACAACGGCTGTACCATAGTGGGAGAGAGCACCACAAGTTAACTCAGCGCCACGTGAAGACCTGTCCGCTAAAACAGATACTGTTGGGTCAAGAGGGAACTACCAACTATCTCTACAGAACATCGGGCACCTGCAAAACCACCTCCGCCAAATCTACTTTGCCCGCATTTTCCTCCTTGATTTCCTCCTTAATTTCCTCCTGTTTTCTCTGTTTCTCCTCCTTCCTTCTCCTAACCTCCTCCCGTCTCGCCAACCCTTCCTCCCTCTTCCTCTGCTTTCTAGCCTCAGCATCCTCCCATTCCGCATTACCACTTTCACCATCGCCGCTCTTTTTCTTCTTCTGTCCCTCAACACCAGCAGTAGCTCCCTCACCAAAAGCCAACCTCAATGCCTCCTTAAACCTAGCTATCCTCTTCTTATTCTCCTCGAACCGCTCGTTGGCAATCTTGACCAGCAGAGACAGGTATTCCGAAGACACCAAGGACTGTCGTTGAGAGCCGCGTTGGACGCCGATTAGGGACTCGAAGGAGAGGCCCATGGAGCGGATGGCTACTATGGGGTTTGGAGTGACGGATTCTGTTGGTGTTGGTGTTGTTGTTGTTGTTGATGATGATGGTGGTGATGATGATGATGATGATGAGAGTTGTTGCTGGAGGGGATTGTGGTGAGTATGACACTGGTGACAGGAGGAGAAAAAGGGAGCAGTTAGACGGGGCAAGATGGAGACGGCGCCTGTTTCGCGGAAGCCCGAGGTCATGCCGGATTGGATTGCTAGGTGGGCGTGATAGGGCGAGGTGGTTAGGATGTGGAGGATCTAGGGCGGTTGGGGAGGGGGTTAGTTAGAGCTCTAGTGATGGGGGGGGGGGGGGGGGGGGGATGCAAGTAGAAGGGAATAAAAGAACGTACCATGGGTTCAAACTTGAAGTGAATTAACCGCTGCTGCTCTTGCTGTGAATCCCCATCACCAGACCCAGACCCAGGCTCAGACCCATTCCCAGTCAAGCCAAACACCTCCATCCAATGGTCCCCATCATACTCCCTCCCCGTCTTGGCGTCAACTGTCTCTAACGGATCATGAGAAACAAACAGCCATTCCCCTCCACCTTTACCTCCAGAGGAACTAGCTGTTACCGCAGCTGTAGCTGTTGATGCCCTTACCCCATCTTCACCTCCTTCGCCAACTCCCTCTCCCTCTCCCTCACCCTCCTCAACACCACCCGCACCAGAAGCTTTGTTGTTCTTCTTCCTCTTCACACCCTCCAAATAAACACTCACCCTCCCCGCGCAACTGCTCGTCGTCACCAATCCTTCGTAACCATGGTTGATCTCATCAATCAGTTCGCGAATGGCGACGTCGACTGATCCTTTGGGAGAGGCGTCGGTGTACTCGACGTCGGGAACGGAGAGCTGGGAAAGGATTTTGGATTTGCGGGTGAGGAAGGAGGGGGTGGGTGGGGGGAGCATGGTTCGGTCTTGTTTGTGCGTCGAGTGGTGAGTTGGGTGACGGAAGTTGTTCGGGGTTAAAAAGCGTGGGTCAAAGAACGCTTAGTGATTTAGATGAGATATATGGGGGGCGAGAGAAAAAAAAAAAAAAAAAAGCAAAGAAAAGAAGAAAAATTAGATTTGAATTTGGTAAGCTGGTAATTCGTGAAAGGTGGTTGTTGAGCTGTGGTGGACTGGTTTTGACAAGGTGAGGTTCGTGTCATTGACTGATGTCTGAACTGCAGCTCTCAAACAATTCTTTTGTGAATTGTGGGTCCCTTTCTCATGTATCTATCTACCTACAACAACCTGGCCTTATGCTTCCCAGCAATACTGTGACTTTTCGCCGGAATCATTCGCAATATCTCAATAACCGGAAACCAGGAGTCGTACACAGTATATTTTATTGTTTTGAAACCAGTGATTGAACGTTACCACGCCGCCCGCTGCGGTCTAAACGCACATGTATCTGTCTACATAGCCTCCACTCAACGAAGCCGTTGATAACAAGTTTAGTAGCAACGTGTGATAGTTACGAGACCAATGCCACGTGAGGCTGTTTACATATGGTATTATAGAAGTTTCTAACTAAAAACCACAAACAAAGTTTGGGAACTAGCTACTCTCATCAGGGTATAAAAAAAACTTAAAATTCGTACAGTAATGAGGCCTGTCCGTCCAACTCCTTCGTTGTTGCTCCCGTCCCTATGTGTTGCCAATGAGATACGAACCACTAGGGCGCTGTACCCCCGTCTGATTCATCCTGGCTTTACTCTTCTTCTTCTTCTTCTTCTTTTTTCCTGCTGCTGCTGTTTACAAGTTTATGATCGCTGTTATTGTTTGATTACAAAAAGAACAAGAAAAAAAAAAAAAAAACTCTTCATTCAAACTGGTGCACGCATGTTCTAAAACAACGTAAAGCCGTGCATGCCGTTAGGTATCTGACAAACAAGGGGGAGAAAAGGGGACAACATAAAAACATGAAAAATAATGGTGCGTTGATGCGTACTAATGGTATATGTAAAGATAGATGGGTGTGCAGGTGTGCTATATGTATCGAAGTCAAACAGAAACGCCGAAAATGGCAAGATGCGGAGAAAACCATCAATATCATGTCCTGACCTCCGCCGTCGACCCATTATTCGAGTTTCGCAATGCTGTAGGTCCCATGAATCCTGTCTGAGGCAACTGCGGCGAGACGTTTTGCATTTCCATGCCCTCTTTCGAGTCAGAAACCGCTGGCTGTTGCCAGCGCCGATGGGATCCCAGTCGCTGGTCACCCTGGTTATACTTGACCTTGAATCCGTAATAAGTCGGGGGCCTTGGCCGGCATAGCACGACAAACCAGTTCTTGAGCCAGTTGGCCTGAGTAAAAGCACGGTATCGATCAGACTTGGGAAACTTGTGAGAGTTGAGGTATTCGCGAGTTGTCTCGCCGCGAGCCATCAAAAAAATGTGATATCCGGTGAGTGCAGCCGGGTATAAAAATGTCAGAAATCCAAAAAAGACCATGGCAAAGGGTACGCGAAAGTGATTGACCGCGTGACCAAAGCTGATATGGTGTTGATTCTTGTACACCAGAATTTGTGCCAGGCAGGCGCCGATAAGGTACAGAGCAAGAACGGTTGCCGAGCTGACGAACGTGAAAAAGTAGCGGTAATTGCGACGACCAACACAGTTGTTGAGCCATACGCAGTGATGGTCTTGGGTCTCAACACAGTTATCGCACAAGCGGCAGTGATGAGCGCGTGGAGGACGCCACAGTTGGCATGTCTTGCAGTATTTGATCGGGACCTCCATTGCTGCCGTTGAAGCTTCTGCCGAGTGAACGAGAACCCAGTCGGTCGTTGGCGGGCCTGTCGGGCTGTCCTCCATTTCTGGAGGAGGAAACTTGTGCAAGTTTCTCGGTAGGATCTAGAACATGTCAGCGTGACAGTCACTCAATCACAAAGGGTAACAAGCCGTAACATACTCCTGGATCTGACGCCGAGGCGTGTAGGAACGAAGATACACAGATATAAGCAAGATAAGCAAATGTAACGGGTATCGCGGGTGAAATGTTGTGCCAGATCCAAGGCGCCGAGAAGATGAAAAAGAGGATGCAAGGGAGAACGATCAGTGACCCGGTTGCTATATTTATCGGGCGTTGCTTTGTGTTCTGAAACCGTCCACCTAGGCAGAAAACTGTGTTTCCTTCGAAGTATTCGTAGTTTTTCCCAAGATTCGCGCGCTTCTGCCTTTTTGCACGTCTTTTGAATCTGGCCCTTTGCCTCTCGTAACTTTGGGGTGGGATGTTGGGAGACGAGGCAGCTGATTGCAGCTTCTCTCCGCCCTCAATTTCTCTATTGGAGCCCGTTATCCCGGACTCGTTCATCCTCGGCATCAAGAAGCTGGACCTGAAAGATCGCGACGTCCTCGTTGGTGACCTCGGTGGAGTTGTCGGGCTTTCCTCTCTGTAGTTTTTGTTCATTTCCACGTTGATGTTCCGAGCATCGACGGGTCTCTGCAGCGGCCGGACGCTATCCGTAACACTCGAAGTAGGAAAAAATCCGTTGATGGGACTCGTGTTGGCTGTCATGCGGTCCATTGTTTCCTGCTCCGTCATTTCGGTTCCCCTAGAGGGCATACGCAGCTCTGCGTCCTCCGCAATCTGTGCCCCTATGCGGCCGCTTCCAGTTGAGATGACACTATTGCGAGCCCCTGCTTCTCCCGTGATCACATATGGGCGGTTCATTGTTGGCGGGCGCCCAGCGCCCCTTTGCGCCTGGAGTTTCTGCGAGCTCATCGGACGAAAGAAGCCATGGGACGTTAGAGACGGGACATGACTCCTGCTCGCAGCGCTGATGGGGCGACCTCCTGCACTGCCGATGCTCCCAGCTATGCTTCCTCGCTTCCCCGACAATTGTTGGCGTAGAGGTACCGATTGCGCCCACGGACCCCTTGATGATAGCCCGGTCCCAGACGTCTCGGGACGAGACTGTGTGTCCGAATAAAAGCCACTCCTCCTGTTGGGGTTAGCGCTCGAAGGGCCACCACCGCGTGGTGTTGTATCTGATCCTTGGCCATCTTCCGTGCCAATATCCGTCATTCGCGAAGATATTAGGCTGGGAGGGCCAGCAACGGTAAGCTCGGCTCGAGGAGGGTACTGTGGGAACGTGTTATCGACATTTGTCGGGGAGGCTGACCTTGAGGGTCCCTCTTCGGATGCCATTGTGTCGGCTAGGGAATCCTCCAAGTCCCGCACTTCGACCGCGCAAGAACGGCGTGTGTGTGTGATGTCTAGCTAATGTCGGGAGATCCCACGCTATAGCATGGCTATGATTCGAGAGCGATGATGGTAAAGTTTCCCAACGGTGGAAAAAGAGGTCGGCGATGAATATGACAAGTTGCGGCGGACTATAAGTCGGGCGCAAATGTGTCGACAGCGTCAAGTATACGTGAGCGACGTCGCTTGGGAGTTTCGAGGTCCGGGCGCGCTACACGGGGTGTCGGGATACTGAGATCAGACGGAGGAGTGGTATGCTTGACGCAATGACGCTCGGATCGACGGGATGGCGGCGCAATAGAACGGTTTCGGTAGGATACGGTATCTCGTAAGTCGGGGCTGGGTAGCTGGCTGGTCGCTGATGTGTCGAGTTCAGGTCGGCTGCCGTTTTGCTGTTACAGTTGGCGGTGCTTATTTGCAGCAAGGGGATTGCGGTGTGTATGTGCGAGTGCGTACGTCGGGTCGTTGGTGAAGGAGTGTTGTCTTTCCCTATGGCGGCGAAATCACCCTGGTCTCGGTCGGACGAAAATAATGAGCGTATCCGTAATCCAACTTTGTTGGTTTCCAGCTGTGTTAAGGAGTGGACGGCTGAGCGAGATCTCAGCCTTTTGGATTAGTGCGAAGAGAGAGTGGTGTTTGCCTTGTGCCTTTTTTTCGGGTCGAGTCTAAACGGAAAGTCGAAAAGTGTTGTGCAACGGGATGGGTTGCAAGGAGTGCAGGGCAGTGGTTGGCCAAGAGCCTCGCATCATCCCCCGTTCCCGTCCTTCTCAGCATTCCCGTCCCTTTTTGGGGGGTGACCTTTGGGTGTGCACTGCAAAGCAATTCCTATGGTAGAGGTACCTTGGGAAACCCCCAGTCAATGTCAAGCGTATGGTAGGCCCGGCCTTTGCACCGGGCACTTTGTTCGAGATCATATTGAAATGGGCCGTGTCATCCATGCAGCGCCGTCATTTCTTTTCTGCTCATCAGCCCCAGGCATCCTTTGGGTTAGTGATCGCGATGACCCCACTCCACGGGCACCTCTTCCACTGGTGACAAAAGCATTCCTCTGCCAGGTCCTCTATCTACATATGTGCCTGGTACACTACACTTCCGCTTCGCCTTGCGTGTCGGTGCCACGCCTGCATACTAAGCAATGGAACACTGTGGCCCCTGTCCCCTTGAACTGCCAAGCTGCCCCTGAGCCAACCTAGCGCTCCCTACCTATCAAACCTCCCAGATTCGATTTTTATGCCTGGGCTCCTTTTCCTGATGAAGGCCTCTGAACCGTCAACTCCATGCGGTGCCATTACGTAGACGTGTAGTTCGTGAAGCTGACGACAGACATGCCTAAATTGGAGGTACGGAGGACGGAATGCGATAATTCAAACTCGGATCACCACAAACAAGGTGGCTGCATACCGCAGTACGCACGCATCATGTACTCCAGATGCCCGTCACACGTGGGCAAACAGCCGGAGCTCAGCTGGCTGACTGTAGCTGAGGTTTGGTTCATTCAATCCCATCTGAACTTGGGATGCCGGGCCCACTGTTGCCGTCCGATCGGGCGTCGGGCAGCACCGCAGCCATTCCGGCTTTTGCGACACTGCACACTGTGATATGTACACTACACTACCAGCTATACTATGTACGCGTTCAGCCCTAACCCTCCGCTCATTTGACCGATAATAAAGCACCATCACTTGGCTCACCAACCAGGCAGCACCTTACGTAAGACATGCCAAGTCTTTTACCTCCAAGCCTCGAAATCATACCACTACCCGTTAAATCCACCCGTCCAGGCCGTCAAGGGGTCCGTGCACCAAGAAACCTCAAAGCTTGTGCTGTTGCTGCATCATCGAAAGCCGAAAGCTCTCAATTCCCCGAAACACACTTCGCACCTGACGCCATAGCTACCTCCCGTTCGCCGGAACCCCCACCACCGACCTCGACAACAAACCCTCCCCAGTGACCCGTTCGTCGAAACTGCCATCCAGCCCGACCTTTCACACCATCACAATGGCCTCCTTCATTGCCCGCCGTGCTTTCTCCACCACCGTCCGTCGCATGACGACTGGTGAGGAGGCTCTCAAGACCGAGTCCAAGAAGAACCCCGAGATTCTGGTGCGTGATATTTGAACAAATAGGGGGACCTCGTGCCTCGCTTTTCCCTCAACACATCGACCTACCGAATAGTCGGGAAGGGAGGTTCCGCAGGAGCTTTGGGCGAGCTGGATCCTTGCGCCGGGCCGGGGGAACGGATGGAGAGAAAAGGCTTCAAAAATGCGCGCGCGACGGGTTTAGTGTGTTGCAGAAGGAGCGGGATATGATGCAATGGTCACGCAGAACAAGAGGGGAGGACAAAGAAAAACAAACAAGCTTGGAAGCTAACGTGGAAGTTCGTGTTGCTCTGAGTATAGGTCCTCGGTGGTGTCATGGTTGCCGCCTTCATTGGTGCCGGTTACTACTTCGGTATGTCGCTTATCTCGTCCCCAATCTAGAGAAGGGTGCGAAAATACGAACAAAAGCTCTAACATCTTGTGTTCACCACGCCCAAAGCCCGCAACCCTACCGCCTCTACCGCCGAGACTGCCGTTCCCCAGACCAAGAACTCCATGCCTTGGGAGTCCGGTTCGGGCGCTGGCAAGTACCAGTACCACCCCGGCGGTGATCCCTCTGCTGCCCCCAAGGATGCCCCCAGCGCCGTCAACGTTGTCGTTGTTCCCAACGTCACCCTCCCCAAGGTACGAATCACGACGATCCCGAACAGGTTTCCCGTCTCCTGATATCACATGTTCCTCAAACCGAGAGATGGGCCACACGATGTGGAAGAGGGGGCGAGGAAAGAACAAGTTGACTAACAGCGATTTCTACCGCAGTCTCTCCACGAGAAGTACAACAAGTGGGGCAAGGAAGGCTACTAAATTATTATACCTCTGTTATCATCATGATGGAGAAGATTGCTGCGGACGCGGCATGAATGGGATGGCTTTTCTCCAAAAAGCGAGACAAGCCACACCACGACACTTGTAGATACGCCTAGATTCCAATGAACGGTTCTCGTGGGCCGTTTTGGTTAACCAAGAGATGAAGAGTAAAATACTGCACGCGCACCTCTTACAACTTGCAAGTCTATTCTTGTTTCTCAACCTCAATTTGTCCTAATGGTGGTATTTGGGAGCCGGAAAGGCTCGGTAAGCTGGTCATGGTTGACACCGAGTTGGGATGAGGATGCAGAGTCATCTTCTTCAAATCCAGATATAGTAGCTTCATAATGCTCAAGCAAATATGATCACCACACATGTCCCGCTGGCAGCTAATGAACCATAACCCTCGCTGAATATTCCTACGAAAACAAGGAGGTGATGCCGCCAACTTGACGCCGAGAACACCCCAAGGTTTGACCACACCTATCCATGTGTAAGGCGCACATCCAAGTAAGAATAATCCGCAACCCCCTGATCGGACTTTCTCTTTCTCCAAGAGCCCTCCAACCCAATACAACGCATACCAACTAAATTCCAAACCCCGATCCTCAACAAACACAAACTTAACACCACGTAAATGCAAAGCTCTCTCTCTCTCTCTCTCTCTCTCTCTCTCTACTTTCGCTTCTTCCTCCAACTGCTCAGTACCAGCCGACTTGCTTCCAGATTTCAACTAACGCTGCTCCCACGCCTCAGCTTCGTGAGGCAGACCCGGACCTTTGCTATCTGTCCGGAAGGAGTTCCGCCGAGACCTTGGGTTGCTCTTTCCGACTGATGGTGACCACCTCTTGCTCGTTGATACGCAATTCCACTGGTCGTACTAGCCAAGAACTGTAGCTAGCCCAGTCGCTGTTCCCCTTTTCTTTGTTGTCCTCCTCCCTCTCGCTCAAATCTTGGTGGTTCTCATTCCCAACCGGCTTCGCCTTCTCAACCGTTTGTAGCCGGGCCTCTCCTTTCTGGTTCCGCTATGAGATGAGCTGCTCTGTATCGGCTTGAGGTTGCTGCTGCTGCTGCTTCCCGAGGCCGCCCCTTCCCCCTTTTCGGCTGTTGCTGTGAATCAGCTTGATGCATCGCCTTCTTCTTCTTCTTCTTCTTCTTCTTCTTCTTCTGCTGCTGCTGCTTCCGAGGCGACCCCTTCCGCTATTTCGGCTGTTGCTCGGGCACTGGTAGACGCACAAGCGTCGGCAACGCCGCGAATTTGCCCCCCTAAGTGTGTCGCGCCGCGGCGTCGGCAAACTGTTCCCGTTGGATTCGCTCGAGCTCTTCGAGTGTTAGGCCGGACTGCTCGAACTTGTTTGCTTTCTTCTCTCGTCCCTGTTGTGTTGATGTGTGTTAGCTTCACCAATGAAAACAAAGACACAACCGAACATGGAGATAATAACCGTTCCAAGTACCTTTTGAACCTCTTTGTGCTCCGCAGCTGCCTCTAGCACGGCGGGGACGTAGTCGGCAAAACCGAGCCGCTCGAGCGCCTGCGTGATGTGATCACAAGCAATCGTCTTTTTCGACTCCTTCTCGGAGATCTCATTTGCCTCGGACGATACGAGCGAGATGAACTCAACGCAGAGGTCGATGAGAAGATCCCGTGCTTCCTTGGCGAATGACAGGCCAGTCGATGATGGGAGAATCTCGCTCACAATTTTTTGGACCGTCGCTGTATGGAAAGTTAGCTCGTACCCTTTGAAATCTTGCACGGCCTTGAGCAACTGGCGCAGCTCCCAAGACCTAAAGACTTCTTTCTGCGTGGTGAAGGTCGTCCATCCGATATTCCGTTTGCTTGAGGATAGGCTTCCTTCAGCCAGAGGATACCGTCTCTACCAGCTCACCAAGCCGAAAACTAGCCTTTGGTTCTCCCAACTGCTTGGTGTTATCCTCCACCACCACATGTCTCGATGATACGGCATCCCGGTATCCTGACTGAAAATTAACGTACCTTTGGGGAGTGAAAGGTCATCATTGCCTACAGTAACCTTGTTAGTAAAAAGACATGATGAACCAGGAAAAGGAAAGGAAAAAAAAGCAAGCTACTCGGAGGTGGTGACACTCCAGAGCCAGAGACGATCCACGGCTCCGAAGCGTATGCATAACGGTATCCGGAATATTCGTCCATCTTGGCTGAATGATCGCCACATTCTTCGGTTGAGGAAGTGGTTGAGAGAGCTGCCGTATAAGAACATGTTGTTCATATAGAAAAAACTTTTTCTTGAAGTCCATTGTGACATGCTTTTCTTATTCACTCGAATTTTCACAATAGGTCGTGAAGAAGGAGTGGATGAAAGGGAGTGTTGTTGGTTTGGACTCATGAGGGAGGCTCACTCCACTCAACTTGAGTGTAAGGCTGAGTGGCTTCATCATTGGGCCAACTCAACAGTGTCTGGGTGCAAGCAAATGGGCAACAGTCATCGAGGAACTCCTCCACCCCCCGACAAAAACGAAAACAGAAACACAAAAAAGGGTTATATAGAGCGACAACGGACCTCCAAATTCGTGATCGGACATTTTGCCTGGTGGATAATCGAGAGTCTCCTACGTGGGTCGTCGTGGGATGGTGTATATTGATGCCTCGAGGGGTCGGATATCGACTAGGTATGTGGCTGATGATGCAAAACCCCCCAACTGCCTGGGCGAATGATAACTCTCAAGATATGCGGCCGGTGTAATCAAAGTGTTTTGAAGTCTTTTTGAGGTCGAGTTGCATGATGGTCAGGGGAGCCGAAGCTCCCTTTGAGCTCGGAGGTGCCACGGTGAGGATGGTTGCCTTTATACACACACATTGGCACCGCTCCCTTCACTCCAAACCCCAAGTGCGGCTGGCCTGGAAGCTGCCGCCAACGGCAACTGGGCGATTGGCCCTGGTTCATTGCGCGCACAGGGGCAACCATGGGTATGTGGCGGAGTCGTACATAGAGGCGCACCAGCCACAGCTCCTCAATCAGGAACTGAACTCGCTCAGTCCAGGTTTGTCTGTGTGAATGAATCAAACTGAATCGTCCGAGTCGTCTGGCGCGCGTTTGGAACCGCACACCCCCCGCCTCTCAGCTTTGTGAGGTCAATGGTTTGGTCACCTGGTCGCAACTGGTGAAGGAATGCCAAGTGCCACTGTCATCATCAGGCTCTGGCCCACTCGCAACGGGCAGTGAAGGCTCGGTGGACCCGTACCTTCCTTCCTTGTGACCTGGGACCCCACCATAAATTTCTGCCGCCGAAATCGTTGTTCCGTTTGAGAAAATTTGGGGTCCATCCATCGCGTCGTTAACTTCTGATTTTCTTCAGCGTTTCCTTCCCTCACCCTTCTACTTTCTTTCAGTCGCGACACCATGCGCTTCCATTGGGGCACGCAGGCAACTGCACTGTTTCCATGCTGGATCACTTAACTGGACCGCTCATTGTTACACCGAGCAATGTTCATGATAGGTAAGAACACCTTCCCCTTCGCCCCGCCAACACAAGAACGCAGTGGTTTTGGGTTTCTATGAGGAGATTATTCGTGTCGCCCCTATCATACACAATTATGGTGATAGACACCGACAAGCCAAACGTCACTACTGATCGAAAACGAACTACTGTGTTTTTGTGTTCTGGAGTTTCAATCTCGTCAGCAGATTTGCTAACAGTTGCTCCTAGTGTCCAGCAATGGTTACCAAAATCAGGTATGCCGTTTTCCTGCGGTCTTGTACCACATGGATTACTTTCGAGCCGACACCATGATGCTTTGTACTTTTCATTCCAATTCCGACACTTCATGACGGACACAACTTTCCTGAACCATCTCGACTTAACTAAATCTCGTCGACGCGCCGACTTCAACGTGTCATCGACGACTAATGCCCTGGTGCAGACCCGGATGACTGCAGACGCTCATGCTTTTGCGCAACGGCTTCCTATCAATGATGTGGCTCTACTTGATTCACCTTCCAGCAGTTTGCCCATGGAGGTAGGAATGCCGCTTGCGCTTCAGTGATGACTTGACATAGTAGGTACCATTTTTTCTTTCTCAAGCACGAGTACTGAAAAAAAAAAAAAAAGTACGGCAATCTGATGAATCAACTTACATTCCATGCTAGTCCTGAATCTCTATGTAGATACATGTAAAGCCTTTTCATCTTTCGACTGAATTATTGCCCCATCACTGTCTTTTCATGTCTTCATAACTTTTTTCTGGACATGGTTGCTGACTAGACAAAAGTCGCCTTAGATACCTTATTGCTACTCGCGATACTCGGCAACTTCTGGGCCGTTCCACGCGACGTATTTACCTGACAGATCAGACTTGGCGTCAAGTGACAGCTTCGCGATGACCTGGGCAGGCCACTCGGGCTTGTTGAGCTGACCTTCCTCGAAGGCCGAGACAAAGTCAGCGTATTCCTTATCCGACATGACGCCTTGACCCTTCTCGCGTAGCTCCTTTTGCATGTCAGTATCAACCCGTCCTGGGCTGACTGCCACTGCTGTGATGTCTGGCTCCTCCACGGCGACGTGGCGGCAGATTGAGTTTAACGCGGCCTTGGAAGAGCCGTACGCTCCCCAAGCGGCATATGCCTTGATAGCGGCGCCCGAGGATACGAAGATGATCTTGCCCTTGGTGGCTCGCAGATGGGGGATGGCTTCTTTGACCTGACCATTGTGTTAGCCCTGTTATTTGATCGCATTGGTCTAGGGGTGTAAGGCTCACAATGGAAAGGGCACTGAAGACGTTTACATCGTAGTGACTCTTCCAGTCCTCGATGGAAGCATCGGCTAGGCGAGTGATGGGAGTGAGTACTCCGTGGTTGACAACAACGCCATCAAGCTTTCCGTAAGAAATCAGAGCGAGCTCTACAGCACGGTGTGCGGTCTTAGATATGTTAATATTCATTTGATTTTCCATCATATTACATTCTGCGATGTTCCAATATGGTTGTGATGATCGCAACTCACATCAGATACTGTCATATCGGCAGCCAGAAATGTGACCTGGCCTGGATAATCCTTCGCGAGCTCGCTGACAGGCGTCCTGGCAACAAGGACAACCTTGTGGGAGGCTTTCAGTAGGTCCTGCACGACAGCAAGGCCAATGCCCTTGCTGCCGCCGGTGACAATGATGACTTTGGGCTCTGACATCGTTTTAGGTCGTGTATAGCTTGCTATAGATGCGCTTCGATGTTTGTTTTGCTGGTGATAGTTGCGGCTGTTGTCGTTGTTCTCCTTGGAAACCCGGGGAGCTCGTGAAGTCAGAGATTTCATGTGGTGACGCCTTGCTCTTGGACCAACTGCAACAAAAGGTGAAGCCTGTGAACCCCACCACAATCCCCGGCAACCCGATTGCGGGGCAGATGGATACCCGGCCGAATTCCGGATTACGTATCGGGAACACAACAACGGGGACTTTCTAGGGATGTTCATTATGATTTATGGCATTCCCTCCAGAGCCGGAAACGCTGATGGCGATGTACCAGAGGGGATCTTTCGGGATCCTGACAATCAATCTGGCTTCGTTGCCTCTTACAGGGCGAATGCATAGCTTTCACTGGCGCAGCGGGTGAATCATTGTGGGCAGTTGGGTGACCTCTTTCATTTTCAGACGAACCGACACTGCGGCACCACGATTGTGCTTGCCTGCGCATGTCTTCCTGCAATGGGAGCATTCTAGTTGCCAATCAATTTTGAGCCTGCGAGTGTTTGCGATCGATGCGGGAGTGCTCTTCAACTTGTCTCTGTACAGTAGCCTCTATCCATTTTAAGAGGCTGTTTGCTTTGGGCCTTTCAAACTTATATGTAATGGCAGTCCATTTTCCCTCGAAGACAACCCGACGGAACACATACTTCCCCATTGAAGAGAGTTGCACCCTATCTTTGCGTGTTTTTCAAACAGATTGCTCACATCAAGATATCAACATGCATACTGGTGATAGCCCCGGAGCTACTAGTCTCGCCAAGTCTGGGGCTCCGGGGTCGAGAATGACACGAAGGGCGCGGTCTCCCCCTCATTTTGGTGTCCAATTGTAGGACATGATAAGGGTTTGACTAAATAGCCTACGAAAAGGGAAGTTCGTATATCTAGGCGATGCTGACCGGACCAGATATCTCTTAGCTCTTTTGAATTGGTTGACTGAGATCTACCCAAGTCCATCAAGAGGCTGAACGCCCGAGTGATTCCTTGACGCTGCGGGTTCCTCAGAAGTTGTCCCCATCTGCCCACTTCTACTACCAGCAAAGCTACCTATAACCCATCAGCACCCACACTCAGAAAGAGCCCTGTACATTTCACTATCTGAACGTCACAATGTCGTGCACAACTACAACCACTACCAGCACCAGTGCCGGCACGGTAATCCTCGGCGCCGGCATCATCGGCGTTTCAACCGCCTACTATCTCTCTCTTTCCTCTTCCCAGCCCTCCCCTTCGCCCTCATCCGAAATCCATTTGGTCGACCCCTCCCCTTCCCTCTTCTGGTCCGCCTCCGGCTTCGCTGGTGGCTTTCTTGCCCGCAACTGGTTCGCTACCGAAGTCTCCTCGCTGGGCGCCCTCTCCTTCGCCGAGCACGCCCGTCTGGCCTCCGCCCACGACGGTCGACGCAACTGGTCTTATGCCCCTTCTATCTCGCTGGGATACTCGGCCGTTGCCGTCGACAAGGGCGTCAAGAAACGAGGGGACGATTGGTTGCGCAGCGGGACAAGCCGGGCGGAGGCGGCGCTTGGAGACAAGGAAAAGGTGCCGGTGGTGAGTATAGAGGATCTGAAGGAGAAGACGCCAGCTTGGTTGAGGAGGCGGGAGGGGGATGATGTGGAGATTATTGGCGGGGAGGGGGACACGGCGCAGTTGGAGCCGGAGAGGCTTTGTCGGTTTTTGTTGGGGGAGGCGGAGGGGAGGGGGGTGAAGGTTTCAAAGGGGACGGAGGCGGTGGAGGTGTTGAGAGATGGTGAGGGGGTGATTAGGGGTGTGCAATTGAAGGATGTTATGACGGGGGAGGAGAGGGAGGTTGAGTGTTCGAGGATCATCATCACGGCGGGGTGCTGGAGCGGGCAGGTGTGGGAGAAGCTATTTGGGGCTACTTCGGAGACGGTCAAGAGGTTGCCAGTGACGAGCCTGGCGGGCCATTCGCTGGTTGTCAAGAGCCCGAGATGGACAGGTGCTGTGGATGGGGAAGGATGCCATGCGGTTTACACGAGCCATGCCGCTTTTTCCCCGGAGATTTTTTCAAGGGTGGACGGGCAGATCTACTTTGCGGGTTTGAACTCGGCGGCGGTGCCGCTGCCGAGCGTAGCGGAGGGTTCGACGGTGCAAACCGGGTCTATAGAGTTGGTCAAGCAGGCGGCTAGGGAACTGCTGGGGTCAGGGGATGATGGAGAGGACGATCTAGAGGTGGTGAGAGAGGGCTTGTGCTTTCGGCCGGTGACGCCGTGGGGACTGCCTATTGTTGCGAGGGTGCCGGATGAGCACCTCGGAGGCGGAATTCGGACGAAGCCCGGCGCGGAGGGAGGAGTGTTCCTGGCAACCGGCCATGGGCCGTGGGGGATCAGCATGAGCTTGGGCACAGGCATTGTGATGAGTGAGTTAGTCCAGGGACGGCCGCTGAGCGCGGATATCAGTGCCTTGGCATTTGACGACAAGGTTACTGGGAAGGCGGTCCAGGTCTGGCTGTGATGGATAGCTTCGAAGATGGTCAGTTCGCCGTCGGTTCCTTTAGACGGCTCCTTTCAGGCAGGTAGTATCTATCCACAGCATGATTCATGCAAACGAAGAATCCGGCTGCAACGGTGATGGTTTACAGAGTTTTAGCCGAGCCATTGTTGGGTTCGCTTTGTGCTGCGTACACAGGTCGGGGACAAACACAAGCTGGTGTAGCGAGAGAGCTTGAGGGTGGAGCGGGGCCGTAGAATAAGTGGGACTTGGGTGCAAGAACCGAGAGATCGTCATGACGTTTTCCGCTTGTCGTCGAGCATTCCTGATTGAATGGGCAATAATCTCTTTCCACTGGCGTATGGCGAGCGTCGTCTACCGTGCTTCCGTTGATGTTTGCTTCCAACAAGTACACTGTATAAGGTTGATTGATGGAGGAACTGAATGTGGATGGAGGACAGTGAGCGAGGGTCAGGGTTGTCGGTAGTGTTTGACGATGATGAAGTGTTTCCAGCCAATCAGCAGCGTTGTGTTGCCGCCCACAGATGCTGTTGGCCCCATTCATGCCTGCCTGGGCTTCCTCCCGCGAAGTGATGTGCTCGGGGATGAGATGTGGACCTCGCGGGAACCCGCATTCCATGAAGGACTCGGCTCCGCTACCCTTTCAACCCGACTTGGATGAATGACTGAACTGGACCTGCCATCTGTGGCCGTTGATTCGCCATCGAACAATTTCCTTCATCACGCATCATCTCCAATCAGGTTGCCGGTCCTCTCACCAATCCTGAGCACCCAAGGTTGCACTCCTACCTATTTTCCTTCTTTTTTTTTCTTTTCCTGCCGTACGCGTACCGTGTTCACACACCGGCCACCAGTGTCTTGCATCCTGCCTTGCCTGCTTCCACAGCTGCTGTGCTCCTGTGAGCGGCCAAACTCCAATGACGGAGGAACCAACACATGCTGCTGCTGCTTTGTGGTGAAGCGACCCAACTGCGGCCGTGGCATGGCAACGCAGCGGGGCCGCTGTGCCTGCCTTAGTGTACTGTGCTGTCGGGTTCTGCCCTGGCAGGCCTGGGACTAGTGTACAGTCCGGGTGCGGCGTACACGTACCGTGTCCCGTTGGGGGGCTGCCGTGGGGGCTGGAGCCATTCCCAGTTGGTGTTGACTTGCTGTTGATGCCAGTTCGCTTCGAGCAGAAATGCATGAATGCAAGCAGTGGATGGCAGTCACAGTCACAGTCGGATGCTTCACTTCCAGCAAACATTGGCGGCCCGTCTCTTCCACCAAGAGGACCAAGACGACATCATGAAGGAAGAGCCCTTTATCAACCGTCTCGTATAGACCAAGAGGGGGTTGATAAGCTTTCTTGTCATTGCCCGACAGTGCCTCTACCGGGAACGCCTCCCCGCGTCTCATGCTGACTCTCACCGTTACACGCTCTCACCATTCTATGCCACACAACAACAAGTGCCGTTTGTTGTCGACGTGGGCTTGAGAAGGCAGATAGACGGCTGTGGCTACCGCATCGAGACCGCATACCATGTGCTGTCACCTGCTTGTCTTGAAGCCAGTTCGAGCAACGACCCCATACGTCTGGATTTACAGGCGTCATGTCAGCTCGCTAGGAAGCTTTCGAGCGGGATGTACCGCCATCTATGCTCTCTGTTCGTATACTACATATGTATGTATGTATGTACATAGTATGCGTGTGCAGTTACTTGCGAGACATGCATCTCAGAAACATCCCGCAAGCTCGAACCAACGACTTTCGCATGGCCCTTTTCCCTTTCATACCCAATTTTGGTCTACATGCTCTTCTACCATGCCCATCGAGAACTTCTTTAGCCTTGGTTTCTTTCATCAGCATGTCTCTAGCCTCGGTTTCTGGATTCCCAGAAGCCCTGGAGACACCCCGTGGTGCTCATCTGCCGTGTGGGTGCCGTTGATGGTCGACGCTACTGTGTGACGGGCAAGCATGAGCGACGGCCGGGGGGATTCGACGGGACTAAGAGGCGCAGGGGGGGAGATCCCACACCAGGACCCTGGCTGGCCAATATTAAAGGCCGATCAACCGCTGAGCTTGGTACCTATCAAGCCTTTTTCGCATCGCCATGACCATCCGACTTTTTGCCCGGCCACTGACAGTCATCAGAGCATCTTGACGTTATTGTGCGCCATTGGTTCTTGACTGGCCTGTCTTCGAGGCGTTGGCGTTCCTGTTGACTGCAACCTTCGATCACCATCTCCACACAAGAAAAAGGGGGAACTATCGAGGTCTTCCAATCACGCCTATACCTTGAGCCCGCCATCACGGTTCAGAAAGTCACGGGTGGATTCTGCCGAACGATAGCGGCTGGCGACCTGCTGTGACCTAGGCGGACGAATTCTGCAGCTTGCCAATTCGTCTTACTGCATGGATTAAACGTTCATTCATCACAATTACCTGAATACTCTCCGTATCATCGCCTTCGGGACCTCGAGACGACTCTGACAACTCTTTCCGACACCTTTCCGAGTTCCGAATACCTTATTACCCCTCACTGCTGGTACCGGTCCAGGTCCATCATATATCCCCGAGCCTCCCCTCCCGAGCGCTGAATCGTTGCTCGATTTTGTCTTCTGGTTTTTGCCGTTATCATTATCTGATCCTCTCTCGATTCTTCCCCGATGGCCACCTCACCATCACCTAACGCTTCTAATCTTTAATTTGGGGGATCTGGTATGCCCTTGTTGGATCAGACTCAGTAAGGTGTGCTTCGTCATCCGACCAACGTTTCCCGTTACCGCGACTATAAAGCCGCCCTATCCGGACACTCTCTTTCATCACTCGCCAACATGGATTCATCAATGACATCGGCGTTCAGACGCGCTGCCGAAAGCAGTACACAAGCAGTCGGCGGTCTAGCAAAACGAATCGCCATCCCGCTCAAGCCTAACAGTCCCCCTGGTCTAGTCCAAGCATTGACAGTAGACCCGTGGTCCAAGGCCGGCAAATATGGACTGGGATGGACGTACTTTTCGCTTATCATCGTCGGTCTCGTGTTGTTCATGAGGATATGGCACTTCTGGCAGGACAAGATTCGACAGGCGATATACAAGCAGGAGATGGAGGAACACTTTCGACAGCTTTACAGCCTGGAACCAGAGTGGGATAGGTCAGCAGCATTAGCCACAGGAATGACAGCAGCAGAATCGAGACGACATTTCTTTCCCGATGAACCGCCTCTCGAAGAGAAAGACTTCAAGCCGAAAGCTCACTTCTCGTCCATCGGCTTTGTCAACGACACGTTGGCCCTGTTCCGATGGGTGTTTTACCGGCCGATTCCCGATATTGTATGGAAGAAACATCGGTTCACCTTCTCATCCCTCGCCGTCTTGTTCTGCGTCTTTGTTTCCATTGCCTTCGTAACGATCTACTGCTTTCTCCAGCAGCCGCTTTACTGGCAGAGCATTCGGTTCGGTTCTCCCCCGGTCGCTATCCGTGCCGGCATGATTGCGGTTGCTATGACCCCTTGGATCGTCGCCACGAGCACAAAAGCCAACCTTCTTACCCTCATCACCGGCATCGGCCCCGAGCGCCTCAATGTCTTTCACCGATGGCTTGGATACCTGTGCCTGTTTCTTTCGTTAGTTCACATGGTCCCGTTCTATGTGCAGCCAGTGTGGGAAGATGGAGGTATGGAGGTCTTCGGAAAGCTGTTCCCCCCCGGCAGCGGAATCATCTATGGTTCCGGTATTGCTTGCTTGGTACCTTTATGCTGGCTCTGTGTTGGCTCACTGCCTTTCATCCGACGAATGGCCTATGAGGTGTTTGTCATACTTCACATACCGGTTGGCGTGATCTACGTCGGCTTGCTCTTCTGGCACACCAAGAACTTCTTACTATCATGGGGTTACCTGTTCGCTTCCGTTGGCATCTTCGTCGTTTGCAACATTATCCGACTTTTCAACTTGAACTGGGCCAAACCTTGGCGAATGGCCTGGTTGATTGGCGACGAGGCGGCTATCAATATTATGACCGAGAATGCCATCAAAGTGACTATTCCAACTCAGATGCGTTGGAAACCAGGGCAATACGTTTATCTACGTATGCCCGGCATCTCTCTCTTTGAGAACCATCCCTTCACCATCTCATCATTGTGTAGCCAAGACTTTCCCTCTGAGTACGGCGAGAACTACAGGGATTGCGTGTTGGTCTTTCGGCCGTACGGCGGCTTCACAAAGAGAGTCCTCGAAACCGCCATAGAAAAGGGACCCTTCCACACCTACCGTGCTTTTCTTGATGGGCCATACGGAGGCATGCGTCGGGATCTGGCCGCTTTCGATACATGCATTTTGATTGCGGGCGGTAGTGGCATCACTTCTCTGATGTCACAGCTACTTAACCTCATCAAGAGGATGCGTGATGGAAAAGCCATTACCAAGAAGATTGTGGTTGTCTGGTCACTGAAGCGTCTCGAGGCCATGGATTGGTTCCGCGAAGAACTCCGTATCTGCAGAGAGGCAGCGCCTCCTGAGAGCGTGACCTGCAAGTTCTTCGTCACATCTGCACAACGCCAGCAACTCAATGCTGGAATACCTCACGGCCGCGCGCCGAGACCATTGAGCAACCTTTTCCACGATAAGCTGGATGGGTTTGTCTCAAACATCGCTAACAAGCGGAACAGCGCGCTGATCATGGCGGAGGCGCAGGGCGATCCAGAAAGAGAGCGTGAGCTACGCGCTGAAGATGAGGACCGGATTACCGCCTTGCCGCAACAAAAATATCTACAACCTCATCATTTCCCTCCTCCGCCTCCGGGGCCGCCACCTAACCATCGATATTCCGTTGCTGAGGATACACTCCGCAAGCTCGAAGGGCGCGATGTCAAAGACCCATCGCTGATGAACCCAGTCGACAGTAAGGACGGCGTCAAGAAGGATGGCGAATTCCATTTTCCAGCCATCGCTCCACGGCCTGATAAGGCTCCGCACTTCAATTACGCACCACCAGCAGCAAAACAGCGATACAGTCAGTGGCTTGCCCAAACAGGAGGTGATCCTGAATCACAGGGCCGACCCAGCTACGTGACCATGAGAGAATCTGAGGACCCGGACTACCAACAACAAGCAGACCGACAGCAAGAGCAACACGAAGAAGGAGTCGAGTACAACAACAACAACAACAACAACAACAACAACAACAACAACAACGGCAACACTTATCCTGGCCAAGATGCCTCACAATCACCTTACCCAATACCACCTCCTCCTCCTGGACCTCCGCCTGGACACAACCCCGCTGTTGCCGCCGCTGTCACTGCCGAATCCGCTCCTGCTCCCCAAGCGACTCAACCGGTTCGGCCCCCTGAACTAGCCCACCTCCGCACCGATAACCTCCCAGCGGCCCAGCGGCCCGCTACCCGTGCAACCTCCACCTTCGGGCCCCCCTCCGGCTTTGACTTTGGCTTTCCTAACACGCCGACCGAGTTTCAGAAATCGCTCATGCGCTTCGCCTTCCCTGTACCGCACCAGATCGACGGCGGCTGGAGCGTCGAGTACGGCCGCCCGGACCTGGGGTACATGCTCAAGGAGTGGGCTACGGGTGGGCCCGATGGCAGAGGCGTTCTCGGACGTAGGACGGCCGTCTTCGTGTGTGGGCCGGCGAGTATGCGGGTTGGTGTGGCGAACACGGTGGCTAGGCTGCAGGCGGAGATTTGGGGGGATGATATGTTGGAGGAGATCTTTTTGCATACGGAGAATTATGCTCTGTGAGGGAGTGGCCTTAGAGGAAGAAGAAAGGCGGCGTGTACTCTTGCTCTTTTTGTTTTGTTTTTGAGATACCTACGTTTTTCTTCTACTTGTTTGGGTGTGTACGAAGTGTCAGCTACCCTTTGTGTTTTTTTTTCATCACTTCTGAATACCTCGCAAGTCAAGGAAGGTGATTGGATCGGAAAGCAAATAGGGTAGTCATCAACTGGAAGGAAATTTTGCATGAGAGTGCGGAAATGAATGAGAGATGATCTTTGCGGTTATCGATGATCATGCTATTCTGATAGTGAGGAGGGCGAATGACGACGAGATACCTGTCACTAGTACGATAGTCATCGTTCTGGATATGGGCAAATTGGTTCTTTCGAAGCAGCGAGTTTTCTCGACGGTTTTGTATTGTCAGCAGTCAATCGAACAACCCATGTGCGCACCCGTCTCGACAAACGACAAAAAGTACCTACGGGACTCTGGAAACGACAGGTTGTACATCTGAAGAAGAAAAGCCAACAAAGATTACCAACAGATCCAGCAGTCCAACCATTTCTACATCACCCTTCTCAGACCACCTATAACTAACCCCCTTTACCTCTCCCGCTGCTGCGAGCCTACGTATGCCAAACCCCCCATTTGATGGCAAAATCCCGATGTGGCAACGTCAAAGTAGTACACTCCATAGTCCCCTTACTGCCCACTTTTTCCCCATTATAGAACGGCAGTTTAAGCGTCTCTTCAATCATCCAGACCACATCCTCGTTTCCGGTTCTTAGCCAATTTCCCCAGAGCACGCCCTCCCCTCCCTCCACGCCCACCAGACAGGTGCCGTACTTGGCGATGATCTTTGGATTGGAACCCGTCGCCCACTTCCACGAGCCGCCCGCGCCAACGTTGATGGATATCTGCTTGCAGTCGACGCTGTAGGGGGAGGCTGCGGAAGTTTGGTCGATTACAGGGCCGTAGTTCTTGCAGAAGGTTTTGGGACCTTCTTCGCGGGGGCCGATCAAGGCGGTGGGGTAGGAAATTGGGCGGGGGAGGTAGAAGCCAAAGGCGGAGGAGGAGGAGGTGTTGGTAGTGGTGGTGGATGTCGGGAGAGCGAGGCCGGTGGAGAAGAGGAAGAGGAGGATGAAGAGGAGGAATTCGCAAGTGATCATGGTTATTGGTTTCCTTTTTTCTTGGCGAGAGTTGCAACGAATATCTTGTAATGAATGTTGGTGTCGGCTGCTGTTCCAAGCAGTTAAAATCAAAGAGCGACAACGTGGAAGACGAATGTTCGATGGAAATCAACGGACAGACAGCCCAGTCAAACCAATCTCCATTTTGACATCTAGTATTTATACAGTTTGTCTAATGGTGCTAATTACAGCGTTCCTGACTTGGTTGATCGAGACAAAGGATGGCGACATATTGAATACAACGTGGTTGTTCAGTTTGGAGTCTTTGACGATGTACAATCGTAAGAACCTCAACCGCTGGTTAGTATTGTATTTTGCATCATGCGATCCACAACATGAGAACAGGATGGCGAGAACAGGATTAAAAATAAAGTGTCAAGGGAGAAGAACAAGGGCAAAAAGCGGGAGAAAAAAAAGACAAGCAAAAAAACATACAACACCAGGGATTCGCTGGTCGTTTACCGACCCAACTACTAGTCAATTTTGCTAATCAGTCCGTTGTGTTCCCATCGTTATCCTAACTGCTTGTTTCTACGTCGTCGCCGTCGTCATCCGCTTCTTGCGAAGACCCCTCTAGGGAATCCGTATCCGTCGTGTCCCTGGTTGGCGGCCGCGCCTGTCCATCAATTTCATCACTAACCCACATGCCAGTCTCACCGTCCGGTATCTTAGCCCTCATCTCCTCCGTCGAAGCAATGTGGAGTTCCCACCCAGCCACGTTAGCCTGTTGCCATGCCCCGTAGATATTCTCAATCTCTGGACGGTCGTCCGTCTGGTGCATCGTGATTTCCCTCGGCAACCACCCCGAGGGGTCGGGTCCATGTCGGTCGTCGGGCTCTTTGCGAATTCTCGCCGCATCCCAGCACCAGTCGTGAGCAGGATAGTCGCAGACCTCCGGCAGATCGCCAGGGACCTCTAGTCCGAGCTCGGAAGCACGATTCCTGAGATAATCGACAAAGTGGTTCCGGACGCTGTCGTCACGCTCCCAAGAAGCCATGTCCCACAGCTGTATGGACGGCTCCGGCGCCAGCTTATCCCACAGCTCCGTATAATTACCAGCAATACACGCCATGGCCACCTGGAGGTGCATGTCCGGCCGGAGCTTAGCGAGGGCCTCCAGCGTGCGCTCGGCGGGGATGAGCGGCCACCAGATCATGCCTGGTATTTCGTGGCAGTTCTCTTCGGGATCGGGATCGGTGGCCGTCATATTGGACAGGTCGTTGACCATAATAAAGCGCGCGAGCGTAGCCGCCCGAATATTCTCCGAATTAGTATGGCTATAGCTGTGCCCGTCCCGTGGCTGCACCGACCACCACTTGGCAAAGGTGGTATTGTGGTAAATACCGCGCAAAACGGCGCCGTACTCGCCCATAATCATCTCCGGCCGGCGCAGGCGCAGGTAGCGGTCCAGGTTGCCTTCGTACGCGGCCATGATAATTAGCGGGTCCTTAACTATAGTCGGCAGGTGTAGCGGTAGAGGCGTGTAAAATAGCTCGACGTGTTCCGGCGGCATCGTTCCCTGCTGCGCGGCAGTATACGATGCGTCCGTCGTGACCTCGCCAACGTGGGCGGTCTCGGTAATATCGAAAGGAAACGCCTCGTTATCCAAATTAAAATAATCGCCGGGCCATTTAGTCCAGTAGTCCTCCGGGCCGACCGTCACATCCAGTGTTGATAAGACGGCCGTGTCGCCGTTCATAAACGCCGGACACTGTGGGTTTTCGTGGTTAACGGTCCTAGTATAGTCGTCCAAGACGGCGTAGCAGACCGGCTGCTTCATAATGTGCTCGAAGATGGCCTTGCATCCCGGGTTGTTCGAAATCGCGCTTTGTTCTCTGGCCTCTTCGGCGATCGAGACCTCGGGAAGGAGGCCAAGCTCGTGATACAGCTCGTCGTATCCTGCCACGGCGCACGCGCGGCCCACGAGATATGCCATGTCGGGATACTCCTTTGCTAGGCGCCGGAGCGTCTTTTCGCTGGGCGTATCAGGGTGCCAGAAACAGTAGGGCTTGGCGCCGTCCGTCTTCATCCTAGGAATCTGGTTGCTCATAATGAGCCGGGCGTTACGTGCCCGCGCAAAGTAGCTCTCGGGCTGCTTCTTGCAGAGCTTCACAACCTCTGCAGACCTGGCAAACGCCTCGTGGTGTCGTATGCCGCGGATGGCGCAGCGGTAGAGATCGTTTTTCCAGTCTTCAGGAAGACGCTGCCCCCGCAAGGCGGCGCGGGCCTCATTGTGAAAGTAGGCAATTTTGTTGACGGATGGTGGCTTTCCAGACCTTTCCGGGTAGGGTTCCTCGAATGTGGTAAGGGAGGAGAGTAGATTGGCCATTTGGTGCGATCTGGAGAAGAAGCGGCAGCCGCTGAAGGTCTCTTGTAGGACAGAGCGGGATTTCCAGGTGTATTTCAACAACATGGACAATTTGGTGTGAGGAGTGTCTATTGTGCTTGATGTGAGGAAAGGAGATGAGGGGTCTAGGTACCTTTTTATATAGAAACGGCGTGCTAACTCCTATCCCTGTTAATGTATATACTTACCTTGACCCTTGCATTGAGCCGTTGTGACTGTAACGGCGTGAATAAGCTTGCCCCGTCACTACTCGCGAATTCCAGCAAGCAGATTCTCAATCAGTAGCAAGTCACCACAGGTCCGTGATGACTTTTTTTTTTTTTTTTTTTTTTTTTTTTTTTTTTTTTTTTTTTTTTTTTTTTTTTTTTTTTTTGGGTTGTTGGAGTTCAGGAAGATCTTCATCTCTACCCAAGCTTCCAATGCAAAAGTCCCTCCGAAAGTTTGGCCGTTGTCAATGAGCAACACTATGAATAACATGCTTAGGAGTCTCACTGGAACTTCACGACCCTTTGCTTACGGGTATTTGAAAGTTAGTACGGAAGACATCATCGTGGAGATTCTCTTGATTGCTCTGTATTTAACCTTCCCGAGAGGTTACCATAATGTTTTCGAATGGACCTGGGCAGGTTTAAGACCACACAGCCTCTTCAGATCCTTTACGGATCACTGCTACGACAGACATCTGCCATGGTACAGTTTATTGAAAATGTTTATGAGAAAAATCAGCCAAAACGCCTTGAGAGTCTCGGATGATGGTCGATTGCCAGGTTTTCCCTCTTTGAAGGCAAAGCATTTGACACTCTAAGGAGTTCACGTCGCCCCTGGCTTATTTCAACACTTTGCACAAGACTTTGAATGTAAATAGCCACTTCCTCAGAAGGACATCACAGGCTGCAATTCCTTGCTGCTGGAGACGACTCCAGGAAAAAATGCCCTCGTCGGACTTCTCCCAACAGCAAACATGCCGGGAGTTCCATACAAAGTGGAAGTTTTCCTCAAGTTAACACAAGTTCAAGATGCACTATTGGGAGTGGTCTACATACAACTCATCAATCACATAGGAGATGCATATCTTGCCACTTTCATCCCCAAGTTTTATGAGGATATCTAAGCCCTGTTTCTTGCCCACCTTTATGTTGTCCCTTGGTATGCGTGTTGTCGTGCTGGACGCGGTTTTACAGCAGCGTGGAAATTGCCAGTTCGCCTCTGGAACGGGCCACACTTTGTTTGCCTTCTTCACCTCTTGCGCAGATGGCGATGCGAACATGGAGATTCCCGGAAGGTTATATATCAAGGCCGAGTGTGAGGCCGACGAAAGTCCGTAACAGCTGATAACTCTTCTTACACCGAACTATCTAGTGGTTCCAAAGTCAAAGCATCTTGGTAGTACTATTTTTGATTTTGCTGGAGTGGACTAGAACGTGTTTTTACACGAGGCCTGGACGCGAAAGAGAACTTAACCTGACTGACTACGGTGAAGCCCAGATACGTGGATGAAGGTCGGTTCAGGCGTTTCATGCAATCATCTCATTGTTTGTGGCTTGTACCTTCGAGGCGCCGCCCCTGAATCATTACTCGTGGCACTAAAGTCTCGACCTCTGCACTCACCGCCAGTAACCACGAGTCACCAGCGTATCGCTTCAACTTGGATTAAAGTTAAGGTCCGCTGGGCTTGTAACAGATGATGCAAGAACCTCGAAGGGGATGGTATGACAGTGAAACGTGTTCGTGGTAGTAACCCTCGTTGCTGATGATTTCCGGTACTTGTAGGTTTAAAGTGGATCGCTCAGGGGTAACTGGGAAGGAGAATGGTAATGGAAAGGGGATCACGCACTTTGGGTTTCCGTTCAAATTTCCAGGCTCAAGTTCCGTTCTTTGTCAGTCCAACTCCCTTGGTCACATGTACGTACGGTACTCGACGGTAACACAAACAGCAAACATGCCGGCCAACCCACAAGATATCCAAATCCAGCGCGACTGCTGCCGCCTTGAAGATGACGTGACGGAGACAGGCTGACGGATCATTCTACATTGGCTATCATGTGTTGTTCCGAAGTTCCGAGGCCGTGAAGCCATGTTTATCATACCAAGGACGACAATTTCGTCTGTCCCATGTTATGAACACCACTTCGGCCATCGCAAGTACACTCCTTTGTGTACCGGCACGGCGAACACCTTGTTGATAACTACATCGGACCATCCGCTATCACTCGAATTAGTTTCCCCACGATCATGCAAACTCCCTTCCTGAATCTTTACCCCACAGCACACGAGAACAGAAGCCTCAACCGGGTTCAGCTCTGGTCACGGTTTCAATGACCTTCCCGCACATATTCAAACAACGGGTACAGAGTGAGCCAGCTGACCATGATAGCCCCAGTACGCTACCGCTCACTCATCGGCCACGCCAGTCTTGTCCTCGTGCGGGTGGTACGAGGCGAGGCCTAACTATGGCACACAACGGTTGTCCTGAACCGAACTGACCCAGGGCAGGTACAGCGTCGGAGCTCACCTGTCAACGGCTGCTCCTTGGCACACGGTCCTACCGCTAAGCAATATTGTGGTAGCTTTGTGTTTCTCACAAACTCGTCATAGTCTATATCACTTCGGAAATCGGAGCCAGTGAGGTGGCACGGCTCCAACACCAAGTTATAACTTGATGGCCTCCCAACTCCTGCTTTGTGACCACTGGCATGCATCGATTCTATATTGCGTGCATGCCCGGGTCTTCCTTTCGCAGGACAAGAACGGATGGCAACTGCTCCAACGCATGGCAGGATAACCTTTAGGTCGCGGATACGGGATGTGCGAGTGCAACACCCCTGCTTCTCATTGGGACTTGCAGCCAATTTTATACATCTCATCCCATCTGGGTAACACAGAGTATCTTTGTGTCACGGAACTCTCCAGGCGGTCTATGGTCTACCCAGTCGGTTGATAGCAGCCTGGCAGCAAGTCTCTGAAGGACAACGGCCGTTGAAACAATGGATGATGCTCTTTGGGCCGCCTGCTTTTCGTGTCCTTAACGCCCAATCTTGCAAGTGAGTGTTCGGTGTACGGCTAGGTACGGGGACGCGCCGCCAAGGTCAGCCAGGTTCACCTTTGCCCTTGCAGTCGTCCCCAACCACCGCGAGAATTGCACCTTCCTCAGTCAAGATGATACCTACTTTTACCCAACGTGATTGGAAACAGGTCCTGGAAATTTCACCATACTTACTAGTCTACTGGAACAAACGGTGAGTCCAAGTCGAGATTTCGTCGCCTGACCAAGGTGACCTCCCGAACGGAATTGCAGCTGGTGCCGCCACAAGAACCGGGCTGCCGGCATCTCCTGCTGATAACCGGAACATCATTCACTGGCCTTTCACTTCGTTCTGCTGCCGCTTCCTGGGTGGGGCTCAGGAATTCTTGTATCTTTCACGTCCTGACAATTATTTCTTGGACAAAGTAGCCCGTTGCCCCTAAGTCTCAATCACCCGACACCACACGGATCGCCACTGTTGTCTAGTTGCGGCCGGAAGTATCTGGACTCAAATACCAGGACTCAACCGACTCGGCAAACAGCCGTCCATGCGACAGGCAAACATCATGTCCTCGAACGAGAAGGATAAAGCCTCGACTGGAAGTGCGGCCGAGAAGGCCCTGGCTCACAACCCTCCGCCCGGTCTGGAAAAGGCAGAAGGAACTCAAGCCAGCGCAGCGAAGGCCCTCGACCAAAACCACCAAGCTCCGAGCACCTCGACAGATTTCGAGCAGCACAATGGAGAGTCCACTGTAGGATATATCTTCATCGAACCTTCCGTGGCAGCATTACTGACATTATCATGTTCAGCGGTTGAGTGTCCGCAAAGCATTGGCTCTAGCAGCCTTAGCTTGCTGCTGGACCAATGCACAAGCTCCTCTGTATTTGTTTGGTAAGAAGACTTTGATTGTGCTGCTTGAAGCCCAAATCAATTAGTGGACATCCAGCTAACCGATGTACTAGCTGCCGTACCTGTCTTTGTCTACCGCGATCTTGGAGGAGTTGATCGCTGGGTCTGGTTCATAACTGCTCACCTACTTGCCACTGCCGCCATCTCCCCTTTCGTTGGTCGTTTCTCAGACGTTTTCGGACGCCGCTGGGTTGCTCTGGCCGGAAGTAGCTTCATCGTTTTTGGCCAGATCATGTGTGGTGTTGCTGAGAACATGGATATCTTCATCGGTAAGTCCATCCGGAACAGCTTCCCTGTTAACACCGATCCAATGATCCATACTGATATTCTAACCAGGCGGAATGGCTCTCACCGGAATTGGCACCGGTATCAACGAGCTCACGGCTCTCGCGGGAACAGCAGAACTCGCCCCTGTTGCGCATCGTGGCTACTACATTGCCGGCATGATTCTCACCATCATTCCTCTTTTGCCCTCTGTCATGTACTCCCAGATCATCTCGGCTTTCTCCACATGGAGGTATATCTCAATTCTCACCGGCGGCTGGGCATTGGTTGGGCTTGTAATGACAGCCCTCTTTTATCATCCTCCTGCGCCCACAGAAGGTCTCAATTGGAAACAAAAGCTTTCGCTTATTAAGGATATGGACGTGGTCGGTGGCTTCCTGTCTATCATTGGGCTGGCTCTGCTGGAACTTGGTCTTTTGGGTGGCGGATATCAGGTCAGTGGAAGACAGGCAATGCTACGATCGTCTCGTAAAGGCTCTTGGCTTAAATGACTAACAAACACTCCCTAGTATCCGTGGGCAAGTTCAAGAGTCTTGGTTCCCCTGATTCTGGGATTCTTCGTATTGATTGTCTTTGGCCTTTGGGAGTTCAATCGAGCCAAGACACCCATGATTCCCAGAGACTTGGGTCCGGCTCCCCGTACACTCATCATGACCATGATCATCACCTTCATATCCGGTGCCAACTTCTTTTCTGTCCTGATGTTATGGCCAAGCGAGGCCTATAATGTCTACGGCAACAAGTAAGCAATCCTCTTTTGTTGCATCTTGCACACATCGTCCTGTTTCCATCTTCGAACTCCATCACTGACGTAAAAACCCATGTACCTAGCCCCTACGGCGTCGGCTTCCGCGGCATGCCCTTCCCCTTCGGTATCCTCGCCGGCTGCGTCATATCCCTCTACCTCATTGCCCGCTTCCCGGGTCATATCAAATGGATCGTCTTCCTCACCTGCTGCATCATGACAATCGGCTGCGGTGCCCTCGCCTCCGTTCGTCTCGACAATATCCACGCCATGTACGCGGTGCTCTTCATCGCCGGCCTGGGCGTAGGCGGCATCGTCGTACCCGCCTCAACCATCGCCACTATCATCTCGCCGAGAGACTTCATCGCTACGATTACAGCCTTGACCATCTCCATCCGCATTGTTGGCGGCGTGATAGGATACACAGTCTACTACAATGTCTTCGTCCAGAAGCTGGTTCCGCAGCTTACAAAATTAGTAGTGGAAGCATGCATCAAGAGCGGGATTACCAACAAGGAGATCATTGGCGTGGTGATTGAGCTGACGGGCGCTTCGCTGGTGGACGAGATCCGCATATTGCCTGGCGTCACGGACGAGAGCTGGGCGGTGATCGTGGCGGCCGGCCAAGAGGCGTACGTGAGGGCGTATCCGTGGGTGTACTACTGCAGCATTGCCTTTGGCGGAGTGTCGATTCTGGCGAGCCTGGGCATGGAGGATATCTCAGGCTTGATCGATAGGACGGTTATGGTTCATATGTAACGGAACCATGGCTGGCGCCTTGGGGTGCATGGCGGCGTCCTTCGGGCGGTTTCCTCGATTTCCATCCACTAGCGCGGAGCAATTTGACAACTTCTTATCAGAGCAGCAAACGATGCGATCTTTGTCAGTCGCATATGTTGATTAGGAGGATTTGCTGGAGGTTTGACCTTGGGGTATCTGGGGAGGGATGTCTCGAGCACCTACTTCGCTATAATATCAGGAGATCCATGTACACACTAGGAGGACTCGATCCTCAAGGGACTCAGAGACGATTTGGTTGATATAGATAGTATAAGGCTGCAGATGGTCCTTTTCAAATGTCTGGAGGCGGAAGATCATGGACGAGGACTGTTTCGACCTATATGCCATAACGTTAGTTTCATGTAGATAGAATATGAACTTTCACGTCCTGAAACCACCCGGGACGACCACGAACAGTACGAAGATGTCATACTTATATTTTGCTGTCATCAGTAGTAACAGTACCGATGTAACCCGAAATCTTGATGAGACCTTTGGCCGTAGCCTTAGCAGGCAATCAGCCACCTAGGCAAGTGAGTCAGTCCAATACCGCTCGTTGTAGTTAAGAAAGGCCGTTGCAAAGCTGTAGGAGGGATTACGATAATTTAAAAAACACATTGGCTAAAGTCCCTTAGGGATATCTTCATCCAGGAGTTGCTTAGGCGTCAAGTTCAGAAAGGTGATAAAGATGCTTGGATGCGTAGTAAGAGTATACTCAAGGTCTAGTGTACTGACTGTAATGAGTTCGGTCTATCTTTACTTCCATTCGGTTAAGGTCTCAACGATTTTGTCAGGGACGAGCCTCGCACACTACACTCGCATAGCCGCAGGAAACATACGTGGCTTGTCCAACGCTCAATAAAGAAGTGTCTGCTCACCGTCTCCGTCTACCTCTAGGGACGATTCCCCTTACTGGGCAAGTATTTGCTCCTAATGGTGTGCCCAATCATGCTCATCCGACTACCAATCGTTCCATCCTGCATCCTACTGGCTAGAGCTTCCTCGAGTGCTGACTGAGTTACCGAGGCATCTGCATTGAAGAGTTTGGTCAACATGCCGGTCGTTTATTCACATCCATGTCTTCAAAGAGAGGAAAAGGAGACAGGATGATGGAAAGACTTTGGGACAAGGGAACAACTGAAACCACTAAACTCACCATCAAGATCACTAAAACTACTCCCCATACTCGGCGCCCCTTCGCTCCCTTCTCTTGACAGCATATCTATCCTTCTTGGGGACAGTGGGCCGGGGAGTCTCGCTCCAGGTCCACCTGTACCACCTGCACCACTCGTACCTACACGCAGTTCACCGCTAGCAAGTCGACGTGGGTTGCTAGGAATGATGGCCGCCGAGCTGGTAGACGAGTCTGATGTTTGCGATTGGATCGTGGATAATTGGGGATGATTCTTCGTACTGCTCAGGCTGTGACCGTGACTAACTTGCTGCTGCTGATTTTGTGATCCAGACGACCCTATCCTATTTCGAGGGGACGGTTGATGGTCGCGGTAGTTCAGAGGGAGCTTGGTCACGGTTGCGTAGAGATCTAGAGCGCCGCTGCCGTCTGAGGTTGAGGTGGAGCCTGTTGGGTTGTTGCTGTTGTTGTCACTGTTATGACGTTGTTGGAATTTTGGTTGGTGTTGCTGTTGCTGTTGCTGGTGTTGCTGTTGCTGGTGTTGTCTGGTCCTAGTAGGAGGGAGGAAAGCGAGCTCGTCATCGTCATCGTCAGAAGCTTTACTTTGGCCCGCTGATTGAAAGCGTGGAGGACGGCGGATGTAGCGGCTTTGCATCTGCTCGGCATAGTCTGAATCGTCGGAGGATGGTGATGTGGAGGCGACTGGCGATGGCGATTCTGGGGGCCGGTAGGATCGGTTATCGTCTGTTTCGTGGATGGCATCACCGGAAGAGGCGTCTTTGGTGTTAATGGACAAGAGTGATACTCTCCGGCGTTGCGGATCGCTTAGCCTGCTGGCTATCTTGTTGTTTGTCGTCGTAGGAGGGGCAGCAGCGAGGCTCGGGTTCTGCCCTGGGATCAAAGTGGTTTGCGACGAGTTGCGCGAGATGGCTGGTCGTAAAGGGTTAGAGGACGTCTTAGCGGTGGGTATCCCAGGAGTATTGACATCGTCTTTAGGAGCGAGAGCTTCCTTGCGCATGGAGAGAGCTGAAGTACGGCCGCCGACAGAACCAGCTCTTCTCAAGCCTTCGGCGTACCCAACAGGCTCGCCGCCGGGAATCGGTGATGGAGCAGCGGAACCGCGACCACTCGCGGCTTTCCTCATCTGCGCCCGCAGTTGGGCAGTGTGTCGCTCGGTCAGATAGGAGACCATCTGGAGGAGGAACTCGACTGTGACATCGAACTGGACTGCCCTATAGCAACGCACAGTGTCAATATTCGAGGCAGAAGCGCACCGCCAGGGACGAGGAAGACTCACAGCTCGTGCCCTAGATATCAGAGTCATTAGCATGAAGCCTGCATTGTGGGACGATTTAGACTTACAGTCAATCTCTGTCTGCGATACCCCTGAGATAATCGTCCATAGCGCTTCGGATTTCCTGTCGTCCCAGCTCACCTTGCGAGGTCAAGTTAGCTGGCGTGATTCACGGGGACGACTAGAGACACAGTGCGGGAAACATACTGGCGGAGGATCAACGAAGTCGCCCCGATTGAAGGGAAGTCGGACATAGACATGGTATCTGGGTTCCCTTCTGTCCTGGTTGGAGGACGAGCCTGGCCTCTCTCTGAGCGACATGGTAAAATCCGAAGGGGTGGTCAACAACTAAGAACAAGGAAAACTGCAGAAATGGAATTGGAAAGGGTGTGTCGTCGGTCTTATAATAAGTCAAAGGCTACGGAGGTACACCGGTGAGTAAGTGCTGTGCTGTGGGTGTGATTGAGTGCATCATAGCGTGCTGCGTACAGCAGTCAAGACGGGGCGCCAGGGCTCCCGTCCAGGCAGGCAGCGCTTATCGATAAGTCATGCTTGCTGATGCTGGCTGCTAACGGGACCCTACCCGTCGAGCGAGGGGTTACCGTCCAATGCCCGCTGGGACAGGGGACAGGGGGGACGAGGACGCTAGGTAGCCAAGGCTGTTGTTGTTGCCGTAGCAAGAATCCCAATTGGGCTGACGTTCAACAGTTCCAGCACTTTCAGCATTGAGGTGATAGCGCATCGAAAAATCCGTCGCGTCGCATCTTCATTCGCTGGCTGGGCATGCAACCACCACTTCTTGTCCTGAACCACCTGCGACACTCCAGTCCGACAACTTCACATTCTCTCTTGGTACCGGCAGGAGCTGTTGGAACAAACCGGAAGCTACAACTTACCGCTCCTACCGTCCTCTAGGATCATCACCGTTATCCGACCGCGAGCAAACACCCTGCACATAGCACATAGCAATTGCCCATTTTCCACATCACTACGAGATAGCTTGCCGAATCCCGTGCCTGACATGGCGCCCTTGATCCTCCACAACGTCCCCGATGACGAGCTCTACGTCGGTGACGACGGCATTCAAAGACCTTATGCCATGGTGTTCCCACAGTTCGTTTGCCCGCCGTCATCTTAGGCTTGACAAACCAGCTCCGATACTGACTTTAGATAAACAACAGCCAAGATGGTCCCCGCTCGAGAAGGACAGTCCATGAGACAGGCTCCTTCGGCAAGTCAACACGTCGGTCGCGGTCCAAGACAGCAACGCCAGCCAGGAGGGAAGATGCCACGATAGCCGCCGCCGACCGTGTATTCTCGAACTACCTCGCGAACCTGAACCCAGACCAGAATCTCACAGCTGCCCAAAGGAAACAGTCTCTCATACCATCCTCCCTCGGCGATGAGAACGCCGCGCCCACCCAACTGTCTAACAAACACCACCCGACCGAAGTCATACTACGCGGCTATCGCTCCGTCTCGCACCAGTACGCCGCCATCAACCACTACGAGGAGCTCGCCGGGAGGATATGCGAGGATTACCCACGCGACCCACCGCCCGAGAACAGGCGGTACAAGTCCGAACTGCGCGACCCTCTTTATGCGCGAAGACGGCCCTTGACTGCCGAAGAGCGCGCACTAGTCAACAGAATCGACGGCGGCGAGCACTGGGTGAAGGTGACGTTTGAATCCGCCGAGGCCGCCGAAGCAGCCATGATTGCCTCTCCCCAGGCCATCCTCGGCCACCTCGTTTTCGCCGAACCGTACGATGGCGTCCCACCCGCCCGCGACGAAGCCGTACCCGACAACGCCTCCTTCATCAGCAACGGCGTCACTCCCGCTGCCACAAACAACCGCCGCGCTTCATCTGGTCAACAACCACGCTCCCGTGTGACCATGACCAACCCCTACACCTCCTACCTCGACAGCAACGGCAACAACCAATCCCCTTCCTCCTCCCGCACCGCCGATACCGGCACTATCTCCGACACCTCCAGCGCAACCATGGGCGCCGTAGCCGGCGCCTTCACGCACGGGCTGGACTCGCTCGCGCACTCGACCGCGGGCGGTGCCCACCATTTGTCTTCGGTAGTCGACGCCCAGGATCCGGACAGCGAGTTCTGCCGGGCAATCCCGACGGTGCGCAAGGCTAAGCTCCTGCCCGTCGACCAGGCGCTGCTTCCTGCTCCGTCGTACACGCAGCGCGTGCTGAACCACGTGCCGCTCTTCAAGTGGTTTAGTGGGAACATGATTGGGAACGAGGTGCCGAGGAAGGAGAACGGCGAGTTTGATTGGGATCGGGCGAGCTTGTACTGGAAATTGATGTGGTGGCTGGATGCGAGGTTGTGCTTGTTTAGGGGGGAGGTGTTGAGTGCTGATAAGGATGAGTGAGTTGGCTGGAAAGGGCGTTGGGCTGGGTGGGAGGTGGACGTGTTGGCAAAAGGCGTGATGGATGGATGGATGCGGCAGGATGGTTGGATCATGATATGGACCATGGGGGAGAAGGTTGCTGTTATATGTTAAGCATCGGTAGCGGCGGTGATGATGGGTGGAATGATACCAATGTCGAGAATTGCTCCAGATTGAAGAGTACGTTAATTTATGCATCAAGCTTGTTTAGCTTGTCCTTATAAGACGTTGTTCAAGTCTAGGTTGATCCTTTTCGCGCTTTTCCTCACCTACAAGCAGTGAACGCAGCATCACAGAGATCTACGGTAGTGACTCGAACTTGTTTAAAAGACTTTTTGAATTCATGAGTATCTAGACGTGAAGAAAAGAGAAACTCAGGACTCAGTGAACAACGTGAAACAAGAAGAAATCTATTTGCCTGCCTGCCTGCCTGCCTGTTTGGTGCTCATTGTAACTGGTGAGACGAAACAAATCGTCATGCAAACTAAGAAAAAAAACCAAAAATAAACACAAGCTAACAAAATAACAGATACTCCTGAAAGCTATGTAATCGTAACAGTCGTGAACCAAAGAGGCAAAACTCAAGTCAGCCAGCCCATCAAAAAAGACCGCCCGGTACGTGTATACTCGTACTCGTACTCCTACCAACAGCAGCACTGAATCTACTCCTTTTTGTACGGCTCCCTCCACCCAACAGGACTCGCGGCGCTCGTGTCCCTAGAGTTCCCGGAGTCCCTGGAGGTACGTGTGGTGCTCGGCCTCCTGCTGCTCGCGCTTGTGCTCTTCATACCCATGTTCATGCTCGTAATCATGCTTCTCGTTCTACCAACAATCTTATCAACGTCAACAAGGCTCATCAGGCTCCTGCTCGGATCACGGCTGGCGGCCGTTGGACTTGCGGTTCTGGTATCTGTATCCATACTCCACCTCCTGGTCCTTTCACCAGTAGAGGATGGTGTAGAAGGTATCCGAGCCAGAGCCAGTTCTTCATCGACCTCATCGTGGTCGTGACTCGCCGATGGTAGCAACGGCCAATTTCCTTAACTAGCCGTTACCGTAGCCGTCTGCGTGGGCGGGGTCATGGGGGTTATCGTCGGCGTAATATCATTCTCTTCTTCGCCCATGTCCCTCTCTTTCTTTTCGCCATGGCTATTCTCCCCATTCTTTTCGTGACTGCCGTGAATGGTATACTCGTCCTGGCTCTGGTACTGGTCGTCACTACTGCTGCCGGTGGCGACATCCATTCTGGAGGCGGACACAAAACTCATCAACCCACCCGCCGATCCCGGTCGCCCGCTGTAGCTCCAGCTCCCGTCTCGCAGCTCGTGCTCCTCGGAGGGAAGGGCGGATGTGGATGCGGCAGACGGGTGCTGTAGCCTCTGCAGCGAGCTGCCGGTCAGGCTCCGGTTGATGCCTAGCGAGATGCTAAGGCGACCGGAGTAGCTGCTTCGCTTGCTGCTACTTTGGTTGCTTCGTGGCCGAATCTCGTGCTGCTGCTGCTGCTGCTGCTGCTGCTGTTGCTGCTGCTGTTGTTGTTGTTCCTCGTCCGGCTCGGTAGGCGGGCGGAAGCGGTAGGGGATCTGGTCGCGCCAGGGAGAGACGAGGGCTTCGTCATCTTCGTCGTCATCGCCGTCAGCAGTGCTGTGGCTACCGGGGAGAGGGAGAGTTAGGGATTGGTTGCCGAGTGGAGAGAAGAGAGCGTCCTGTTCTCTTTCGTCGTTCTCTCGGGGCCCGGCAGTGGGAGATGGAGGGTCGGAGGCACCGAAGAGGGACTTGGGATTTAAAGCAAGAGGTTGTGGTTGAGGGGAGAAGGGGCGTGGTCCCCGCGGACGGTTGGCACCTTCAGAAGAGAAGACACTCTCCGTGTCCTTGTCTCGTGGGGGTGTGCGGGGAGAGTAGACGACTGTCGATTGGTTATCGGGAGAGTGAATAGCGCCTGCGAGGCTCTATTGGAAGTATTGGTTAGTCTCGCACCCCAAGTCTTCAGTGCCTCTTCTCGTTTTGGTGATGGTTGCCTACCAGTCTTAGGGTGTCTTCTCTTCCCCCGCCTGTTGTATCGGCGAGAATACTCCTGGGCGGCAGAATGCTGAACAGCTTACTTCCCTCACCAGCGCCGCCGCTCGCTATGCCGCCATCGCCGGCACCGCCTGCGACGATGTTGCCTCCTGCCCCACCAAACCTGCCGTCAGAATGTCCCACGGTCCTGTCTGCGATCACATCCTCGCTGGCGAAGAGATCCTGACCCTGTTCCAGCACATCCTCAAGTCCACCACCTGTCCACCCCTTCCGCGCCATACTCTCGAAAATGTCAATTTCGGCTCGGACGAGCGAACAGCTTGCTTCCACGATACGGGCGCTGGTGTCTTGACTCTCCCTCAAGAGTGTCCTGGAATGCTCGCCATGCAGCGTTGTAAGACCATCCAACTTAGTGGTCAACTCAACGAGATGGCTCCGGAACTTGGCCACGTCCCTTCTGCGCTGCTTATGCAGCTTCATCCCTTCCTTCTCCAACCGTCTGATCTCCTTGGACTGCACGGCCACCGCGCTCGCATAACTCTCCTCTTCATCCTCAACCGCGCCACGCCACTTGTCTAACTCGTGGAGAAGAGGTACCTCGAACGAGCGGTAGACCGTCTCGGAAAGAATGTGCTGGTGGTTGGCAACGAGGTGCTGCAAACCAGCGACGGTGAGCAGGGTGTCGGCCGTGCAGGTGGACTTTGTGGTGCCCTGAGCTGCAGAGGTGAAGCTATTGGCCATCAACAGCGGGGGAGGACCGCCGCCTTGACCCTGGCCGCCTTGTACCGGACTTCCACCACCTCGATCGGAGGGAGCAGACACGATCTGTTCGGCGCGGGCTTCTTTTAGACGGGCGCAAGATTCGAGAGCAGAGCCGAAGGCGGAGGCAGCAGTGGAAAGTGAAGTAAGGGCCAGACGGAAGGCCTTGGCGGAGGAGAGGAGGTCTGCATATGCGGCCTGCGATGCTTCAAGGTCGTGCTTGGTAAGGACAGCATGCGCCTGTTTGGGCGGAGGCGGCAGTGGCAGGTTGAACTGCGACAGGTTCGCATTTGCGGTAGAGGCGTATGAATAGGTTGGGCTCGATGGCACCGGAGGTAGTTGTGAGAGGGTTGGCGAGGGAGGTGACTTGGGCGCCATGCTTATACTAAGCAGAATCTAGATAATGGCGGCTGCTTGCCTCTATTCCGGTGGCTGAAGCGCTGGAGGTCTGGACTCTGGAGGTGAGGTTGCTGCGGATCTCGAGGGCGTCGGTCGAGATGGGGAAAAAGACAAAACAACACAAAGAAAATTTGTTTACTCGAGCTGGTGCGACATGGGAAGAAGAAAGCCGACAACAAACAGGTCGTAGGTATTAAAAAAAACAAAAAAAAAAAAAGTAATGGCCGGGATCGTAGGAGGTTGGCACTCGGCTCGGATGGTACGATGATCGCAACAGGCTAGCGGATAGGTGGTATCTGGAATCTGGGATTCTGGGTACGAGATGCCCCCGCTGTAGGAGGGGACGGTGGAACCCTTCCCTTTTGGTGTTTGAGTCGGTTTTAGACTTTGTTATGCCTCCCCCGGCCCAAGGGCGCCTCTACACACACTAAATTCCGTTCCCTTGTGGGTGAACGCGCTATCGTGGGAGGTGATAGAGGCGGGTTCTACACCCACGATACCTCCGGCTATGTACCTAGGGAACCTAGAGGTATGCTCCAGTCCCGTCGCGAGGAGGTGCGCAACCTAAAGGAGGGACAATGCTCTGACAAATTCTCGAGGTTATTTAATAACTCATTTCACCAACAACAACGAATCGAGATCTCTCAGTCAAGACAAGCAAGAAAACGAGCAACGAGTGGCAACCTGAAGTGGCTGTTGTCACGGGCAGTCGTGCCAGATTGTTGGGCAATGCAAATGGGACGCTGCGATGAGGTGACAGCAGGACCATGTCCAGTTTTCGGGGATTTTGCCAGTGGGGTTTCCAGCGTCGGATGGAGCCACGACGACTCCTCGAATCCAGCGAACGTTCCCAAGGGAAGGCTTGTGACACTGACGACGGCCAGCATCCCACATCAGCGGGCCACTGTCACTGGACTCGCAAGCCCACCCCCACTGATAAGATTGACTAACCGTATTCGGAGGAGATCGCCGTGCAAGCAACTGCTGTGAAACGGGAGCCATCGTGTTTCATCATCACCAACGTCCAGACGAGAACCGCAAGCGGGGGTTAACGCGATAATGATGCCCTTGAACGTGTGAGGTGCATGGCCGATTGACGAATGATAGGTAGTGTACCTGTTGGGAGTCGTGAGTTCATGACACCCGATGTACACTAAACACTCCAACATCCCCTGTACTTCCTGATGCCTGAAGCATGCAACGAGACAACAATGTCCAACAGCACATACACACGCAAGCGGGCAAAACATCTGAATCCAAAATACCTCCATGTACCCAGGCTGTATCAGAGTATATACCTATCTATGAGGATATCCGACAAAAGAACAAGCAAGGCTGTATTTGAAGCAAGCAACGCTAGCATATTCACCATAAAAGACTGGACCTATAGCTCGGACTTCTGCTCCGACTTATCAGCCACCTTGGGCAGTCTCTCGGTCAAGAAATCCTCGATCGCATCCAACTCCTCCAGGCAAGCAGAGTGACCCATACCCCTAGCAATCCCAGGCAGTTAGCATGGAAACATTCGAGAAATTGATCGGCACTGAGATACCGGAGGTACTTACGGATACGTCGTGAACTTGACATTGTACCCCATCTCTTTGAGCAAGTCACGGGTCATCGTGCCCAACTTATAGTTGACAACCGGATCCGCATCACCATGGGCCATGAAGATGGGCGTCTCCTTGTTGAATTCGGGCTTGGGCACGAGCTCAGCGAACTTGAGGCTGAGGAGAAGATACGAGGACAAGGCGATAATGCCGGCCAGCTTGCATTTGACAGTGAGGCCACTGAACAGGCCCATGGCGCCGCCCTGGCTGAAGCCGCCGATGACGATGCGGTCGGCCGGGATGCCCGAGTCGATCTCCTTCTGGATCAGATCGTGGAAGTAAGCTTGGCTGGTTAGGATGCCGGCCTCATCCTCGTTGCGGCGGAGGGCTTCGGCGCTGCCATCAATGGCGAACTTGTATAGCTGTGGTGTTAGACTTTTAACTTTGGCGGGGACGGAGCCAGGTACTACACAGAGTAGGTAAGCTTACAATGTCATACCAACCAGGCATCTTCATGCCCCAGTTGGCAGTGATGGGAATCGAAGGCGCATGAGGCAAGATGAACTTGACCTCATCAAGGCGTTGGCGGCGACGCCATTGCTCAACGGCCGAAGCCCAGCCATGGCCAGTGTCGCCAAGGCCGTGGATGAAGATGACGGTGGCCGTGTGCCGGGCCACAGCTGGGACGAGGAGAGGAGGACGGCGGGCAAGGGAGGCCATTTTTGTGTGATGATTGTAGTATGTGTTGAAAGGCGGTCCAACAAGAAGCTCTTTCCCGGAGCAGCGATGGCGTTGTGGTTGACTAGCGCCGTGCGAAGTTCACACGTGGGGCCGATGCTCAACCGGGGTCTTTGCTGTTGGAGCGGGGAGCTTCGAGGAACGGAACTCGGAGCCGTTAGTGGCGGGGATGGTGGAAACCCGGCGAAGCGGGGCCTCCCGCAAGATACGGATGGTGGGGTAGGCCGGACAAAAGTCTGGTTCTCACGTATAACCCTAGAGGAAACCTGGTAACCCATGCAACCCCAAGCATGGTGGGGACACCACTATGTAGTCCGGGTGTGTAGTGTAAATCACCAAAGTCGTCGGACTTGTCGGCGTTGAAGCGGGGGTTGCAGCGGAAGGAAGCAGGGGCCTGTGCATTTGCCTTACCAACCTGCTGACGAGAGCATTCTTCAGCAATCTTTCACCACCTTCTCGGCGTCTGTTTCACGGAAGCCAACGAGGTCACATCATGTCATGGACTCCATTGTGTCAATCGCTCGAGTGGAGCCGGAGCCCATGATGAATGGACCGCAATGATGATGGGGACTGGGGATTGCTTAGACATGCTTTCAAATCGAATAAATTCTTATCCCTTTTTATAGGACAGACTCGCTTCTGTTGTGTTGTGGTCATCAAGGTGTTCACACCCTTGTTTTCAGCTGTCTGTTGAGCCTCACTTCACTCCTCCTCCTCCTGAACAAATGCCTAATCCGCGGCCCCGCAGCCGACCTCTTATGATCGTTCCTGTTCTTGTTGCCGCCCTGGCGATCCTCCTGGCTTCCTCTTCAACCGCTCGCGGCCTATTCTCCCGGGTCCGAAGCGAAACATTCAACAAGTTTACCACAGCTTTGAACAACGCCCCCATCACCACCACCACCTCTACTTCTACCTCGCCGCTCCAGGCCGCCGCCACAGCGAACTTGACCTCTTCCAAAATGGGCAGACCCCCTGTGTACTTTTTCTCTCACGGAGGAGTAAGTTTCACTCACTCATTTCCCAGTCACTCTCCACACTTCAATGCGAAGCCATCCACTAACACCCTCTCTCAGCCCGACGTCCAATACAACACCAAACACCCCGTCTACCCCGTCCTCCAAGCCATCGGCAAGGAAATCATCCAAAAAGTCAAGCCCAAGGCCGTCGTCGTTTTCTCCGCGCACTGGCAAGCCACCCCCTCCGAGATCCACCTCAACAACGCCGATGGCAAGACCGACCTAATCTACGATTTCTACGGTTTTCCCGACCACTTCTACAAGGCGACTTTCCCTGCTACCGGATCCCCCCAACTAGCCGCCAAGATCCAGCAGCTCCTTACCAAGGCAGACATCCAGTCCAAGGGTCTCAAGCGCGGGCTCGACCACGGCGTCTTCTCGGGCTTCAACGTCGCTTTTCCACCCAACACCGACCAGGCCATCACCGTTCCCTTGGTGCAAGTCTCGCTGTTCAAGTCGGAAGATCCGGACGCCCACTATCGTCTGGGGCAGGCGGTCGAGGAGCTCCGCGATGAGGGCGTGGTGATTATTTGTACCGGCATGACGGTGCATAACCTGCGGGACATGCAGTTTACTTGGGGCGATCCCAGGCCGCTTCCCTATGCCGTCAGCTTCGATAATGCGCTGAAGGAGGCGGTGGAGGGCGATGCGGAGGGCAGGCTGGATCGGATGAGGGAGGTGGTTAAAAGGGGGGATGCGAGACAGGCGCACCCGTGGATGGATCACTTGATGCCCATCTATGTGGCAGCGGGCGCGGCGGGGAAGGATAAGGGTGTGCAGACGTGGACACTGCATGAGGGGAGCTTTGCTTGGGCGCAGTATCGGTTTGGGGATGTGCCTGAGGAGTAAAGGGGGATTTGAGTGGAGAGCGACATCCTGGGATCGGAAAGGCGTTGTCTTGGATAGAAGAGAGAGTAATGTCCATGACATAGTCCCAAATAAAAGTATTTCAATAACATTGACATTAATAAATGGCAGGCATAAGGCAAGCACTGGGCCGTCCACAAGCTGGAACGAGAACGCGACGAAAATGTGACAACTGGCTAGGGCCTCCTGGCCTTAGGCCCGCCCATTTCACGTTCCATCACCAACTTCCAATCAAGCACCCCTCCTCGAAACCACACCACCACCGTGAGTAGCGCTATAAATCTTCGCCAAACTCTCCTTCATCCGCTCAACAAGCCACTCATGCCGCTCACGCGCAGCTCTGCCATTGCCATGGCCACCATCATGGATGAGACTACCTCTACCGTGAGGCATAACTATCGTCGCCGCCGCCCCCGTCCGATGGATGCAGCACATCCCAGCAATAAAACACTCCTCACAAGACTGGAAATACCCACTCATGTTATAACCAAGTCTTTCGGGACTCTGCGGTGATTGTGAGGGCGTGGGGCTTCTGGAAGAGACTCCTTGAAGCATCAGTTCGGCGCTGTTGCTGTTGTTGCGATGGGCTTTCGAGAAGCTCCGGTTCGGCGTGATGCCGCTGTAGGAGGAGGCGTCCCCTCCATTTTCCCTTGGAGAGTTCCCAGCAGAGGCGTAATTTGACCCTGGGGTTTCGTTGTTGTTGTTATCATTGCACGAGTTACTTACCAGGGCTCTGTCAGTCATTCACGTACCACGACAACGAAGATCGTCTTGAGCCATCGAATATGTTACTGGGTTTGTGCATGTACTCACTTTTGGTTTTCGATTTCCTTTTCTTCACCTCTGATCGGTGAGCGAGGGCGGTCTTGGTCTTCCACAGACTCCTCAAACTTTCCATTCGCATGTAGATATCCTTCGCTCATCGTACCGTCATCGTCCTCATATGGACGGCCGTGGCCCTCTTCTCCTACGTTTATACGACTCTGCGCGATCTCCTCATGATAGGCATGGTTACGGATGCCTGTGCTCGGCTGGGATCCGGGAGGCCTGCCTGTCTCGTGCAGTTTTGTGAGTCTTTGGCATGTAAGAGAACCGGGAGAGAGATCAAGAGCCAGCGTCAGTGTCAAGTCAATAGAGCTTACCACAGGCAATAGCATCGTTGAAGCCCTAGTCATACCTTTGTTAGCAGGTGATGAAAAATACCAAAGAGACATGGGATGTTTTCGTGGCATGGAGTTCAATTCAATAATCATCAGACTCTTCTGATATATTCAGCAAAGCGGACGTACATCTTTGCCCACTTCGAGCGAGGTCGTTGCGATATCATGAATCCACGAGGCTTGGCGCGGATACGTAGCCATTTTGGTAGCTGTTCCCAACCAGTTACTTTGGCACGACAGGGAACAAATCCAGCTGTACAATCAGCTCGAATGACTGGGGACTTTTGATTGACAAGCTGGTAGTAAAGAAGCGTATCTGAAGAAATTGGAACTGCCAAACGAACGGCTAAAACAACCGATAGTGTGACAGAAGCCTTTGAGTGGCTATGGATATGCTGAGCCTCAGCGGATGAAGACAGTCAGAAGAGGAGGACTAAGGGCTGGCGAGCCTCATATTGGAATCTGAACAGTTACCATTGCTCTGCCTACGCAATGAGAATTACCTGTCTTACAAGAGGAGAGGGGGGCAACAAGCAATGGAACAGAACACAGGAAAGCTCGGCGGCCAGCCGCATAACGATTCGGTCTTCAAAGCAAACGATGCAACTAGAAGGCCCGAGCTGACGAACACAAACAGAATCCAAACATCAAGCGAGAATACGTCAAATTACTCTCATGACAGCTAGAAGGCGAGAGAGATAGAGTAGGTATGAAATCTTGAAGAAAAAGGTATCCACCTCCTCTTTTGTGTGATGGATGCATGCATGGGAACACATGGCCAGCGGCATCTTTTATCGAACTAAACTGGCAGTACTCCCAATCAGGTTCCCTTCTGATCATTTGCGAAATGAAACTTGACAACCTTTGAAATGCGTGGCTTGCGACGCCAAAGGGCGGCCATAGGTTGCAAACGACACCGACAGCTGCGGAGTGAACTTCCACCTCCCTCAAACCCACGTAAACCTGGTACCGGTATGACCCCTGACTATGCACCTCAACGTGACTGAATTGAACCAGGAAGAACGAAAGAATGAAAGAAGAAAAAGCAGATGTGACAAGGCTCATCAGGAAATGCTGATTAGAAAGAGTGGATAGCTTCTGGACCGAAAGGTGGTGGACCAATAATCCACCGGTGAACAGAAGTTGCAGGTCAAAGGATCTAGTTATCCCGGTTGTGAAGTGAAATAGCGACTGTGACTGAGCCGTTACGCGGGTGTTTCGAGTTGATGTAACGCCAAAGGGGAGGCTTCAGCACCTGCTTTTCAGACACATTGTTGATCTTGGACTGGATAGTGATGTCGCCTTTGAGTATTGATGGCTCAGCAGAGCTGATATATGATGCCATACTGGTCACTCGTTGTTTGCCGTTTTCTTCGTACAAAGCCTCCAGGTCTCTCTGCCGGGCCTGGAACTCCATGTCCAGCTGTCGACGGTGCTGTAACCTGCGGATGTAGAATCGACCGACGAAGAAGGATACCAGGATGACACAAGAGGCCACAATGATACCAATATCAACCGCTCCAAACTTGTATTCCGGTTCTTGGTCGGAAACAATTCGAGACTGGTCGTCGGAAATGTCGTCTTGGGCCATCTCGAGAGGTTAATACCTTTGATGTACAGAGATATGCGTGTGTGATTTCTGGCAAGTAATCATGCTTAGCGCTAAGGTATCTTGCCGTATGCGGGACAATATCAAGGGATGTTTGATTGATAGCTACCTCTGCAGATCCTGAGAGCGGGTGATGGCCTTGCGTTCAAGGCGGTCGTTGACGAAGAAGAAGGAATACGTAGCTCTTATTTTCAGAGCAACAGCGGAGTGAGACTGAAGCAGACTGTCGAGAGCTTCTAGAAGAGTATCAAGAGTGTGTCGGTATGATGGATCACGGAAACTCGGTTGCTCTTGGTATGCTCGGCAGCTGAGCGTCAAGAGCTTCGAGTAACTCAAGGTTGATGTTTATGTGTTGCGGCGGCCGAGGTTGTAATCGCAGGGAACTGGTTGTCGACATAAGTTTTCTAAGCTTGAACAAGTTCTCGGTCAGTCTGAGAATATGATAGAAGGGCTGCGCACATTATGGCGAGTACAGGAAGAGAGAGCCGAGCTGGCGAGCCTGGTGGGCATCTCTTCCTTCCAAATTGAGCCCATGTTGCCACCCCCAGATATGCAAGATCAATGAACTGCACTGGTGGGTTGAATACGGCAGCATTGGCCAAGATGCGCCTGGCAATGAACGGGGAAGAAGACGAAGTAGCTTGACATCAGAAACACGGGAAACGTATGGATAGTCACACGCTAGGGCGATGTCAGGTTTGTGATTGGAACTTGAGAACGGAGGAAGAAAAGTCAAACAGAGAAAGATTTGCCGAAAAAAGAAAAACGACAAAAAAAGGTCATCCGAAACTCCCATTTGCCAGCAGGTCGGAGATGGATGGAAACCACTGCACCGCCATCACTCGGCCCACTTTCCAAGATCGGAAAGAATGCCCCGGGCCGGCATCACACTTGGTGAGGACTCGGCGAATGCTCTTTCCTCAAGGACTAGTTGACAAATCTGTGCTTCCCTCCTATTTGGACATTGTCCAATGTCCAGTATCGGCATCCTATGGTCGTCCTATGAAAACCTCAATTCATAGTCATCCCTTTCACTTTCCACCTTCTCATCTCATCATCGCGCAGCTCTTCCTCATGGCCAAAGCGAACCTATTCACCACGCTACGAAACATGAGAAACCCCAGATTTGACACGCATGCAAATCTCATTTCCATTGGGCAACCAACAATCTGTGCTATCTCAGCCAACTCGCGATGTTGGTGCTGATTCTCTGCATCTTGCGCAAGACCACTAGACTAGGTTTCCAGTGACGACGGAGGCTATCACTGGAAGATACAAACCCGAACACTAATCTACGCAGTCAGGGTCATGGCAACTTCTTGTTGCCAGAAACATGGCCGCAAACCTATGCGCAAGGTCGCTCCTGGTTCGCCATCCCGTCATCCTGTCGGTCGCACCCAGACGATATACCATAGGTAAAGCCCGTGCAACAGCCAAGGAGGATATCGGGCACAACAGACACAGCACTCTAGCAAAGGGGGAGGACCCAACATACTCAACAAAATCCAGACAAGTTGATTCAAAAACTCGAAATCGGGGCTTGCTCAGTTGCTCGGGGTCGCATCCGTCGCTAAAGGTGCAGCAAGTGTCAAGCCGACAGACAGCTAGGACGCTTGTCAAGCTCAGCCGCCGTGATTGTTATTGCAAGATCACCCGGACAATCTTCTGTTGTCGTACAAGGTTGACACAGGATTTCATATTCCGTATGGTATGTTGTGCAACTAACACAGCAGACCTAACAACAAAAAACAAGCAAATGCAAACACTTCTTGTGCGTCCAGCACTGGCCGAAATACAGACTGATATTCCTATCGCGAGACACAGATTCAGAACACCGAAAGCAACACCTAAATCGCATGCTACCTGACGACATCTCTTGATCTCTTCCGCCTCTCAGTCCCCTCTCCAGAGGTGTTACCACCTAGTTCGAGTCGGGTGTCGCACTAACCAAACAGCCTTTCGCAAAGGTCACAGTTAGATTCGTGCGAAGCAGCAGCGGGCCATTGTCATCCCGGGGTTCGATGCTCTTGAAGGCACGGAAGAACTTGAAAAGGGCGTATTCGATCTGGGTAAGCGCAAACTGCTGGCCCAGGCATATACGCGGGCCTCCGGAGAACGGAATGTACTCCCATCTGTACAGCGAACAAGAAGCTGTGTCAGCCACAATAAGTCCCGGATAGAGAGACTGACAGAGGGAAGAGCAAAGGCACGTACCCGACCCGAAGGTTTTCATCCCACCGCTCTGGACGGAACTCATGGGCATCTTCTCCCCAGATATCCTTACGTCTATGAAGACTGTACAGCGACCACCTAACGACTTGGCCCTTGGGCACAAGGATGGATTGTTTGCCATCTGGGCCACCACCTCGGGGTAGGACCGTGTCCTTGATCGGCGCTCTGGAGTTAGTTGATGCGGGAGGGAACAGCCGCAAACCTTCAAGTTGTTGTTAGCAATTAGGCAATCTCTCCATAGGTTCTACCTCCCGGGCACAATACTCACCTTCCTTGATTACCATGTTCAGATACTTCATGTTTTTGAGCTGCTCCCAGGTCGGCATCTCGTCCTCCACATCAAAGATCTCCTTCCTCAATTTCTTTACTACCTCCGGATTGCGAGCCAAGTAGTAGAAACACGCCGTCATCGCCGCAGCCGTGGTGTCTCTTCCGGCAATAATAACGGACAAGACTTGATCGATGGCGTGCTCCTCATCGGCGCCGGACTTCAAAATCTCATGCAGGAAAACGTAGTCTCGTTCCTTCTTGTCGGTCTTCTCCGCCTGGGACTTCCTTATATAGGCTCGCACATACTCGCGCACTCGTGTCACAGCCGCCTGGAACTCCCCGTTTGGCAACAAATTGAGAAGCGTTCCAAGTCTAGACTTCTTGGCGGCCTCACGGCTGGTGTACTCAAAATCTTCGAGGAATTGCTTAGCTTCGGGCGAGGGTTCGAGCAAAGAGTTTGTGGAGTAGCCGAGCAAGAAATCGGTAGACGAGTCCATGGTCATAGAAAGCAGGAGTTCCTGCATGTCAAAGGTCGATCCGTCCTTGGGAATGGCGTTGAGAAAGTTGCCGACGTGTTTGGCAAAGCAGTGAAGGTCGGCAACTTGGTCCCTGACGAACGAAGGTCTGATCATTCCTCGAGCCTCGCGCCTACAGTGCAATAACGATTCATTAGCTTCCTTTCACAACACAACCAAAATCCACTCCATTATCATGACCGAAACCGACCAAATGACATGGAGACGACATACCACTGAGCCCCGTTGGTAGTAAAAACACTCTTCCTTCCCAAAACCGGCACAGACGCATGCAACCGTGGTCCATCAATCGGCCACTCGGCCATCTTCGTGCCCAAAATCACTTTGACGTTCTCCGGCTCGTTCGTCATCAGTACCCATTTCCCCAGCGTCAACGTGTAGTGCGTGTTGCCATATCTCTTGAATCGAGCGTCCCACAGCGGCAGCAGCGCATGTGTGTTCATGGCTCGCAAAGTTTCGCGGAACAGGTCTAGTCCCAGGATAGGGTCCTTGTGTGGGTAGACCGCCACGGGGCTGCAGCCTAGGGATCGGACGCGGAGGCGGTGGAGAGCAGTGCGGAAGAGAAGGGTGAGGAGGTAGAGGAGAGGGCTTAAGAGGAGGAGGGTCGTGGGGGTTAGCATCTTGGCGGTTGCTTTCTTGTTGTCGTCGTAGTGGTATTTGGTAAAATGCGCCGTGGTTGGATGCCGTCGTTTGGGAAACGGGGAGTTGAAGTGATGAGCCCAAGTTGCTGGAATGACAACCGCACAGACAGAGTCTGCCCCTCTTGTCCAACAAAAGGCGCTGTCAATCTCAGGTTGAACTTGTCTTCGACGAGCTTTTGATATGGGCGAGCATAAAAGGTAGGTCTCCGACGACTTTCAACCGAGGTCTCCAAATTTCGGTAGCCACTCGTCTTCTCACTCTCTGTCTTGAGATGCTTGCTCTCAACAGCTTTCTGAATGCTCACTGACACCTCCCCTGCGTACTCAATCCCAACCACTTTTCTCCTTCCCCCGCTCTTGTCGTCTCTGGGTGTTCGTGTCACGGGTCACGGTGTAGAAGTGGTACAACCTCAACACATTGACATGTTATTGGCGCGGGGCTCGGTCTTTCGCGAGTGAGTGACGCGCACGGGGACGAGAAAGACTTTGTCTCGTCGGAAATCGGAACTGCGGAGTTGAGTGAATGTATATTGGTCGACAGGTATCGCCGCCGGATAAGCATGTAACATGTGCACCAGCACAAACGCACAACTGGAATGATGAATGATATCGGTGCGATGTATGTACATAACTGCCTTAGCAGGCGGGGACCTTTTTAAGTTTTTATAGACTTTCCCTTTTGGTTACCGTCGCTATTAACCGGCTATTACTCACTACCATAATATCCTGATCTCCTTCCTGAATAATGATGTTCTTCCCCCGCAATCGACTCACCGTTCGGTTCGCTTCAATTCCCATTCTCGACGGTGAATCCATGCTAGTTCAGTTTGGTACAAGATCATCGTCACGACCCCGCGCGGGTTTGCTGGCCCCCGACCAGACCCCGACCCCGACCTCCGACTTCCGACTTCCGACCTCCGACCCGGTCGCATTCATTGTAACCTAAGCCTCGGGAAAACCCACCTTCCCTTCTTATTTTTTTTCCCCTTCCTTTTTCGTTCTACTCATTCATGTGCACTCGCATTCACATTGCAACGTAGCAGTATGTAGTATCTTGCCATATCATTTACGGTGTCATCTACGGTTTCATTTTTGGTGTCACTATCTGTGCCCATGTCGAGCGGAGTCATGGCAAAATGGTCGACGAAACGTGGCTCAAATCGATGACGATCGCGCCTCGGGGTGGGTTAAGAAGTTTTCTTATTTCCGATCCGATTGACCATGTTGCGTGCTAGGACGGTAGTGTAGTATCCTGATGGAGAATTGGCGGTAGATCGGCTAAAAGGCATATGCATGATGCATCACGAACTGCGAAGAGTAAATCCGGGTTTGGCGAGCGATGGAAAGTAAACAAACTTCCGGAATAGGAAAGGCTTGGCAAGGGGGAGCTATAACCACACAGCAATATGGCTGTAGTAATGCATGTGGCCGGGTTAACCAAAGAAAACCTACCTACCTTCTGCGCCAGAATGAAAGCAGAATGAAGATGCAAGGAAGAGAATAACCAATGCAGAGCAATATAGTAGGTACAATACAATAGAAAGGAAACAATGTACCTGCTGGTCATTCCTCCTATCCATAAGACACTCCAAACTAAACCCAAAATTAATGGAGATACCGGACCTTAGCAATACCATGACATACCAAATGAGTCTTAAACACCAAAACGTAACCAAAACATCCCTGAAATCTCCCATTCATCCCCGAGAAAGCGCAAACACCCTCCTGCTAACTCCTCGATCAACTACCCCAATAAACACTCTCACTACTATCCCACGCAAACTGATTTCCACCGCCCCTATTATTCCTCGCCTCTCTCCTCTCCTTATCCGCCAACCTCCAGTTCTTGATCCTGTCACCGATAGCGGCGTTTCCATTAATGGTTCCATTCCCGGCAGTCAGCCCCTCTCCCCGCTCTTCACGGCGATGGTCATGGCTACTCCGAGCTCTGAACTCAGCCGGTACGCCGATGCCAGTTGTTTCCTCTGACCTGCTGTGATCAAGTTGACGCTTGGGATTCGGGGTAGACCCAGTCGCGCTATCAGGTACCAAGCCCGACACACCTCCAGGGAGCGCAGACATCCCCGAGAGTTGCGACACGTGCCGTGCGGGATCGATGCCGTTGGTGTTGTCTAGGTCCCAGTAGTAAGACAGCTGGGTGCTGGGATGGTTGTGGCGTCTACGCCAGGTGCTGTAAGGGGTTTTATTGATGTGACTATGGAAGCAGCGGTTGTGGTACTCGTCGTGGTGAAGAGGGGTATGCGGGACTTGCACATGCATGTGGCTGCTGTTCTCATGCAGCAGCTGCTGTGGATGCTGATGTTGCTGTGTTTGCAGTTTTTGGAGCACGCTGTGGCGGTGGTTCAAATGGTTGAGGCGGTTGGAGATAATGATCTTGTTGGCCGGAGGCATTGTTTTGCCTCCAATGCCACTTCCGCTGCTTCCGCTTTTGCTTCCGGCGCAGAGAGTAGATGAATGACGAGCTGAAGATTGGGACGGTGGTGGGGGCGGGGGAACCCCGTGCCAGCTGTGTCTGTTGTCGGCGTACTCCTTGTGAATTTCGATCACCGTGTCCTTCTCCTTGATATCGGCAATGTGGCCACAATCACCATCGTAGCATTCGCCTTGGAAAGCACAGGTGTCATCGATGTCGAAGCGCGGTCGGTTGCAATCATAATGACCCTCGATTTCGATTCCATGCCCGCCGCGGCCGGTCTTTGTATGCCCAGGCCGGCAGAGTTTGCCACAGGCGTAGGAAACGTCCGGATGAAGAGTTGAAAGCCTTTGCCATGTCGTCAAATTGCTTTTTTCGTCCAGAACCAGCATGACGCATCCACAGACCAGCCCCAAGATGATAACAGCGGTGATGATCCACGCACCGACTCGGTCGGCAGTGCTAAGCGGCGAATAAGGAACCGCAATGCTAAACGGATCCGTCTTACCAACATCTCCGCCGCCGGCTCCTGGGTCTCCCGCGCTCGTGCCGCCCGTATGGTTAGTAACGGGAGCGGCGACCTGCTCGATCATGTTGGCCAGGACAAGCTCCATCGCAGCCATCTGCTGGCCAACCCCCGTTGTGCCGTCCCATTTGCCGTGTTCCGTCCACTTGAGTCCGCACATACGACCGTTGCCGCCGCCGATGCACGTGGATGTGGCAGCGATAGCTGTGGATTTTAGAAGAGGCTTGATGCGATGATACGTCCATGGCGCCCACTTTGTCGTGGCGGCCATGGCGCGCGACAGGTATGCCTTGAAGCTCTGCTGGTCAAGATCGCACAGGTTGACAGGCTCACAGGCGACTTCTGTCATGATGCTACGTTGCGGGCCTGTAAAGAAGACACCAAGACCGTTGATTAGGCCATCGACTCGGCTTCGCCAGACCTCTCTCGTGTTTCCCGTGGTATAGTTGTACATGGCTGCGGCGCCTAGGAGGAAGGCACCGCTGTTATACGTCCATTGATAAGGAGTGATCTCGGAGCAGTTTCTTGTATGTGCCCCATCGTAAATGTAGTAAGTCTGCGTATCCATGAACTTGGACGAGACCATCCAATCCCACGTCTTATCGGCCCAATCCGCATATGACTGATTGCCCGTGTACCGAGCGAGGCGGGCGGCAATGTTGAAGAAACATGCTTGGGAAATGGAGTTCTTGTAGTCGTAGCCCTGGTTCCAGGTGAAGATCTGCCAGCGGAGCCCCCCACCACATTTCTGCGTGTCCCACCGGGCAGCTTGCGTGTTGAAGACGGCCTGTGCCAGAGCCAGCCATTGCGGCTTGTCGCTCGGTGGATCCTGGAATTTGGACTCGGCTGCTGACATGACCGTCATTCCCCAAAACCCTTGATCATCGTTACCTTCTGTCATGGTTTGGTTGGGCGGCATGTAGTCACTGTTTGGGCCGGCCTGGAAAAGCAGTCCCTGCTGAATGAGGTCATTCCATTGCGTATCGCCGGTATAGTACCAGTAGTCAATGAGCGAGCCCATCAAAGCGCCCGCTTCCCACCCTATACATGGTGATATCAGGTTAGAAGATGGCTTAAGGGGGTCAGCTTGTTGCACACTTGACTGACAGTAATATGGCTGAGGCAACAGGCCTGGAATTCCTCCCGGTTGGTTGCCAGAGTAGAATGACATCATGTCCTGGGCCATGAATCTGGCGGTATGCTTGAGCGAGTCTTGAGAAAATGTTAGCAGCATGCACTGCAGACGGGAAAGCAGCAAAGGCAGTAGAAGATGACCTATTGAGCGCAAATCCAAATCGTAACCTGCAATCACATCGGCTGTCATCAACAGGGCGGCTATCAACCTGGTGCACAGGAAACTGGCCTCGGTCCCATGGGCTCTCATGGTGAGACAACTACATCCAATTCCGGATTTAATGGTGAAGAACAAGATCCAAGGTCAAAAGACTCCAAAGAGTTCCAAAAAGAAAAAGAAAAAAAGAAAAGCACCGAAGGCTTGGAATGAGCTTTGCGGTAGCAAGACGTGGAGAGATCGGGGGATGTGAAGAGACTGCAATGAACAGCCAAGGAGATGAGGCGTGTTCGGATGGGCTTGTGATAAACCGCAGCCAGCTGGGAACTCCAGCATGGTCCTCCCCCATCATGTCATCCTCGTTTTATTCCAACTGTCCGTTCAAGGGCATGGCTTCTCTTCTGACGGCCAGAATCGTATCCTTGCACAATCAGGCAAGCGCAACTGTTCCAAGTTCAAGCTTCAACGGTGAATGTCTGGCAACAGAGAAAGAATCTTCCACCAGACATAAGAGCATGGTGCCGGACATTCTACAGTAGTGAGAGTATGCCGGCCACTTGGCCAGGTAAGCAAAGACCGGATGGCAACTAACCGGAAGGCATTTCAGTAGTGAATGAACTCTCTTCGTTGCCTTGTATGAGAACGGCGAACAGCAAGATTGTCCCAAGGATAACTGACGTCTATATTCGTTAAAATTTTGTACAGCTTGTCTGTGCTCTTTTGATGTCTTGAACTTGGGTACTCCATGTTGAAACCCGAGAAGTGAAGTGTGCCGTCACGCAGACGGGAAGAAGCGCCGTGGATAAGGAAGGATTTGACAGAGAGCATTTGTAAAAGCAGGAATCTAGTGCAAGTCAAATGTTGCATGCATGGAAAATTAACAATGCATACATCGGCATGTACGGATGTACATGCTGAAGATATATAAATATATATTTATAGTCGGACATCCACATTTATGCAGCAAGTTTAGGATCTAAACTTGCAGTGTCCGAGGTCTCATGTTAAAACCTTGCGGGGCAAACGCTCAATACGCTAACAGATCCGGACTCGAACACCAGACGACCAAGGTTTAGTCATTGACGGGCCGCATATCATATTCACTCGAGGCGGAAGTCCGAAAAAGAAGGCAAGCTACTGATACCAGAAAGACAGTATGCCCCTAAACTAGGTATAAGTTTCACCAGAGCTTTCCTATTGCTCTTTCCTCCTTTCCTATTGATCCAAGCAACTCAGAGTCGGAAAATGCCCAACTTGGTCTAAACTTTCGACACCACCACGCATCCATCATCTTAATTATATCCTTTCCAAGCTGACGCTTTTCAACATCTAGCCATCATTCTCTATTCCAGACAAGATGGGTATTGCCGACCTCCTCGACGAGATTGCCAATGCGTCGGCGTCTCGTCCTCGTGTCGACAAGGTCATAGAGCCTCCTCCTCAAGCCCCAGAAAGCAGACCCTGTCTTTCGCGTGCTCCCCTGCCTGGTTCAGCCCGTAGCACCTACCAAATAGCAACGAAGGGAACGACGACAAGTCGTCTCAAAGGTCGTGGTACAAGGGCAGGGGGTCCTCAGACTGCTTCTAGCCCCAGGGGCAACTCCAACAAACAAGCACCGGCCGTTGCTTCTTCAAGGTACAACAGCCCTAGCGGATGTCCCACACAGCCCAGGGGCAGGGCGGGCAGCGGCCCCACTCGCACCCCACGCACCACCAGTGCCCGTGCGGATCCTCTCGCCAAGCCGAACCGAAACCCGGGGTAAGTTCGTTCAATTGTCACTTGCTGCGCCGCTGAACCCTAGGTACCTCTATGCACTTTCCAGCAGGCCTCGCAGCCGCCGTAATAGGCTGTGATCACCTCAAGCTGTGAGACGAGACAGGGCAGGGGGAGGGCACTGTCCGATGATCGCCGCTTGGGCAGGGCAGGCCCACTGTCCCACATCTCTCGCAAGTGCCCGGCCCGGAACCTGGAACTACCCATGAACTGAATCCATTCCACTCCCACGGGCTCTTACCTGCGCCAGCCTTCCGTCACCCTCCTTTCATCATCCGACTCCATCATCCATTCCACTTCACCATTCCCTTGTTGTTCTTGGCCTCCACCTTGCATCGTACCATTTACCTCTCGCCTTCTTCTTTGCCGACTTTTTGCTTGCCTCGTTGCTTGTTTCTTGTATCTCCTAACCGTCACGCCTTCCAGCCTAACTGACCGACCCGCGACCAGTCCTTCCGACCGCCGTTCGCCTGCTACTTCTCAACCGCCTGTCCGCAAGCAGCAGACCACGAAGCCTGCGAAGCCCAGGGAACCCACAGACAGTACTGCCACCAAAAAGCCTACAACTGCATCGTCCTCTCGTGCCGCTGCTCCATCTATCAAGGCCGAATCTAAACAGCCGCTCCAACCCGTCGACGGACCCGTCACACCTCCGGACGACCCCGACACAACAGATTGCGAGTCTCTGTTCGGCGATTCTGTGCTTGAAAGCATTAAGGAGCGCCCAAAGCCCGCTCGTTTCCGTCGGGGCAAAGGCTCGCAGCTGAAGAAGATCATCGGCCAGACAAAACGCGAAGCCACGTTTCGGAGACAAGCACAGGCACAGCTTCAAGCTGAAGCCGCCAAACGAGCCGCGGAAAAGGCCAAAGAAGCAGAGATTGAGGCTGAGAGACGGGCAAAATCCGCCAAAAGTGCCGGAGCCGCGAGAGAAGCTAGGCAGCTCGCCGCGAGATCTTTGCTCAGCCCTTCGCTCAGCCCCTCGCTTACCCCTACGGTCATCCCGGCCGGTGCCAAACAAAAGCTCATCGGAGAGGTGAAGCTCAACAACGACAGCCCATTGTTGACGCTCTTGGCCACCTCAAAAGACGCCGATATGGACCCACCAAAGCATGGCAACTACCCCATCATTCTTAGTGATGCTTTACTAGGCAAGGCGTCCAAAGAAACAGTCAGTGGCATTCGCTGTAAGTTGTTATTTCCTTGCCTGCCAGCTACTGTCAGCTCATCACTGACCCTAGAATATACAGACAATCACAAACCGGCGCTCTCGTCTGACATTGCCCCGAGCCAATCAAGGCTCAAGCGGTCCGCGAAGGATGGTTCGTACAACCTCGGCTTCGATGATAACGGAGACAAGTATCAATACAATGGCGTCCGCACTGCAGCAGACGGTCAATACGTGCTCGTCTTCGACCCAGACCGCAAGGCTTTCGTCCTTCACCAGGTCGATTCAATGTTCAACATGAACATCGCCAAAACACCGACCGACACCAATGCCGCGAAGCAGTTCCCTCCTTTGGATGTCAAGGGTACTGTTCTCGACAAACCGGCCCCGAAGCAAAAGGCATCAACCGCCGCATCCAAGAATAAGGAAGCGCCTGCCAAGAACGCCCCTGCTGGCAGGGGAAGAGGAGGAAAGTCAGCCCAGAACAAGCAGAATCCCGCAACATTACCTCCCTCCAAGCCTGCCTCGCCGCCGCGTGCAGATGCAGAGGGACACGCGACCAAGCACCGCAAGCCAACATCCGCTGATTCCGAAGACGAGGATGAGGATGACGATGATGGTGGCTTGACAATAGAATACCCCGATGGTCCTCCACCAGAACGGTTCAAGCCAGCAGTCAACAAGTATGCTTCTCCTGCTCTCGCCCTGACCCGGCGCTTTTCCGAGTTTGCGGCCGCTTATAACCCGGACGAGGAAGAGGACGTCAATATGGACGCCGAGTTCGAGTCTCGGTTCAATGAAGACGCCGATGGAGAAGGTGGTGGATACGAGGATGATGATGAGGAAGAGGAGGAAAACGAGGACATGGTGGATGCTTTGGCATTACCCAGCCCGATCAACAAACCAGCGGCATTAGCAAGGACCAATAGCTACCACGAGAACCCATTGCCTCCTCCTGACCGCTTCAGTTTCGACGATGGCTCCGATATGGAGGCAGAGTTCGAGAACGTTCAAGAATCAGCGCCGGTCAATAACCAGGCTAACGCCGCTGATGGTATTGATGATGCCGAAATTGCTGCTATGGAGGCGGAACTTGCGAAGGACATGGAGAGTGATGTTAGCGAGGAGGAGTAATCCCGTTCCCGCACCTCGGCATTTTTAATCATGGGGTATAATTGGTTCAGCATCTTGAACCTCGTCGGATAAATGCATTTAGTTATGGCTATGGAGTTGTCAGCATTTTGCAAGGGCTGGGCCTTTGGGGAATCAGGAAAGCTGGCGTTAGGTTCACAACGTAGCAGTTGGTAATAAGTAGCGAAAAGTTGAACAGAGGAGGTAAAGTTAGGGATAAAGCAGTTATAATCGGCTTTCAGCAGCTACCAGGTAGGTAGATCTACTCATGGACGGCGATCGGTGGAACATAGAAACGGGCTGTAGCCCGGATGGGATATCCTTTGATGATATCACTTGATGATACTCCTTGATCAGTGATTAATACAATCCATTCTTACAATTCGTCGAGCTCGACTTGTGTATATTTAGTCTATCCCACTTGACGTACACCCGGTTTCTAACCCTTGAAGAATTGGTTCACTCTCTGATTTGCAACCAAAGGCTCTATATGATGAAAAGTTCATACGGTAAAGTCCAATGACCCAATCTGCTGCACTCTATTTCTGGGAGATCGTGAATGTAATGACGTATCACCAACTCCCAACCCAACGCGTATTGTCGGTTATATCTACTCCAGCACCATGTTGAGCGGTGCCTCGTGGTCGCAAAGGCAAACAGAGTAGGTTCAGTACACTTAAGGTCCTCCTGAGTACTTTCAAACTGCCTGGTAGGGAAATAGATCTTAGATCCTCAGGTGCTCTCGACTACCAGGTCGAGACTCTTGTCACCCCACTCCTTCAAGATCAGAGGCACCAGTTTCAGACTGGCTCGGTAAGGACAACCCAGCAGCAACAGTAGCAAACTCTGACGAATCCATGATGCCCTATAGTTAATAAACATGGTAGTGAAACCTTCAAGCAATATTTCCCCAAACGTGATCCCTCACACTTGGCTTCCAACCTCATTATTCCCAAGTATACTTCTAGATAGAACCAGCCGCATATTATCGGGAGGCTGACTGATCAACCACCCCGTGTGTGTCGTGCGTGGCCTGGCATAATCACTTCAAAAACCCCGTATCGAGAGCCTCCGGTCGTCGAGAGGTACAGCTTCCAGGTTCGCGCGTTTGGAGATCAAGACTTTAGTCGTCGTCGAAAAGCTCCATTGGCTCCTTCCTGGTCCCCTTTTGGTTTTCCTTCTTTACTACGGGATTCGAAGAACTCGAGCCGTTGGACGATTCCGCTGATGAAGTTGTAGTGGAACTCGTGGAGCTTGTCGAGCTGGGTGAGCTAAAGGGTTCTGTTCTGGGTGGTGGGGCTGTGAAGAACAGCTTTCTCCGGACCGTTTCTCCTTGCATGTTGTGGGTTTGTTGGGAGGAACTGGCCTTTGAACCTGTCCTTGTTGTACTTGGGCCTCCTCGAATGGGGTTTGGGCCTCCTCGAATTGGGTTTGTTGGGCCGGGGCCTAGAGATAGATGTGAAGGTGCCGCCGGATGTCGTCGTACTGGTGACACTGGCGGCGATTCTACCTCTACTGAGGACTCACGTATGGTTGCGGTGTCGGATCTGTCATCGTCTCGATCTTGGTCCAAATCTAGGTTGGAAATGTCCTCATCCAGATCGATGACCGTCTTTTGCTTTGCTTGAGCTGCTGCCGGTTGTTGACAGGGGGATGTGTTTCCTACCAACCGCGCCCTTTTGCTTCGGCTGGAATTGCTGTTATTGTTATCAATTAATTCGACGACAGCGAATTGGCGGCGTCGTTTCCGGCTGCTCAAAAAGGTAACCTCCCCATCGTCCTCCTCATTGCGCCCGACATTTCCAAGTTTCCTCGGGGTCTGAAAGGGTGCCTCTTCGGTGCGTGCCTGTGCCTGACGGATTATATTGTCCCGTTTATCTAAGCATTCGACAAGATGCTTATACAACAACTTCACGAAGATTGGCGGGAATGCATTTCCGATCTGTTTCTTGATGTAGCTTCCGGCGAATTTGTGATGCATCGGAAAGCCTTGCAAGAGGGCATACTCCTGGGGGGTGAACTGACGCAAGCCAGACCAGTGGTAATTCTCGGCAGCACCACATGTGACCGTATAGGGAAGTGGCTTGTCGCCGTCCCAAGGCGCTTTGCGTGTCGGGAAAGGTTGTAGATAGGGTTGATGCAGAGGGTATCTCCTTCTCTCATCAATGGCTGCTAAAGCCTGCCGGGCTGTGGTTGCGGGCTTAAGACCGTTGCCATGAGTTGGCGAGGGAAATGGGGGCAGCTTCTCCCCTGGACCAGCACCAATCATTATCAACCTCCTCCGAGGCTGAGGTAGGCCGTAGTGAGAGAAGTTCACCACCTTCCATCGGACAGAGTAGCCATGGTCAGTGAATCCATGGACGAGGCTCTGAAAGAAATCATCGAATCGAGGGTGCAAAATGCCGAACGTCTGTTCGACGGTAAAGAGGCGAGGCCGGATCTTTTCGATCAAATGGGTGCAAGAGAAGAGGATTGCGAGATTCTTCTCATCATTCTGGCCGGGTCGTGTATGGGCCGGAGACCATACTTGACAGGGAGGTGACAGGTGTAAAATATCGACGCGATGTCGAATTTCTTTGTCGACAATAAAATTATGCATGTCGATGTCGTAAATGGTGGTATCTTGACCCTGGAAATTGGCATTTAACGACGCCACCGCGTGCTCCCAATTGTCGACGCAAAACTCTAAATGGACTCCAGCATCCGTTATTCCTCGTGAAGCACCACCGGCTCCGGCAAATGTATCACCGGCCGTATACTTCTGATCGGAAGGCACTTGTTTTGGGCCACGTGATGGAAGCGTGGATGTAAAATCGTCAACATTGTGAACATGTCCATGTCCATGTTCCTGTCCCGCGGGTAGGAACGGCCCTCCTGGAACCTTACCACCGCGCCAGCCATTCACCAGCACGTCGTCGGATAGTCCAAAACCCTCGTCCGCTTCCTTTTCTTCCACTCTGACAAATGACCATTCGCGAGGTTTCTTGGTCTGGTGGTACTCGACATAGCTGTAGCGGGATACCAAAATGCCCATGTCCTTCACCTGTTGTCTCTTGATTGCCATATCTGCAGATCCGTCTCGGTACCGGGGAAATGGGGCGTTCGTTACACGGAGTTCTCTGGTCGTCAGTACGTTCTCGGGGTTGATGTCGAGAATGGCCTGTTCCCTCCAGGGCCGAGGGTCGCGAGTATCAACTGATGCTACTAAACAGCATTCGTTGAGTTGCTTTGGCAACATCCCATTCATCTCCTTGGCTCTCGTGAACCCGTGGCCTCTTATCGAAACGTTGTTCACGTGAGCCTGCCGAAGTCTTACTATCGAATTAACCCGGACGAAGCTTATCGCAAATCTGCCGATGGGTGCCTTTAATTCGACGGTCATCCCTGGTCGTACGATGAAGCCCTGGTCGCGCAGGGAAAAGGAAGGTAAAGTCTCCTCTTTGGGTCTTGATCGAAAGGCCCTACCGAGCTCAGAGAGTTCGATATCGTTTTCAGTGATATCTATAACCTCAGCGACTTCCCCCTCGACCTCTTCTTCATCATGGATTTGAATGACATCGTCTTCGTCGTCTATAATAAAGGGGTTTTGCTCGGCCATTCTGCGGAGGGGGGGTAGATGTTGCTGAGCGGGAATGTAGGACGTGGAGTCACAGGTGGTATGTGACGATTCGTGAGTTGACTAGGAAGAGGGTTAGCTGGTCGGCAACTACAGATAGGGAGAGTGGTGGCGGATGGCAAAAGTGATCCAGGCAATGCGGGGAACGTGTGAGTTGATGTTGAAAGTGAGAAAGATTTGACGGTAAAAGAGAAAGGAGGACGATAGATTTCGGGCAAACTTACTGAAGCAGAGAGGCGCCCAAACCACCCCGTCAAGGTTGAAATGTTGCTAGAATACGTAGTCCGCCTCGATATTACAATCCGACCCTCTACACGGCGCAATAAATATCCGTCCTACCGTACAATCGCAGTATGATAGGAAAGAAAGGTGCAGGGTGAACAAGGACTGAATGTCATCAAGATGTTGGAACGAGAAGGGATTTCATACAAGAAACAAGCTCACGCAAGAGGAGTGAGTGACAGTGACACCTGCTTTGTCTGGAATCTAGAAAGAGTCGAGGACAGCCCAGATTTATAGACGTCGAGATGGATGGAGCAACACGCAAAGAATCTGAGATACAAACGCAAGTCGCTCCATCAGGCAGGAGACCTTGACGAAGGGATGAATCAGAAGACGATATTAATTTCCCGTCGCCACAGCAATCGTAATCTAACCCGGTGGTCTCACGGCTGGGCTGTTTGCAAACAGAATATCGGATGGAAGGCGCTCATACAGAGAAGTGATGCGATCTATGTTGGTAGCGAATACCTAAGAGCCTAAGCGTTCCAAACAAAGTCAAAGGTTATCGGGATATGAGAGATGTTTCCCATTGAAGAACACGGAAAGTCAATGAATACCTCCGCGGCCACATCTCTAGAACGAGCCATCATGTTTCTCTCTGGGACTCAAAGGACATCTCGAGTGAGTTGGAGGTGAATCATCGGCACTTTCGCTCAGGCCTTGAGGTCATTTTCGCCAGCTGTTGACCCATAACTTGGTGACTGCGGATTCTCTCTGCACGCTTCTCAGGATCATCGTAGCAATCGACCAAGGTGCACTTCGTTCTTTGAGACCGACAGCGACTGGTTTTTGATACGGGCTTGGAGTTGCGAGACTGGCAAGAAGGCGATGCCCTGATCCATGCCCACGCTGGCAAGGGTTAGGGGTAAAGTGGAATCAGGACCAAGCCAAATGTCGTAGGTAATTCCGCCTCGGAACATCCCGGTGCCGGCCCCACCGATCGCGCCCCCACTCTCACGTTCAATTTTCGCAAACCTGAACTTGCTTCTCTCGTTCATCTCCATTCCCATTTTCCCTCTCCTGGACTCAACTTTGAACTCTGATGTTTGGATATACAAACAACAATACATGTATGTATTGCGCTGCCAAAGACATGCAGCTGAGGACAGCCTTTTGAAGCCAAGGCATCCATACTGAGGGTGAGCTACCAATCTCTTTTTTCATCATCACCTCCCTCCCTTTCCATGATGTTTTGACAATTATCAAAACCTTGACTGCCTAGCATTCTGCTGCGGAGAAAAATGCTATCTGAAGCTTTGGATATCTCATACCTCGATGTATCACACCTCGCGTTGTTGAATTTCTGCTAACATCGTGCGGTGTTTCAGTCTGTGAAAGTAAAACGAGAGCAAGTACACCAGTACTCCTTAAGAACTGCTCATGATCATTGTAAAAATACCCAGCCAATGCCTTCTTTTTTCCCATTACCAAGCCCTTGTCATAGTTAGCAGTCATTCAGTCATGAATAAACACCGGATTACAGATGAACTCTTGATGTCACAGTGCCGATGAGACATTGTTCATGCACGTTCATCCGGCAGCTTCCTTTTTGCCACTTGGGGAGAGTTGTTCGCTACTTTAACGTGCATCTCCCTGTTCACATCCCACGCCCATTGTTCGCTCCTCCTCAAGCGATCGCTCTAACTCTAGTGTATACGCACACAATCATTTTTTTGGTTTCCTAGCTAGCAAGTGGAACACTACTCACAAAGCAACTTTGCGTCAATCGCTGCGATGAGAATCCAAACCCGTTCAGCCGCCAAGAGGCTCAAAGTAAACACCGAGGAACGCATCGTGGTTGCGAACCCCCTCCAGAATCCGATCATTGTTCCAGATCATGTATCTGAGACTATTGTAGCTTCGGTTGAGGCTGAATCCTGGACGAGAGGGAAACGGAAGCGGGGACATGCCACGCCGGCGCATCCTCTCAAAGGTTCGCTTACTTCTTCGCTCTCGATTTCAGCCTGCTAATTAGTTGACTACATAGGTGGTCGGGATGCCTTGCCTCCTAGCATGGGCGTTTTGCCAACCCCTGGAACAACTCCAGAGACGCCAGATTCGCTGAGCATTTCTTCCAATGCGCCGGTGTATTCAACGCGAAGTATGGCCAAACGCCAGAGTCAAACTTTGCTTGAAAGTACAAAGATTCGGACCGAGGATGTGAAGGCGCAGAAGACGCCGATCGGTACAGGGCCCCTACAAGTGACTACACCTGTAGATATCTCGGTACATCATACCCGGAGTGTGACCAAACGCCGGATCAAGGTTCAGTCCGCCATCATCAAGGATCGGACGGAAGATGCAGCTGCGACAGAAGCTGTAGAGAACATCACGGGCACTTCTCTGGATAACACTATTGAGGTGAACACCCCCAACGACGACGACGACAAAGACGAGGAACACACTGAACGGGATCGACGGGGTACCAAGTCGTCTTCCAAGAGACCAAATACAGAAACGGACAAAAACCTCGATAGCGGCAATGGACAGATTAATGTCAAGACCAGCAAGAAGGCAACCAAGGTTACCGCCACAAAAATAGCCACTGTGGACCGTGACAGCCCTGACTACAGAATGCCAGTGAGAAGGGGCCCAAATAATCCCATGGGGCTCACGCCAGGGTTCTCACCCTACCCCAATCGCCAGGCTCCTACCTCTGAAGCATGCGAGGATGTGTATCGCGTCTTGGCAGCCGTGCATGGCAAGGTAGAGCAACCCAAGGAAATGCCCAAGGCATCTTTGGAGAAGGCCGGATGTGGCGAGGTACCTTGCGTATTGGACGCCCTCCTCCGGACGCTGATTAGCGGCAACACACTGATGGCCATGGCGGACCGAGCGATCAGGAACGTAGCTCAAGAGTACGGTTTACGAGAACACGGCTCAGGCGTGGGGAGCATCAACTGGGAAAAGGTTGCCAGCGAGCCAGAGGAAAAGCTGGCCCAGGCTATCAAGGTTTCGGGGAACGGAAACCAGAAAGCCAAGCATATCAAGCTGATCCTCGACATGGTTGCGTTGGATATGGCGCAGATGGCAATGGAGAACAACGGAACGGGCGGTAAGCGAGAAGTCGCCTTCCCAGAGACGTTGAACCTAGACCACATGCACAGCGTCACCAAAGACGAGGCCATGGCCAAGCTTGTCCAGTATCCCGGTATTGGAATCAAGAGTGCCGCCTGTGTTACACTCTTTTGTCTTCGCATGCCCTGCTTTGCAGTTGACACGCATGTCCACCGGTTCTGTCGCTGGCTCGGCTGGGTGCCGGAGAAAGCAAATGCTGAGGACTGCTTCAGACACTGCGACGTGAAAGTGCCGGATCACCTCAAGTATGGCTTACACCAGCTTTTTATCCGTCATGGACAACAATGCTTCAAATGCCGGAAGGCGACAAGGCCTGGTACGAAGGAGTGGAGGGAGGCACCCGAATGCCCGTTGGAACACCTGCTGGACCGGGGGAAGGGAGGAGACCATCGAGATGGATAGACAGGGAACGCCGGAAAGAGTCGGTTCGGAAGCAGTTGATTTCTTTCCGACAGCAATAATTTTCAATCTGACTCTTTTGCATGCCATAACTTGGGACCCTCTTAGTACTGTTGTGACGGATGAAAGCTTCCTGGGCCTTTTGAGACTAGATCCCCTCCCACAGTTTCATCTGATGTCCACATCCCCAGTGATGCACTGATAGAAAGCATGTAATTAACAAAAGAACATACATGTACCCATTCTGGTCATAAAATGTTGTCGTCATTGACAGCTCCAAGTAAGTACTCGATTGCGAATCACCTCAATGTCCGAAGATTCGGTGATTCATGGAAGAGACGGGGAGTTGGGCGAGTCCGTACCATAGGAGCTCACCATCTGGCTACTGGCAACAGCTGCTGAGCAGCTGCCTGTTTCTGACCATCCGAGTCGGACCTGCCTGCCGCGCCCCTCTACCCCCTGCAACTTTTAGCGGCCCCACGCACTTTAGGTCTGACGCGGTTCCTTTCTGGATTGACGCGCAACAACAGAACCTAGGTTTCGTTACAGCGTTCCTCTTCCTTTCCCAGGCACTGGACGCTGGCTCTGGCATGTCAGAGGAAGCTCCCTTCTGACAGCCGCACCGTCAAATCCAACATACAACAGGAGATAGCCTTCACTGATTGCTTGGTGAAAGAAGAACGGGGTCAGACTCCTTCACTGGCCTGGAACATAAAACCCCACGAGCGCGGATTTCTCTTCTGTCCTATTGGTATTCAATTTTCCTCCAACCCTTGGTCTGTGGGCGCAAAAGATACCCGCATCCATAGCCATCTCGGCCTTTGCCCTCCGACAAAGCATCACTGCTCGTCCCCGGTTGCCTGGAGCATCTTGCTTCAACTATTCTTGTCATTCCTTTACCGCTTTGCCGATGCAAAAGCTTCTCTAAACCATTCCGTCTGTTTTGAGCTGAAGGTTGCTTCTTGCGACCATCGAAGCGCCGACCTACTTCGCCCTCCCAGCTCCGGCAGCTCCGTCAGCCTAGACAACCACCAGAAGCCATTACGTTCTCGAATCGACCGCCGAGATGTCAGACAAAATGGAGTACCCAGAGCTGGGGACCGCAGACGTCCAGATGGCTATGATGGAGATGCATCAAGCCTTTGAAGAGTTTCCTCCAGACGCACACCCAATTTGCCCTTTGCTCAGCGACGATGACGATACGGACTACGCGTTGCCAGACCTCCCCGATGCGAACGGGACAACGGTGGCAGAAAAGCAAAAGCGAATTGCTGACGGGTTCGAGAGACGTAGGATTACCTACGGCCTTTCGCTTCTGTTGGTGATGCCAGAGGCTGGTAAATGGATCAACGAGTGGAAAGAGCGTGTCAACTTCTTTCTCACAAAATGTGACCAATGTGCCCGGACATGGCATAGGACACGCCAGCAATTCATCAGAGCCATTGATCAGTGCGTATTCGCAAGAACCTACTTGATCCACCGTAGGCCTGGTGACCCCAGCTAATCCAATTTACAGATACACTTCCCGAGACAACGCCGAGCTCTTGCGGAATCTACAGAAAAACCTCGAAGCCTTCGATGAAGAACGCATCACGCGCGGCCTCAAGAGAGCCAAATTCATCCTGGAGAGGGACGGTCCCATGCCGACTACGAAGCTTGTTAGAATCGAACTTTGGCCGTGTCTCGCCTTGTTCGAATCGCTCTGTTGCATGGCATACTTGAACACCAACAAAGCAAACCTAGAGATATTCAATTATGTATTCGAACATGTCCAGCCTAAGAAGCCGCTGAAGATGGTGGGAGGCGCAATTCCGACCATGACATACTTCCTTTTCGAAGAGTATCCGGTTCACAGGGCGTTTGCAGAGGCACAATGGCAACGGATGTCACCGGAAAGCCTCACCGATGAGGAGTGGGAATGGGCTGTCAGAAGCGGCCTCAAGTCCCATATACTCGGCCATAGGGGGATACAGCCCCCGGCGCGGCTGTGTCGCTTTTGGAGCGGATTCCTCCTCATTTTGCGAGCTATGAGTGAAAAGAGTATTTTGGAAAACCTCCGCGGTATGGAAGTACAACCGAATGTCTACTTCCTTGCTCTCGAAAACCTCGGCACCAATAACGTCCCTGCTTTGAGCATGATACTGAAAGCACTTCGTACGCTAATGGAGCGTTCGTCAAAGGCTTTTTGGGATGCCTATGACCAAGTCACCCCCAGTATGATTGTGGAGGAAATTTTCAAGAGCCCGGCTTTTCGGCCCTTTTTAAGCCAGTCTCTTGAGCCGGACATGATGGTCGAGGACCATGATAACAACGGTCAACTAATACCAGCGTTGGCAGAATGGGTCAGGGCCTTTATCCGTTCCCTTCCGTTAGCGCGGCGGTCAGACGTTTGCGAAACTCTTCTTCGGCATCTTTTCGAAACTCTCCGGGTCGACCCAAGCGCAGCCCCTGAAGCGAAGGCCACATGTATCCTTGCTGGTCTGGTGACCTTGAGAGAATGCTTGGACGGCTACCTCAGCCTTCCATCCTTTGATACAGGAACGTCTCTTATCATGGTCAACCAGTTACTCAACAGAGTGATTCAGTACAAGGAAGTCATCATTGACGCGACCAGACTCAAGGCCGCGGACAAGTACAACGTTGGCCTCTCACAGGCTGCTATAGCTATCATACAGTCTGCCCTGGCGTTGGACGCGAAGGCGACGTTGATGGAGTGGGACGCTTTCGTCAAGGAGAAGCCTGTTCAAGATGCCGTAAACAGGGACTCTGGCGCTTTGTGGGAGTCATTCCTGGAGCTCGTCTGGAACGGACAAACAGATCTCGCCAAGGCCATGTTGAGAGCTACGATGCCTCTCAGGAGTATCGAACGGTTTATCCCTAAGCGGAAAGACCAGCTCAAGAACGAGCATGCAAAATTCAACAGACGCTTTCAACAGCAATCGGCGGCAATTGGCAAAATGTTAGGCCGTCTGTCTGACTTCAACCCGGCTGATCTTGACAGTTTCTGCTCGGATCCGCAGAGTAACACCATCCAGCCCATCGTGGCGACTCTAATACACGGTGAGGAAGCCATTCGCGAAGCTGGCTTCGAGTTGATCAAAGCCATCACAGGTGAGATGACGCCATCTGAGGCCGTGAATAAGATGCTTGAGGAGTACTTCAGCCAGTTCCTGGAGGCCTTCACTGGCGCCGTAAACCATATCACCAACGCCAAAGACTCCAATAATCCGTGGAGTCACATGCAACACTTGTTGAAATGCTGTGAATTCGTGCTCAATAGCTTAAGTGATCCGTCCGTAGGTCAACTCAGACGCAAGACCCTGACCCCTGCGGAACATGCTATCGTTAAGGGATGGTGGGATTGCGAATGGAGAGCCGTCGGCCACTCGTTCGGATCCATGAGACTCTGGCACGTGAAGGTGGACAAGAAGGTCATGGAGGACTTTTGTCGTGATGTGATGGAACTTGCAGAGAAGCTCCTCGCCCAAGACGGTCTCATGGCTTCGGCACTTAGCAGTCCTCAAAGCATCTCGGCGACAAACGGTGACGACGGCTCAGAGGGCATGAAGTTGGTCCTGGAGCCGCCGAGAATACACTCGCTTCCCTTGGTGGACATGTTGCAACTCCGCGATAAATATCTGATCGCTGGTATTATCGAAATCACCAAGAAGTTGATCAAGCGTCTGCAAGACAACGGTATGGATCTTCCGCCAAAAACAGTCGCCTATCTCAACAACATGCTGAAGAAGAGGAAGATGACTGATGGGCGGACGGACTACCCCATAAAGACGAATCTCACCAACGAGCAACGGATCGAGCTACTCAAGGCGCTCGGGGACGATGCTGCCATCGAAGCGCAGTTCGTTGGTGGAAAGCCTGTGAAGCAAGAGGTCAAGCCGGTTATGAAACAGGCAAAGCTCGATTTCTCAAAGGCATCACTCAAAGACCACATTGCTTCGCTTACGCCTGCCTTTGAAAAGGCCACTGAGAGGCGGAAGAATGCTCTGTTGGAGACGATGAAGGCTGAGGCCCCAGCCAAGGCTCCTCCCAAAATCGACTCAAAGGCTGCCGACAAGATCAAGGAGGCTAGGCGGCTTGAGCGAGAAGCCAAGGCTAAGCGAGATGCTGAGGCCATCGCGAGGGCAAAGGCTCTGCGTGCGCCACCAAAGCTGGTCCAGGGAGAAGGCTCAGGTCTGGCTGGTGTTGCTGGGGTTCGTGGCAAAGACCACGCCCCAGTGCTGAAGGACGAGATCATGGTTGGTTCATCATCGGAAGACGAAGATGAGTCTGACGATGACGAGTTGATCACACTCCATGCCGCTGGGAAGAAGAATATGACTGAGGCCGAGCGTCGCGCCCATCGGTTGTTGGCTGAGAAGATGCGCGGACCGGTGAAGAAGGTCAAGATCGAGCGGTCCGCCAAGGATATGCGCGCTCGCCTTATTCCCCCTATGGATGTGTTGCACCAGGCCATCTTGGAGTGGGACATCTTCCACGAAGGTAACGATCCGCCGAACGGGTACCGTTGTGATCACGTCTCGGATACCTACCAGGACCCGGTCAGCTACAAGCAAACCTTCTTTCCGTTGCTCATCAATGAAGCCTGGCGCTCATTTGTCACAGCCAAGGATGAAACCACGTCCAAGCCCTTTGGCATCAAGGTCCTTAGTCGCATGACAGTCGACAAGTTCATGGAAGTTACGGCGTCGGTTCCAGTTGCAATCAACAAAGACCGTCAATTGTCTGAAGGAGATATTGTCATCATTTCCAAGGGCCAAAACCCGCTTCAAGAGCCTGAAGAACTACACTGTCTTTCGCGTATCTGGAAGACAACTTACAAAAAGGACAATGTGGAGGTCGTCTACCGCCTGAATGCCAAAGGTAACCAAATTCTACCTGCACTATTGCCTGGCTCCGAGTTTACCGTTGTCAAGATCACCAACATGACGACCATTGAACGCGAGTATGCCGCCCTGGAAAGTTTACAATACTATGATCTTATGGACGAGGTATTGAGGGCTGAACCGTCTCCTATGCTGTCTTTTGGCGAGGAGAACATCAAGAACACCATGAAAAACTGGAATCTTAACCCAGGTCAAGCGAAGGCGATCCTGAACGCCAAGGAGAACGATGGGTTCACCCTTATCCAGGGTCCTCCAGGTACCGGTAAAACTAAGACCATTGTGGCAATGGTTGGCTGTCTTCTGACCGGCGTGCTCAAGAACCCTACCGCTGGTGTGGCCATTGGGCGTCCGGGACTCGGAGCTGCGAAGAACAATGCTCCAGCAAAGAAGCTGCTTGTTTGCGCGCCCAGTAACGCCGCTGTGGACGAACTGGTGTTGCGCTTGAAGAATGGCGTCAAGACCCAGAACGGAACAACTCACCAAATTGAGGTGGTCCGTCTCGGTCGCAGCGATGCCATCAACAGCGCAGTCAAGGATGTCACGCTTGATGAGCTGGTCAAGGCGAAACTGGAGGCTCAGTTGAACAAGGATGAAGGCCCGACTGACCGGGAGAAGCTGCACCAAGAAGCGGGCGAGATCAAGCAGAAGATTGCCGAACTCAGACCTCAACTGGAAGCAGCGCGCACGATTGACGACAGGCAGCTGGTCAACAAATATCAGCGGGAGTTCGACGAACTCAAGCGGCGCCAGGCGCACATCGGAGCGCGCATCGATGCGGATAAAGCTAGCGGCAACACATTTGCCAGAGAGACCGAAATCAAACGCCGACAGGTCCAGCAGGAGATTCTGGACAAGGCTCAGGTGCTGTGCGCCACTCTCAGCGGTAGCGGTCACGAGATGTTCAAGAACTTGAACGTGGAGTTTGAGACGGTCATCATCGATGAGGCGGCGCAGTGTGTGGAGCTCAGTGCGCTCATTCCCTTGAAGTACGGATGCTCCAAGTGCATTCTTGTCGGTGATCCTAAGCAGTTACCACCTACCGTTCTCTCGCAGTCTGCTGCACGGTACGGCTACGACCAGAGTTTGTTCGTCCGCATGCAGAAGAATCACGAGAAGGACGTACACCTCCTCGACACCCAGTATCGTATGCATCCTGAAATCAGCTCCTTTCCCAGAGCCGCCTTTTACGAAGGTCTCTTACAAGACGGTGACGACATGGCCAAGTCGCGCCTCCAGCCCTGGCACCGCAGTACCTTGCTTGGTCCGTACCGCTTCTTCGACGTCCGCGGTTCGCAGGAGCGGGGACCAAAGAATCAGTCACTGGTCAACGAAGAAGAACTCAAGGTCGCGATGCAACTTTATCGCCGTTTCAAGGCCGATTACGGCAATGTCGACCTCAAGGGCAAGATTGGCATTATTACTCCTTACAAGGCCCAGCTGTACCGGCTGCGGTCTCAGTTTGCCCAGCGCTTCGGCGATGCCATCACGGACGAAATCGAGTTCAATACCACTGATGCCTTCCAAGGACGAGAGTGCGAGATCATCATTTTCTCATGCGTTCGTGCCAGCCCCACAGGTGGTATTGGTTTCATGACGGATATCCGTCGTATGAACGTCGGTCTCACGCGTGCGCGGTCTTCACTGTGGATTCTCGGTGACTCCCGCGCTCTCATGCAGGGTGAGTTCTGGGCGAAGCTCATTGAGGATTCTAAGCGACGCGATAGGTATACCACGGGAAATATCATGGGAATGCTAGGCCAGACGGGGCCACAGCTGTCTGCTGCGGCGTTCGAGGCTCTGGCGATTACTAGCTCTGATAATACCAGGGAAAGTACGCCAAGTGGTATCAAGCGGGAGGTGGTCGAGGTGAAGGACGAGGATAGCGATGTGCAAATGGGGGATCGATCGTCATTCAGGGGGTCTTCTCCTCCGGCTGCTGCTGTCGGCGGCAGCAGTGCGATAGGTTCGTCCAGACCTCCTTCCGGACGGAATACTCCAAGTCATACCGGGAACGGGTTCGGAAGTTCGCCTGCCCCGCAGCAGCCGCAGCCAACACAGTACAGGGAAGGCTTGCCGGTCATTCAGGGGACGACTTTCACGCCGAGGGTAAAGAAGAGGCCGTATGAGGGAGGCGGGGGTGATCAACCTGGCAAGAAGGTACGTAGTATTCGATACCGGGACAAGCAGCAGTAACGTATGATGAGCTTAGATTGACTGACATTTTCCCTATCACAGCAACACATCGACCCCATCGCCAGCAGAGCCCCCAAGGGGCCCAGGGGCTACAACCCCAATACCAACAACCTCCCACCAAGACCACCGCCGCAGGCGCCGAGTGACCCCTCAGCGATGGAAGTCCTGGGGTTGGCACCCCCTACCAGAGCACCGGCTGCTCGGCAGCAGCAGCAGCAGCAGCCGCAGTTCGACTATCAACCTCAGCAGCCTCCTCAATACCAACCTCGTCCTCAACAAGGAGCTCCGCCTCCGTATCCGGGCCATCAGCAACAGCGACAACCACCTGCTGGTCCTTCTCGACCCGGTCCTCCAACTGGACCAAGCAGACTGGGTGGTAGTGGTACAGGTTACCAGCAGCAGCAGCAACAACAACAGAGACCGCCGCCGATAGTGAAGAAGAAGGCGCCTGTTGATCCGTTTATTAAGCGGAAGAAGAGGTGATTGATCTACTCGGATGATGATCAGCTCTGACTGCAGGACATATCTTTTGGAAGCCCACCTCAAGCTGGGTTGTTGCTTCCGTTATCACGCTGCATCTTATGTGAGCAGGGTTTTCGTTCTCGGTCTCTCGGATTGTCTGGTGGCATTCCTTGCATTCTATATCTTGCCGGCTTTACGGCAGATCTTGCTTTGTTTTATGGACATCTACATAGATTACTTGGGCATTTGTTCGCTTACTCCCATGGTACATATAATCTGCCTGGGTGGCTTATCGCTGTCTGATTGAAGGAGGAGCTAAAAGGGCGTCATCCGCACGGCATAGATGGTGTTAGAGTAGACGACTGTAGAGTAGATTTGATGATTGCTTGCTTGTGCCTGGTGTGCCTGTTGAGTTTCATGATCGGGCTGCACGGTCTGGTCCAATTCGGTAGGGACATAATCACGGGCCCGTTTTTGCTCCTCTTCTTCTTCCGGCGGTTCTTCCCCGTCCTCGTCGTCCTGGTTCCGAGTCCTCAAGCCGAGTTCTTACCAGAATCGGTGCAAAGGGCTCAAGCCGTAGACCTTTCCAAGAGGAAGAAAACCGGGAATCGAAAGCAGGACAACACAGGATGAAAGGCAGCGAATGAAGCGTTTCCCGTCAAGATGCATTCTGCATCAGGATATGCCATAACATGGGCGACTACCCCAGTTTCCCAGGAATGCTTTGCTGGTTTCCCGTATATCGATTAGGGTTAAGTCGACCGACTGTACTCTTATTTCCCTTCTGTGCACCTAGGTACTCATCTTGGTTCAAATGGTTCCAACAACACTACCTACATTTCAACCTCCTCCACGCGGGCATGTGTAATACCGAGCACACCTACCAGCGGCAGGACCTCCTACTACGCTTCCAAGCCAGTCCACAGGAAATTGAAACATCCATCGATTTTACATTTACCAGTCGGTACACAACGACATGAATCGAGTACCTCTGAGTTGTGATCCTTCAACTACATACGAACCTTTTATATGCTGATCCACTACACATTGTGCTGCTTCCATTAACTCACTTCAAATACTTTGATCTTGTCTTATTGCTACCGCAGTACTCTCCAAATACCAAGGTCGTGCACACACACACGTACGTACATACATAGATAGATACATGCAGGGACCGCCTCCCTGCTGCTTTGTGCTGTATCCTGTTAAACCCCCGAACCTAGCGGCCACGGTCGGTGGTTGTCTGGCGTTTGCATCTCCAGGTTCTTTCTGTTCTTTTTGTTTCTACTTATATAAGTCTATCATTGACAAACTATTTCATCAACAACACCAGGCGCCAGTGGTTTAGTGGTAAAATCCATCGTTGCCATCGATGGGCCCCGCGTTCGATTCGCGGCTGGCGCAGTGATTTGTTTTTTTCATCTTTTTCAAGCACCTTTTTTCTTTTTTCTTTTTTTTTTTTGGATGCAGTGGGATCGTGAGGGTGGGGTGGGGTGGGGTGGGGTGGGGTAGGGGCGGTGGTGGGATTATTCTTGTGGGGGGGGGGGGGGCTGAGAAAGTGGGGGGTGTTGCGTGTAAGTGAACATGTCCGTTTTGGGAAAAGGAAACTGCCTGACTGCAATGACGGGCAGAGAGGGGGGAGGGACACTCAACAGTTGTATGACCACGGGGCGAGATAAACCAAGCAAAATAGCATGAGGGTGTAAAGTGTTGGTAGGAATTTCTATGGTAACTAAGTTCCTTCATTTTGTCTCCCGTTGTTATGCATTTTCGACAACACAATCACTCATCGGGGAAGAAGCAAGAGGCAAGACAGTCTGCAGGTGAGCATGGCATCAGAATCAAAGTCAGATCACATTAATGAGATGCTCGCGTCAAGTCTCTGTTATGAGAGAGAAATGGTTCGTCTTCTGTCAAATCCACGCAATCGCTTTGCTTTTTGGTCGTATCCAAGCCGATATTCAAAACGGGTTCAGAAATCAACTTGAGCATCATCATGGCTCTCGTACTTTATTAAATTTGGCTCGTGCCTTCCCAGGTCTATCTGCGCCAATCCATACACTTTCCGTTACAGACAATTATGTCTTTCTAGTCCAACAGCCAGCATCCACCATCAACAGTTTACAGCCATACTTTCGTGATAGCAACTCTCAAAGGGGCCCAAATGGCGAACCAGTAAGAGAGCGCATCAACCCACGAATAATCTCAAAGCATTTCCTTCTTGCCCGTGCTTTCTTTCTTCCATCAGCACTAACCCTTCCCATTCTTCTATTTATTACCTCGCACGTGGATACATCTCCTCCTCCTCCTCCTCCTCCTCTCCAATCCTTTGTAGCCTGAGCCTCAACGAAACAGGCATTATCTCAAACAAAGGCAACTCTACACGGTCCAATCTGCGCAGTCTATCACAATAGCATTTGTAGCACACGGGGCCAACCACCTGATTCCACAAAGCGATGGGGTAGGTCTTGTTGTTCAAATTAGCGTCATCGGGAATGCCAATGGGGCGATTGCTGAGTTTCTTGAATATTTTATCCCGATGCGTAATGCCGCAGTCTAGTTCGTCCTCGCTGGTAAGGTCGACCATCTCGATATCGTGGGGATATTCGGCATCGTCATCGCTGTTACTGCTACAATCTTCTTCGTCTTCGTCTTCATCTTCGTCTTCGTCGTCAGTTTCGTCGTCAGTTTCGTCGTCAGTTTCGTCGTCAGTTTCGTCGTCAATTTCGTCTTCGTCTTCGGATGACCCGTTATCGTCGTCGTCGGCTTCATCGACGTCCATGGAGGCAACAGTAGCCTCCCACTCCGGAAGGGTAGTTGGCACGGCGTTCACCAGCTTGACAAGCTTCTGGCGAGTGTTCTTATCCATCACGGCAGGGTTATGATCAACCCACTCCAATGCCTCGATCTCATCCTGTGTTACCTCTCCAGGGTGCAGCAACCTGGGCGCCCACTGTCCTTCGGACTCGGCGACGCCACCATCGAGAAGGTCAGAAGAAGGAAGGCCGCAAGCTCCCACCTCGCACCAGCACTTCCTGTGGTGCATATCCGCACGACACACGGGGCACTTGTACTCGCGCGCGAGCTGGCGGCGGCCGCAGACGGGGTTGTAAACGGCATCGTAGGGGCTGGCGTCCGGCAAATTGTCCTGGTATTCGTTGAGGCAAGGGATGCAGAACATGTGTCCGCAGGGCAAGAGAGCGGCCTCAAAGCGGACTAGGTCGATGTCGGTGGCCGGGATTCCGGCGATGTCGAGCTCTGCTTCATCACAGAGGGCGCACATGGGGCGCGGGATGACGGTGTTAGGGTCCTTTGATGATTTGGCGCGAGAGAGCAGGTATTGCTTCACTTTAGGCCATAGAGTGGTTTCCTTGCGGATGTGTCGGATGCCATCGTTGTTGGTCTGTGGAGGGGTGATGATTGTTAGCATAAGCTGGCCTGAGCACGAGCTGGCCGAATGGCAAAGTACCTCTGAGAATGATGAAGTCATGGTAGAAGTGTGCGTTTGGCCGTAATGAGACTTAGACATATTGATATCAGCTTGGGGAGACATCTTTTTCGTTCTTCTTACTGTTTGAGGGTGTAAGGTCTGCTATTGATGAGAAATATAGAAGAGAAATAAAAAAAAAAAGGTTATCGGAGAGGAGGAGGTTCAGTATTTATATTGACAACCGTCACCATGCAAGGTGCGCTGATTAGATATTTACAGGATTGTATCACTTACGAAACCCGACAGTTGCGCAATCTGGACGCATCACGGTGCTGCAGCAGACAATGGCAGCTACGGGCGTGGAATATTTGAAAAGTCATGCTGCATCTCGAGACAAAATGCTTTGACCATGAAGGGGGGCAATGTGTGACTCTGCCTCAGCCCCCTCCAGGATTCATCTACGCAGAGAAATCTGTTGCTACAGACACAAAGAAAAAGACATTCACAGACGTCCAGAAAGGGGATAATCATGCCCACGCCTATGGGACAAGAATGTTACCCATAATCCATCCTCCGGATGTCAGTACCACAAAGACTCGGGCCATTGATTTTCAACTTTCCTGGAAATCAGGCATCATCAGACATGCATATACCCAATTCTGTACATTTTATGCCCGCAAAGAATAGTAGGGGGGCCATGTTGCCACCCCTGAGCACTGTAAGTTTGATTCTTCTAGTATCCCGCCCTTTCCACTTTTTTTTTTTTTTTTTCCCCCAAAAACCCCAAAAAATTGGGGTTTTTTTTTTTTTTTTTTTCCAAGGGCGCTGGAGGGTAGGGACATTGAAAATCATCGTCTTACATATAATTTCTGGCGGGCATGAATGTTGCAGTATGCTTACAGACTATGCATGATTCCCAGGAAAGTTGAAAATCAATGGCCCGAGTCTTTGCGGTATCCCGAGTTACGGTATTCGGCTCCGTGGCTCCGGTGATTAAAGTGGAGCATGAACCCGACACAACACGGCCGATCGGATGCAGTGGGTGGTGTACCGTACAGGCTCGGGGCACAACATTTGATGTTCCCTGGAAATCCGGCATGATCTGTAAAGTATACTGCAACATTTATGTCCACCAGAAATTGCAGGCAAGTCGGTAATTTTAGATATCTCCACCCTCTGGCGCCTTTAAAAAAAAAAAAAAAAAAAAAAAAAAAATGAGGAACAGGCGAGACATTAGAAGAATCGAGTTTACATTCCTCCAGGGTAGCAACACATCTCCCCCATCTATTTTTGTAGGCATATCATGCACATATTAGGGCAGTATGGTTGTGTTCGGAGCCGCTGTATTGCTGTAGAGAAAACCCAGTTTTGGTGGCTGTAAGGTGCAGTCTTACAGTTACACTTTTTTTATTCGGCTCGATTTCAGTAAAAATCTGCAAGTTGCTGCAACCACCTGCACTTACCCCAAATCCTCCATCTGACCAATCAGAAGGCCAGGATCCTTACCGCGATATGCCAGATTTCTAATAATTTTAAAGGACCTTTACCCCATATTTAAGGCTGTAGAGCAATACAGCTATACCAACGAACACAAAGCAGTAAGGAGCTTTTTGGAAGAGCCTTAACATTGCATTACCGTGCAGGGAGTGCAGCTGCGGACCATGTACGGTAATGCAACGTTATCTCTAAAGCTCTACAGCGGCTCCGAACACAACCTATACTTACAGCTTATGCTTGATTTCCAGGGAACCTAGACCTTAAAACCCTCTGCCCCGAGTCTATACGGTACGGGCTTAGTCTATGCTAGTGTTGGGGGCGATCCGGGATGAGAGTAACGCATGAGGAGCCGCAAGAGGGCCCGAGGGCCAGCTTGCGAAGCATGGAGGCACATTACAGCTAGAGTGCTCTGCAGCTTTTCTCCGCTTATCTTCGTTGCTCTCTCAAATTTCCGCTATTCAACGTCCTGCATGTGCATCCAAGACTTATCATCAACATGCGCCACAGGAAATGCAATGTGGGAAGGTATTTCCGAAGGGACAAGTGTTGTTGTTGCATTGTGTCCTAGACTGAACGAACGAAAGGAGGCAAAATGACTGACTGACTTGACTTTGGCTTGTGGCTTGCTGGATCTGGACAAGTTAATCTTCTCCCAATACTTATGATTTGGTAGGCACTAAGTGTCTAAGTAAAACAAAGAACCAGGTTCTTAAGTCTGATAGAGATCCGCCAGTTAGTCGCAGCATCCCTTTTATTTTCCTAGTCTCCATGTCCACAATGCCCGGTTTTCGGGATTCTGGATACTGCAGACTCCATGACAACGCGCCGTCCGACACCCACAGTCTCCAATCAGCCTATCTCCAGCCTTTTGAACTACCTCGCCGTGGTTTACCAGATCAATGACTAGATGCCTGAAATAGGATGTTCAAATCAGTTGTTCATGCCGCGAAAAAGGTCATTCGTAAGCGTGATTATCCTCCCTTGTATTTTTTTTAGTAGCACAACCACTATTGCACCAACTTTTTGCACGGTTTTATAACGCAAAGTCCTTTCACAAGCAGGTACAATTTCAGTTTTCTTAGGATTTAATCAACATTCGGATAAGCTCCATCATCAATACGAGAATCCTGCGTCAAGGCACATGCAAAGCCAAGATCCGCAACCCCCTCTAACATCGTAACAGCCCCCATATATCCACCACGAGAAAGAAAAAAAAAAAAAAAAAAAAGGAACACGATCAGACAGGACACATCTGAGACTATAAAACGAGAACGAAAAACAAGTGCCGGGGCCAAGGCGAAAAAGCACAAAAAAGGAAGAAAAACATACAACACCAGGGATTCGCTGGTCGTCACCGACCCAACTACTAGTCTGGCCCTCACTGGCTTATCTATGGGAGAGCGGACGGGATCCCGAGTTTTCCAGTGGGTATGGTCGTATGTGAATGTTTTAGTCTGCTCATGGACTTAAGAATGGAAGGAGGTTAGGATTATAGGTGTTTGACCCTAGTTGGGTGTTTTGAGCTTTCAAGGGCATGTTGAGGAGTTATTGCGTAACCGCCTCTTAAACACTATGGTGCATTAGAGATTATGCTTCTACTATAGCGTCCAGTGTACGTCCACCCGGTAATACAGATCTTTTGTATGTGCAGGTAGACGAGCTGACTAGATTTCGGATGGATATGTTGCGTGAGAGTGATTGCGATCCATTATGTCTCTTCAGCTTAGATATGAGAAGAACCAGTGTCCATAGCACCGCCACATCGGTATACTTCGGTACCAATGTTCGAGTTCCCATCCTTTAAATAGTTAAGGACAAGGGTAAGGACCTCGTTTGGCCAAAACCCTGGCTAAAGGTCCAACACTATGGCTAACTGTCCTAAGCGAGAAGAGCTCATGTTATAACACTTGTAATAGTTACAGGTACAACAGGTCCAAGTTGCGATGTCATAAAGTTTATACTGCTTCCGACCGTCATCCACATCTTGATGGACGCCTCAATCCACATTCCAGGCTGCTTGGCTTCGCTTCTCAACCCGTGTCTCACGGTCGAGGCGCGTCTGGTGCAACAGCCATTTGCTGACGGATATCAAAGTTGATAAACTGCAAAAGTGTCCTGTTGCGCCTGATCAGAACATCCACAGCATCATCAATCCACAACACAAGTTCTTCTCGTCCGACAATGTGATCGGGAATATTGGTCGCGGGCTCTAATCTCCACGGCGCTTCGTGAAACCAGGGACGAAGGAGAGTCAGCGCAGTTTGCCAGCCTGGAGGGGGAAGAGAGGGTTCGGAGTCGACCAAATCTACCACATCGCGGATCGACGCTCGGAGAGGTAGAGGGAAGTCAGGAGCCCACGGGGGGCGATCCAATAAGAGATTGTCCAGAGGATCAATGACCTGGTGTGTGGTTATGTCATCTTCTAGCGTTTGCAGGAAAAGTTCGTCTTCATTGTGCGTCGGTTGTTCTCTGGGGAGGAAATGATGTTGACGGAGGGTCACTGGGGCAGGGGCCCAGAAAGGACCTGCTGTATCATCGACATCGCGTGGCTCAGGGACGGGGCCCTGAGGAAGAATCAGGGATGCACCGTCCCAAAGGAGGTCATCTACCTGAAATTCACTACCAATGGGTAGAAGTCCAGCAGGGAAGACTGGCGGCTCGCCGTGGCCAGGCTCCCAATGAAACCAAGCCGGAGGTCGAGGTGGGCCAAAGAACATCGGTTCATCATCATCATCTTCCATCAATTCACTCTCTACAACGACGTCGAGCCACAAGTCCCACATTATTTCAGAAAACCGTTCCTCGAAATCGTTGTCGCGAGCTCCTTCGGGTCCAGGAGGGGGCGGATGAGGATGGCCAGTCCTGCGCGTCCATTCATGGGCAACGAACGCCGCCCACATATCTGGAGAGGCGAGGATCATGGCACTGAAGCTATGGAGAGTGATGTCGTATTCGTTGAGTCCAGGTTCGTCGAGAAGGAGTACCTAAGCCCGCTCTCTCCGTGCTGCCCTCATATCTTGCGCCAACACCCTCAGATCGTGCATAGGGTCGCGATCGTTACCGTTACCGTTTGCAACATGATCCGCGATACCAGCAACACCCGCAAACATCCCTCGGTCTGCTTCCTGCATCCAAGGAGGGAGAAACATGTCGGGGTGAAGGCGGTTAGGGTTACGTCCCATTTGCCCTACGCCTGGTTCATTGGCTCCGGCCTCAAGATGGTGTCGGGCAGCTCTGCCGCGGACAACTCGAAGGCGGTTTCTGAAAAATTGTGGCGGGAATAAACCGTGGTTGGCGGCTTCGAAAAATGTGCGGGGGTCGGCGTTTGCATTCTGGGGGTCTATCAGGTCGACAAAGGGGTCCCGCTCCGTACACTCGGGTTTATGACGACAGTAGAGAAAGCCATGCTCGTTGCGCTGAAACGGGGCGAGGCATATATAGCACCATTCGTGAGAACAGATACCTGCCAGGAGATACAGTTAGTAACCGATCATCCGGGAGACGAGGAGGGGGGTTGCGATGATTCAGAACTTACAGGTAATGTGATTGCAACCGGAAAACTTGTGGACGGCCTTGTTGCACGATGGGCACTTTTTGCTAGACTTGGTGATCTCTGCCTCGGATGCCCTTTCGTCTTTCTTCTTTTGGGTGTTACGCTTGTCATACTCCTCGCATGTTTCGCCAGAGTGCCAGGGTACGTCGTGCTTGATGCAATGTGAATTCTTACAGGCCTTGCACTTGAAGCGCACGCATCTGACATCGTCTATCTGGCCGGAGTTACATTTGGACGATTTGCACCATCGAAAGTTGGGAATATTTCCGAGAGCAGCGCGAGTTGCCAGCTCATCGTAGCGTCTGAAAACGCTTCTTGATGCGTTTCTTTGGACATCTGCGAACTCAAGAGATTTAGGGCACTCCGGACACTTAATCCGATCCCACATCTTGGTTTCCAGCTCCGAAGCAATCCACTGGCTTAAACAAGCGTTGCAGATGGTTGGCTTGTGATTGCATCCAGATGTGATCTTGTATGCCATGAGGCTAAGATTCTTGCTGTCAAGGCAAACGCTGCAGGCTTCGTCTGGTAGAAGCCAAGCTTCCTCGGCCGAGAAGATTTTGGCAGCCTGACCAGAAAGTTCGACCTCGTACGTCTTTCCCCAACAAACGCGTGTAGTCTTACTGACACGCGTACCGTTGAGCGTCAAGGTGATCTCCGACCAGTGAGCATTGAAACCAGTTTTTCCCCGTGAGCGGACATTCCGAAACAGGCGGGTATCAAGGTGATGTTGCCAGCGCCTAACACTCATGCCGTCATAGAAGTAATGCGACTCGGGATGATAGACGTAGCGCCTTCCAAGACCATTGATCACAGCATATGCGTTCGTCCGCGCAATGTGATAACTGATCCAACAACAAAGCCAGTGTCGCTTGATTTCAGAAACCACCCAGCTGTCTCCCTGCAACTGACCTGGTCGTGTTCCCCCTCGAGCCACCAGCAACACCCTGTCCGGATCGGAGATGGACATAAAAGCCGCAATTTTGCGTCTCAACTCGCCTACCGTGGCGCCGCCTGTATCGATTGCCTGAACGAGTTGAGTCGCAAGCTCTGGGGGAATTGGCTGGTTGTTCGCATCCTTGTACTGACTGAACTTCCACTGGTCAACCTCGGCAGAAGATCTGGACATGCGATACCAGATCTTGAAAGATGTGGGAGGGAGCACATCCTCGGGGTTGAGTACTCTGCCGTCCACATAAAAAGCAAAGTGAGCAGCCGTGGCGATGGGATGACCCTTGTCTTGATAACGGCGCCGGACGAATTGTTCGAGCTTAGCGACTGCAGAACCGGGCCGCAGAGCGAACTTCATGTTCGGTTGTCGATCATCCAAAGGCTTTAGCTCGACGTCCACAGTTGGCGCTGGAGGTGTCACCCGTCCGCGACGTAGGTGTGAGTGTCGATCAGGATCCGACAGCATGCGATCCCGCTCGGTCTCGATACGGCGCTTATGGCGTGGGGATAGGCGCAAGCCAAAGAGAGGCAAGAACAGGCCGGTATGGCGAGAGTCTCTGCTGGCATTGCCGCCTCCTCCGTTGGCATTCGACGTATTACTATTGTTGATGTTGCTTTCTGCGGTTTTCGAGCCCCGCTTTGAGTCCTTGCTAGGCGCCATAACGAACCACAACTCCTTGCGACCGCTGTAAGCAACCTCTTTCCATCACAACTGTCGATTCCTTGTGAAACCGGGGTGTTGTTGCATACGTGACGCTCTTGGAGGATGAGCTTATGGTGAGGAATGCAAGCGACAGCGTGTCTTTGTCAGCCGGGGAAGGTATGGTTTTGCGAAGAAGACTGGTTCGTGAAGGAAGGTTGAGTGAGTGACCTTGCGCGTCGCAAAGCAAATCCGAGCTCTGTCTAGGGCGAGGAGTGAATGGGAGTGAAAGCAAAGGTCTGGCGAGGGGTCGGAGGGGTGTATGGCACGCATTTTGGACCTCGATCCAACTGGGAACCGTGGACTTGGGGATGAAGGAAAGACGGCGAAGGTTTGGAAATCGGAAGGACGTCGATAGCCGATAATGCCCGGCACCCACTTGCCAGCCTGACTGAGTGACGGGAGTCGAATGCAGGCTTGAGTCGTCGCAAATGGAAGGCACGAAAGCAGGGCAGGCACACCTCTCCAAGTGGTCCAAATGATCCAAATGGCAGATGCAAAGTGTGCGACGGAGTTCTCATGAGTGGTTGCCACCAAGGCAGGAGCGACTGGCGACGCACCTTCAGCAACTGCCAACCCACAATGGAAAGACATCCCTATGATCGGCTGGCCAATGAGCATTGCAGCGAGCATGCAGATTCCCCTTGACGGCTTGACGGCGTTGGCCATGGCATCACCACAGCCAATCGATCCACGCCAAACGACCCTGACCTCAGTGGACGAGAAAGGTCGCCCTGGTTATCGCGTTCGATGTTCAAGTTCATTCAATACGTAGGTACGCATTCCTCCATTTCGACAGCCACCATCACGAACCGGACCCATTTTTGTCTACACTATGTATCCCATCATTTTGGGCATCCACACTCAGGCTTTGAGAATGAGACGGACGAGCCAGGCCACAACTGAACCATACGAAACCCGAAGCGCGGGTTGGGTATCTTGTACCACCTCAAGATACTTGAATGCCGGGGCTGAACAACCTGAAGCGTTCCCCGCATTGCATGGCACCTGTCACATATATTGATGATTGAACGTTTACAAGTTATCCAGCATCCCATGTTCGAGATCAATGCTTTTTGTACGGACAACTGAGAATCTTGTAAGTTGATAGTATTGGTCGGCCCGGCCCGAGAACTTTTTGCACATGATGTGCCTGTTATGTATCGTGCCTATCAGTTTGGCATCGGGATGTCAAACTCAGGAACAGGAACTTGAACAGCTGCGGTTGACGAACCTATGTATGTCACTATGTCAACGATCGAGCAAATCGCACTGCGCGGTTACCTGCGCAAACGCTGGTTCGAATACACTTTGTGGATATTTACCTCGTTATGATGCAGAGCCGGAGTTCATCTTCCGAGGGCGATGAAGACCTTATTGGAGATTCAGGGGATCTGGTCTATACAGCACCGATCACACTCTCCAGATCTCGACTCCATCAAACACCCTTGGCACAAGATGAGAAGGGAGTTTCCAGGGCTTCATTTCTTGATGGGCAATAAGGAAAATATCCGCCGTAGTTTTGAGACTCCCGTTGATATTGGCACGGATTCCCCAGGACTGCATTGATGGTTTCACCCACTTAATGCCTCGCCAGGCTCGAAGCCGTTGGAAGGTCAGATTGGGTGCATCAACTAGTACTAATATCAGCTATTACCAGCCCTTTCCAATTCAAACAATAAGAAGGCCAAAATTAATTTGGGCGGCCTGAAAGGTGGTGAGAACCGTAATGCATTGTGCATTGGGTGGGCGAGACAGGGTTCATGAATGGCAGTTCTTCAATATAAAAAAAAAAAAAAAAAAAAAAAAAAAAAAAAAAAAAAAAATAAATAAATATTTAAAACATGTCAATTCTGGCTGGACGGAATTGGGACTATCATTCATTCAACTATACATGAAGCAGACACACAACGATCACCACGTACATCAGCCAGAGTGACAGTCCACGTTTATGTCAGCCTTTGTCCAGTTTCTTTGTTTACATTCGGACTTTTTCTTTGGCCTATCTTTTCAAAATTGACATCCTCATCTCAGATCTTTAAGTTGTCATTAATTGTTTCTATATACTACTAACTATCGTACTGCCTGACCTTTCCGATCTTCTATTCAAATGTGCTACGTCTCATTTCGATTATTTTCGTTGTTGTTGCCTTTGTTGTTGTACCATAAGCCAGACCTCTTTCTTAGTTGCTTTGGCTAGGGGGCTGTCACGCTCCGTTGGTCGTTTATATTGATTCCCCCGATGATGTTTCCTCCGATGATGTTTCCTCCGATGATGTTTCCTCCGTCAAGTCATCATCTTCGTTGTCATCATCTTCGTTGTCATCAAATTCGTTGTCATCATCTTCGTTGCTATCAGATTCGTTGTCAATGAAATTGTTCACGAAAACCGGGAACCCACCCATAGGTACATGGCCTTGTGGCATGGGCCCATCCGCGTTCAACGGATTTGTCCACGGCCAATGTCGAAGCCAAGGAAAATCATTGAAATACGAATCCACCAGAATCAGCTTTCCCCCAGGCCTCAACGCTCCTCTAAATTCCAAAAGCCAGTTAACATTCCTCCAGTCCGCTGGATTCTGGATCTCAAATCCCTCGATTTCCTCGATGTTCAGCTCTCTCTCCCCCCACCAATACGCCCCTCCAGTTCGCAGTCCCGCAATGACGAGCAATCGCAGGTTCTTTCCTTCGAGCCTTCGAGCCAGCTGTACGACCTCTTCCATCTGGAATTGCGTGGTGCCGAATTTGCGTTTTGTAACGTGCCTCAAATCGAGGTAGAGTGTCTCGAGATTTGTCAAGGCCTGATAATCAACGTACAAGGGCACCATGTGCTCAAAATACACACGGTCTCGGACCCCTGACATATTAGCCAGCACTGTGGCGGCCGGTGGTTCTGTGGGAGGAATAATACCATAACGGGGGTAGTCAATACCTACTTCCAAATTGAGATAGGGGTCGCTGTTGATCATGAGATGGCGGATACGTCTATATAGAACCCAGGGCTCTTGGTTAGGAGGTTCTGGGGAGAGATGTTTCTTTACCTGGTTAAAGGGTCTGGCTTTGACGGCAGCGGCGACAGCCGAGGACGCCGGTGCACCGGTGGCCACCCTCAAATAACCGTTGTCGTCAAACCTCTCCGTGAACCCTTCGATGAAAGGCAAGAGTCCAACCATCTCGTCTCCCCAAGTGATCATCCCCTCAAGCCCGCTACGCACCCGTCTTCCCAACCCTCTCTGCGTAAATCTTCCCAACCATTTCGTCGCCCTCTGATTCAAAACGACCAATCTGTCCGACCTGAGCGTTCTCTCTCTCTTCACCTCCCTCGCCAAAAATTTCCCCATCCTCGTATTCCTTATGCTTGTCATGTAGGCATTGATACCCGTAGTCCTCGCCTCCTCAACCATCTGGTCCCATGGCTCAACCTCTTTTCTTCTCCCATCTCTTCCGTTTCCACGATAACCCATTCCCTTCCTGAGCCTCCCAGTCCAGACTGCTCCCTCCCACCCCCTTGCCTCCGGATCCAACTTCCCCTCCCAATCCGTATCCCACGCCCCAACGCCTTCCATCAGGACCTCCTTTTGGAACGGAACACATCCGCACTTTTCACAATGTTTGTTTTCGAACCCATGTGCTCCGTCCCCAAAGAGTGGACATTGCGTTCTTCTCATCGAGTGTCCCGCAAAATAACTCTTCAGCTCCCCATAAAACTGTTCTTCTCCCTGCCCCGCCTGCACTCCTAGTGTTTGCGAGCTTGGCGTGTACACATCCACTCTCAGCTTCCTCAGGATTTCCTCGAGTTGGGGCTTTTCTCGCTGTCGATTGCAGATCTTCCAGTCTGAGCAGAACAGCTCGAAAGCGCAGACATCGTCGTGCGTGGTCAGGGCGGCGAGCACAAGCTGCGTTTTGATCTCCTCCGGGATTATAGTGGGTGATCTAGGGGCTAGGGCAGGAGGGAAAGGGGGAGGAGAAGGAGAAGGAGCTGCTGGTGCTAATCGTTGTCTTTGGGCGGCTGGCTGGTTGGGAGCCGCTCCGTTTGCTGCTCGTTTAGGTGGCATTTTTGTTGTGACAATATGTCAGCTGTTATCGGACTTGTCAAGATATGTATGTTACTGGTTGAAAAATCGGAACAAGATGATAGAACAGCAAGGAGGTATGAACAGAAACACCATGTTGACAATCGGATTGTTTAAAAGCAGTCAGCCTTTCTGCTATGTACGGCACTGTCCAAAGAGTTCTATCAGCAACAATTCACATGTAAACAAAGGGCTATATCAACAACCAGTTACTGACAAAGCGGGCCAGGAAATAGCAATTCTATTTCCACAATCGCATTGTTTCAAAGCAACCACCCATCTCGCTGAGTAGGATTCTGTCCAGAGTTCTATCAGCGAAAAGTCAATGCAGACAAAGGGCTTATTAGACAACCAGTTGCCGACAAAGGCCATCAAGGACAACTGACCAAGTTATTTATATCCCATTCTCTCGGATTGAAAGGCACGGCACTCACAATGAGGTTCAAACAATGGACAGAGGGTCACAACTATGAATTAAGATAAAGGGTATTTGACTGTCTCTCATCCGCAAACCAAACGGGCACCAAACTACGCACGTACAAGACCCCACATGTACTTTCCTGCCACCCAAGATATGCGTTAAATCGCCCATTTCTGCTCTGTTAATCACACCGGACCTCCTCTCATTAGGCGCTCTGCGTACGTATTAATGCTTCCCTTCAGCTTATTGCCTTGTGTCAAGGTGGATACTGCCGCCGCGATGTATGCGTGATTACAAGCCTTCCGAGAGGGTCCTTTTTGGGTAGATACAAAGAACTGAATACAACCGTCAACGCCGCCGCATCCAAAGCAAACTAAAAGTAAACTTTTGAGAAGCATCGAGGTATCAAACGTCCGTCATTCCTTCATGAGGTGCACTGCTTAGAGAAGGGCAGCGGCGAAGACACCGGCAGCGGCAGCAGCAACACCGTTGCCGAGGAAGGCAGCAGCGTTGGTGGGAGCAGCAAAGCTTTCAGAGGTCGAGGAAGCGGCGGCAGCGGAAGTCTCAACGGCAGTGTCCTTGGTCTGGGTGGGCTTGGCAGCGGAAGTGGTGGCAGCGGCGCTAGACGAGGAGACCTTGATCGCGGCAGGCGGCTTGGTAGCGCACTTGTCTCTGATGTCCGTCTCGCACTTATCCTGACCCTGGGAATCGTTTGGGTGGTTGGCGATGCAGGTGTCGAAGGCGAATTCACACATGAGCTGTAGGGCGCCGCGTCAGAAACCTTGCTTCCAGAACAAAAATCGAGGGGCACTTACAAAAGGTACAGTCTGTTCGTAATCCTCAACAGCTGGGGAAACGCCAGAACTGCAAGTGCACTCCCATTCCAGCGTCGTCTATAAGTAAAGAGGGAACATGTGGTCAGTGATGCTTCCATGAGCGGTACTTCAGATGGTCAAAACATACCGGGTCGCAGTCGTTCTTCGAGACAGACATGCCGCAAAGAATCTTGCAGGTGTTGTACTGGGCAACACACCACTGGTCTGATGACAAGACGGTGTTAGTATCTCGAGGTAACACGACTTTTGAAAACTGTGTTACATACTCCTCAAGGTCGGGTTAACAGAGTCGACGGGGACGGTGAGGTTGCTGTTGGACGACTGGGCGGCGACGGCAGCGGTGAGCGCGGAGAGCGCGACGAAGATGATGTTCTGACGCATGGTGACTGGCGATGGGAGGAGAGTGTGTGATGAGTTGAGGTTGTTGTTGTTGTGGTGGTGGTGTGAAGTAGAGACTATTATGTATCGATGTCGGAAAACCCGGACGTGATATTGCTTGGATTAGTTATTAAAATCTGAGAGAATGGTGAAGGCGGGGAATATGTGGCGTTCGCAGAACAAGCAGACGGAAAAATTACGAAGAGACGAGAGGGAGGAGAGATAAGAAGGGAGAGGCGGGTATTAAGTGCAATGGAAGGCCGCGGCGGTCGGTGTCGACGAGAACCTGAAATGAAACGATTCTGGGACGGGACGGCACCCCCGGTTTTTCGAAAGAAGCCCAAAACGGGAAGGCACGCAGGACGAGTGCCGGGTTTAATTGCTCCTTGCTGCTGCGTGTTTATTGGAGCTCGGCCTTTCCACCTGCTGCGTCCGGGTCACGGTCGCACACCGTCAACGTTGTAGGTAGCCGCCTGGGACCTGGGTACCTAGCCAGGTGTACTGGTGTAGAGGTGTACAAACCGGGGATAGACACAGTGTCATAGATCCCGGCTCCCGGCACGCGTTTTTACGGCCTGGATTTATTACATGGCCAGAGGCGGAAAATCAGAGGCGGGAAGAGGGCGACACCGGCGACGATAGAGCGCGAACTCACAATGAGCGACTGATACCGACTGCACTCCGTCCCTGCAAACCTACGGTAACGGCACAAGACCCCTTGCAAATCCGCTGCAACGCTAGGTGGCTTGGCAATTCTTGGACAGTGGGTAGAATTGTGGCTGGTGCGACTGCCGGACTGGACGCCCGAGAGCGCTGAACCCAGGACAGAACCGCTCAGGACCGCCCCAAGACCTGAGCCTGTTCTTCGGCGGTGGGGCAAGAGTAAGAGTACGAAGACACCTTCGTTTTCACGATCCACCGGCAACTCCCCAAAGACTGGACGCGAGGAGAGACAGCCATCAGGAACCCCGATTTGCACCGATGCTAGCGTGCAGCTGGTTAAATGAGCCCATGCAAACATTTTGTTCCCGAATTCTCGGTTCTGTCTCCTTGGCCCGTCTTCTACGGTCACGCGGCTGCTCGATTCGACATGGCTCCGATGGGTGAAACGTCTTCTGGTAGCGATGGTAGCGTCATCGTTATATTTCTCTCTGAAAAATCTGAGAAAACTTGTGACACCGATATCAGACGTGGGCCAAGCCAGGGCGGTCACATCACAGTGCAAATAATGTGGATCAAGAAAGGGAAATCCCGAAGGGACGTGGGTTCGTGGGCCAACCAAGAATGATAACAGATGCGGCACCAATGGCCCTTTCTTGGCTTGGGAGTTGCTCGGATGGCATCATGATGGGATGATGGAAATGTTGGCCTAACAACCCGCCTTCCTCTATTTCCGGCGCGGGTTGGCATGGCCGTGGCATTTTTGTAGTCATGCTCAAGCGCGGGCGGTCAAAGCAATTCCATTGTCCATCGAACGAACACGAACTTGGGACGAACTGTTGCATTCCGTACCTACCTACCTACCTAAGTCCCACATTTCTAACATGTAGTCGCAGTCGCGAGGCGAGGTGTATGTATCCTGGCAGTACATACAGTTCAATGCTGATTTGATTCAGTTGCTAGTGCGGTTCTTGCGACGGGAGTTTGCCCAAGATACACAGAAAAACGATGGGAAAACCACATGCGAAACCAAAGAATTGGATAAAGTGTATAACTTGTACAATGAAAGTATTCAAATCGCATCCGGATGATATTACTTTTTGTATTAAATTTGCTGGCATGGTGATAGGTTGCGTAAAGTGCGTGTCAAAGTCCCGCGCTAACGAACAAACCACTGCAGGGGTGAGCTGTAGTGCCGTCTCGTAAAAGTCACCGCTAATCACAATCGCTGCGTAGATCGAGTTCAGTTGTGGAGCTTCCTCTTTAGCTTAGTTTGTCTGCCCCCCCAGGAAATCGATCCAACAATGTCAAAACACCAAGAAAAAGACACAGCATCAACAACAATATTTTGTAGTGTAGCATTGCAGGATCCTTCAGTGACAGTGAAACCGTCCAAGCCGCTGGGGGTTCCGTCCATTGTCGCTGGCAGTTCAATATCATCAGCACCATCTGCTGTTTATCTAGCTCCACACGTGATGCACGTGGCAGAAGGCACGTCCATCATTCACGGTCCCACCTGGTTTTGGCGGTAGGTTGGTGATCAGGCAAGTTCCGACGCTGCAGCTGTGCAGTGGACGGCGCAGGCGGGCAGGCGCACAGCGCACAGCGCAGCGCCCCCGGTGTTAAAGCACTGCCCTGATGACGATGGGGGCCAATCAGAGGGGCACAATTGCTCGTAGAGGGAAGAGACAGTGAAAGGTTCACCAGGAGCTCCCCCGTCGAACTACATATGTACCATTTTCACTGCACATCATGGTTGGGACCCGTGTCTCTCTCCCGCGGCTCTCCCTGGCAGACCTGGATCATCCGGATGGGTTGCGATTCCACAACGTCGGGTCGGCATCTCCAACACAAATTTTCTCGCTAAAATTGTGCGGATTGCTGTGGGACATGAGAAATTGACCAAACGAATCATGTGGCTATCGTTTGGGGCTTCCAAGTGATCGACTCTGTGTGAGTCGCCTGTGATTTTCGTCACGGCGAGTATTTGATGCGATGGTTCACCTCGCTATCGCAAGCCGAGATGCGCTGAAGATCCGACGAACCGGACTGGTCTCGACGCATTCCAGCGTTTTGCAACCTCATCTCGGGGGGGGGGGGGGGGCACCGGACAACCGACCACGCCTTGCCCAACGTCAGTCGATGTCCAAACGCCGAGCAGTCGAGCACGAAGTTTGAGCGAGCGATAGTCATAAAAGCGTGACGAAGGGCAAATAAATGAATGTTCTTCATAAGCTCGGCCCCTGGAGAGTGTTTGTACACACCCTGCAACCCCTTGTGCGCACACTCCCACACTGCCGCGATGGTATAAAATAACAAAAAAAAAAAGACATGGTAGCCACGCTGCCTCGTCTGACATCCAGCGGGCTCCCTGACGATCTTTTATCAGTCCACACAAGGCGAGACGAAGCTTTGAACTGTGCTACATCAGCTGCCGGCGCGCTGTGTTCAGACAAGAGTTCACTGTACATACTCTGATAATATTTTGCGACACGCACCGCTGTCCCTTTGTGTGGCCGCCATGTCAAGCCGGTTGAGCGTAATGCTGCCTCCAGGGTGAGTGAACTACAGGGGCCTTGGCGAGCAATGTGTACCTATGCTTCCCTCCACATGACTTCTGATGTGAACCAGAACGCTTGTGTTTGGTTTGCCTCATATCACATGGTCTTCATGATAGAAAACATCATGGAACTCAAAAGCAATGTAGTGATAATGAAGCCCGATGTTTGCCTTCAATGGATCGTCAAATCTTTACGGCGCTTTCGGTCCGTAGGCAACAGAACCTGGAGCGCATCAATGACCGGGCGGGCCGCGGCTTCAGAAGGGTATCAGTGATTTTCCATCTGGCAGCGACCGGTAGATCTACACACTTGATCCTTGTTCAGGCGCCCAACCTACTGTGTTCATTGAGGCGACAGATGGTCTGGACTATGAGCACCGCGGATACGCGGATATTAATGAACAAAAAGGGGGATTTAACCGCAACGACCCGCGTGGACCCTGATCTGTGATTAAACAGCATCGGCAACGGCTTCATCTTGATGCGCAGTAAGCAGTAGAGCGTCTGGTTGTACTGCTTGCTTACTACGGCTGCTATCTACGACGCACAACGTTTTTAAAGGATTCCGACCTTCGAGACAGGCCACGGGATCTCTCATCTCCGAGTTACTCCAACGACAAGGCCATCAAGAACCATGAGAAATCATGGTGGAAGGACTTGATCTTTGGCCACTGAGCCTTGCAGTCGTTATCGTCGGCGCGCTTTGGGTATATGGAGTCAACAGGACCATGCGAACGGTGCCACCCACAGCTCTGAAACTGTCACCCAATTCCAATCGCTGGAGCAAGGAGTATATACGGGAGACATATGAACGGGTCAAAAAGAACCCCGTCGATATCAAGAAACATCTCCCACCCAAGATGGACAGACGGTACATCGTAGTGGGCGGTTCCGGTTAGTATTTTCTTGTTTTTACGAGCCATGCCCGCTCCAAATTCCTCGTGCACAAGAAACATGAAAAGGGGTAACCGTAGCTGACACGCCACGATAGGTCTTGTAGGAGGCGACATTGTCTCCCACTTGCTCGCTCGTGGACAGTCCGCGGAGAGTGTCCGGATCGTTGACTTTGCTCCTCTTCGTCGTCCCCAAATTCTTAGTGTGGCCAGCAAGGTTGAGGTCATCAAGACTGACATCACCTCCCCCGACTCTGTGAAAGCGGCCTTCTCCAAGCCATGGCCTGCGTCTGTTGCAAGTCTTCCCCTGACCGTGTACCACACTGCCGCCGTGATTCGTCCTGGCGAACGGAGCATCAAGACCTATGACCGTGTCGCTCGCGTAAACGTCGGTGGTACCTCCAACGTCCTGGCTGCTGCCAAGGAGGCCGGTGCTGACATTTTCATTGCCACGTCCTCGTCCTCCGTTGCCCTCGAGCCTATGAAGTTCTGGAAATGGCCTCTTCCCAGCTTGGCAAGTAACTATGTTCAAGTGTTCAATGAGGATGACTTCGATCAGCCGTTGAAGGCTCACGATGACTTCTTTGGCAACTGTGAGTCTCATCCTAAGCCCCGGTTGGTAGATGCACTGGTAATGAACTTTTGCTGAACGATGGTTGAAATGGGAAACAAGACGCTCGCGCCAAAGCCGAAGCTGAACGTCTGGTCTGCGCCGCCAACCAAGAAGGTTTCCGTACCGGCGTTGTCCGTCCCGGCAATGGCATCTTTGGAGATGTAGAGAACGACGTAACCTTTAGTCCTGCTCTCAAAGCCGGTAGCATTGTCTCCTGGACGCCGCACGTCATCCAGTCAGTATACCCTGTGCTTTTTCTTTTTCTTTCCCTGTCTCGAGATCCTCCGACTAACACCCTAACCACGCCTCTAGAAATTGGATCTCCTCCCGTAACGTCTCCATCGCCCATCTCCTCTTCGAAGCCGCACTCAACCCCTCCGTCCGCCCCGTCCCTCCCGCCTGCGCCGGCCGTCCCCTCCTCGTCACCGACCCCGGCCCGCCTATTGCCTTCCAAGACTTCTACACCTTGAGTAGCTTGCTCTCCATCACCCCCATCACCGAGACCTACCCGCCTCCCGTGCTCATGCTGATCTTGGCCCACGCCATCGAGGGCTGGGCTAACTTGATCATCAACTTCCCTGTCCTGACCAAGCTGTTTGGGTGGAAGGAGCCCACGGGGGATTTGGCTATGTTACAGCCGGCGGTGTTTACTGTGTCGGCGTACACCATTTGCGATGATTCTAGGGCGAGGAAGAGTGTGGAGGAGGGAGGAATTGGGTATAAGGGCGTTACGGATACGTTATATGGGTTTTGTGAGCAGATGGCTGTGTGGAATGGAAGGGTTGAGAGAGGGGAGGCCGGGCTGCTAAAGGGTATGAAGATCGCTAAACCTGTTGTTGTATGAACGGCTTTTGGCTGCCGCTGGGGAGGTGTAAACGAGAAAGAGAACTGATGAATCAGTGAGAAGGAAGGGATATAGGCGAGAGATTGTCTGTAAATGAAGAGGGACGAATGGCAGTCTGTTGGATAAATTTGAATGATGGTAACACCACATCTAGCATCATGGTCCGGTCAAAATGAATATCAGCGATGAAACCCCGGAACTTTCGGTCTCAAGGCAACACATAAGTACCTTTGGTAGCGTAGTTCTGGGGCTGGCTGTCTTGTACAAGCCCCTTCCTCGGTTTAATCTTGTCGAAAATGCAGTGTAGTGAACCGAAGGCCATCGAACGCCCGACAAGAGGGGCATGACATGCACCGAACGGCAATGCAAGTCACCTTCTAACCCTCTTGAGCTCACACATGTACAACAAGATATATCGAGTATGCAGTTACTTGGCATCTTTGTAATCCTTATTACCTCTACGGTGTCCCTTATACAATATAGAACGGCTGTCCTCCGGATACATGCTCCCACGATCGCAAGTTGCAACTCCGCGAGCTTGGGTCAGATGTAGTGTCTACATCTAAGGGTACCTCGGGCTCACAAAGCGAGTACCTACCTACCTCTAGAGGTAACATAAAACTGTCGAGGTTGAGCAGAGTCCTATACCCCGGGATGCATCTCGGCCTCAACCCGCTATCGCCATAATGTCCCGTATCTACCCAGCTGAGAACGGTCGTCAGGATAAACCAAGTAGGTCAAATCACACCTCGAGGTAGACTATTATGCACGCCTCCCCGCGTCTTTGGTGCACCTTTTAACTGAAACTCAAAGGGTTTCCTGGATCAAAGGAGGTATAATAGATTCTGGGTAATGTGCTCCCAAATTATTACTAGACAAATTATAGTTTTGTAATGGCCTTTCCTACTAGCCAAAGCGAGCCGTGTTAGACTGTCCTTATTTGGTTTATTCTTACGACCACTGCGCTACCTACCTACGTATCTTCCTATACCCCTCTTGCATCCACGTTTTGCGCATCACTGCAGTCTTTCTTACATATCGACATTGTACAAGTCTTAATTCAATGTCTAACAGCATCTAGTACTCAATTCCTTTCCAAATATAAGTCATTAAACTATACCCACAGTTTGTGCTCGTGGGAAGCTTATCAAACTACCATATGGATCTATGCATTGCACAGATATCCACCAATCTTCTAATGGCTGGATGGCCGAGCGGTCTAAGGCGCTAGACTCAAGAAAATTCTTCTTCACCACCAGGTGAGGTGCATTCTAGTATCGCAAGATGCGTGGGTTCGAATCCCACTCCAGTCAACTCTTTTTACTTTTTTCATTGGAAGGCTTTTTCGTCCGCTTGCTCCTTGGATTGATGACGGACTACTTGGGTTTTATTTTTTTCTCAACTATTTCTGGGACAAGTGCGATGAGCTGGAGAATAGGTTGAGATCGTTGCCTCGGATTGTCATTTTGCGTACCGCAATCACTCTCGCAAATGAGACCCGGAAAGACTGGCACGAGGCAGGATAAAAGGTGTCAGAAAGCAGGTATGTCTTGTGCCCACCATATCTGATGCCAATCTCGAGGAGATATACGATACCCACCTGCAAGACATCACAATGGGCCATGGAAAGACCTACGAGACGTGTTAGGGCTAGGTGGAAACACATGACCAAGACCTTGTGTAGGATCTGAGTCTTTGTAAACATCATGCTATGTAGCTCGAAATGCAAGAGTGTCGATGAAAAAGTGTATTATATTGGACCTGTTCGGTATGTCCTTACGACCACTCGTCCAGTGGCCGAAGTAGAGAACAAGTAGTAGGCAAAAAGTAACTCAACGCATAAAACAAAGGAAAGAGCTCGAGCAGAAAAACAGATCCGTCAATACTGGCTTTTGTTGTCCAGTGAATTGACCAGCCATGGTGGAATGAAATGCAACGATGCGCCATTGGTATCATAGGAAAAGAGAAGCTGATGAAGCGCGTAGCTAACCTCCCAAGGACAAACAGAACCCAGACAAAAAAACACAGAGCCATAACTCCCAGCGATGCCATGCAAAATGAAAAAGCAGACCTGGCCCCTAGTAAGAAATAGGGATCTCATCCAAGCAGCTCGATCTTAAGAAGAAGTCGGTGCCCTCTCCGCAGGCGGTAGCGTTCTGCCAGCAGAATCTCTCGTAGCCACCGCCGCCGCCTTCCCCTTACCCTTCCCACTTTCGGCTTCCCCTTCATCGTCCCGATATTGCCCCTCACCCTCATTACCATTACCGATATTATATGTCGTCGATGCCCGTTCGTGGTCTCTTTCCCTTCCCAGATCAACAAGCGTAGGCGACTCCCCCGAACTGCTCAACATCCTCGACCGCTCGTCCGCCAACAGCTCCTCTTCATCTTCCTCCCTCGCAGCCCTTTTCCTTTCCTCTCTCGCTGCCCTCCTCTCCTCTCTTTTGTCCCGCCCACCACTGTTCCCATGTTGTCCACCGTTTCCGCGCCCATTACCCCCATGGTCCACGTCATCTACCAGCTCGCCGTCCGCAGTATCATACTCGGGAACCTCGATCCAATCCTTGGGCACCACGCACGGCAGAGCCACGCCGATGCTGGCGGCACGATTCAGCCATGCCGGCCCGGGCAGCCCCGTCAGCTTCTGACACAGGTGCGACGTAAAGTGGTTGCAGTTTTTCGTCAACAGGTTGTAGGCGGTCCCGAGAAACTCTTCGGACGCTTCGCGGATGATGGCGTCGATCTCGGCCGGCGTCGCGAGCGTGAAGCCGTGCAAGAGCTCGCACCGGAAGGTGCCCCCTGGCGGCTCGGTGCGGGGTGCCGTCCAGTAGACACCCGTCTTGCCTCGGTGTGCGTGGCCACCGTAGGCGTATTCGCGGCCGTTGATGACGACGCCCGAATGGAGGAGGGAGGTTCCGAGGAACCAGAGGGTCGAGGAGATGCGGCCGGGCTTGAAGAGCGAAAGAAGAGAGCTGGTTAGTACCAGTCGTAGCCATGGGGGAGATAGTCAAAGGCGGAGAAGATTGGAACATACCGGCAGGAGATCGTAGACGTTGATGAGGATCTCGGTCTTTGGAATTGCTAGGGTCGATCGGTGTGGCCTTGCTGGCTTGTGCGACTTCTTGCTTGACATGGTGACGACGGTTCTTAGAGGCACTCCCCCGCTCAGATGGACAAAATGGAGGACCTGAGACGGGAATGTTGAAACTCGTCGAACGGGCGGGAGTAAGCAGTTAAACTCGGTTGCTGAGAAAGCTCGATCACTGCTTCATACGGCGCATATGGCTCTCGAAGTTGGCGATCCAAGACAGGTTTCGAACCCTTGAGGACAAAGAGCTATTCAGCCCCCAACCGCTCGATCAGCGCTTATCACGGAGGTCGATGGAAGTAGGCTGGAGGCGAAACGACGGGATACGCACGATGCGGTTGGGAAGACGGACGCTTTCAGCAGGCAACAATGAAGGCCGGACGGGAAATGGACACGTAGAGGGAGATAGGTAATGTCTGGATGTATTGTCTGGAGAGGCATTCAGCTATAGGATGCAAATGTACGCGTAAATAAGTGGTTAAATGACTACCCGAAATGCTTCCAATTTGCTCGATCTGGGGTGTTTGTACGACGACATGGCAGCAGATCTCGCACCTTTGCGGCTGGCAGCTGCGTCGAAGGGCCATACGCTATGCGAACAGGTGCTGGGGTGGCTGTCGCAGAGCGTCATCACACACCCAGCAGGGGCAGGGGAGCCGCCTGTAAGAACACCCCGCTCAGGGCGAGGGCCTGAATCGGTGAATCGATCTTCCACCTGACGGGCAAAAAACTGACACCCCACTCGAGCTGCTGGAATGGGACGGGACGGGACTGACTGTGACAACGATCCATGTGTTTTGTTTGGGCTTTGGGCGGAGTTTTCAAACAAGGGCTGATAAAATTTTGCATTTGCCCTTTTCCTTCCGTGATCTTTTTGGATCAGCCAATTCTCGCAAACAAGAAAACCCCCAAAACAAAATACCACTTGTCCTTGCAATTTGACAACGTTGGTTCTTGTTACCCTTGTTGCTCTTTTTCTTTTCAGACAATCAATCTTGGACCATCAAGCGATCGACCATTACCAAACAACCCCTAGGGAAGGAAGCCGGCTTTGAGACATTGACTTGTCCTTCTTAGCGGCTCGCTGTTGCAGATTTGCCTTTTACCTTCCTCTTTCTTTTTTCACACTTTTACCGAAACGTTGTGTATTTTTTTTGGGCGGGGGTAGTAAGCCTTTCAGCCCACTGGCTACCGTCAAAACGTCTTCTCACCTAGGGCTCCGATCCCTATTTTTCGCTTCTCAACCCTCCTCTTTACCCCTCCTCCGAACCAAAGTCGCAGCAGCTGTTGCTAGCTCCAGCTCTCGCAGCTTCCGCTCTGCCTCTTTCCCCCTCTCGCTTCCTCCAAACAGAAAAGGGCTTGACTGCACCTTCGTCTACATCTCCACCCGTTCTTATAGCAAACGGAACAAGATGCCTCCCAAGAAGCAGGTCGTGGAGGAGAAGATCCTCCTGGGCCGTCCCGGCAACAACCTGAAGAGCGGCATTGTGGGTTGCGCCTAGGTTAGGCTCCATCTCCCCAACCCCGCTGACACTGTTCTCGATGCCGATTCTAGGTTGGACTGGCAAACGTCGGCAAGTCCACGCTCTTCCAGGCCATCACCAAGTGCAACCTTGGTAACCCTGCCGTAAGCGACCCTCTTCCTCCCGCTCTCACGCTCGCGACCCTGGCGACGACAACGACGACGATGATGATGATGATGACCGGAAGCTAACTCAACCACCGGCGCGCCAGAACTTCCCCTATGCCACCATTGACCCCGAGGAGGCCCGCGTCATTGTTCCCGATGAGCGCTTCGACTGGCTGTGCGAGAAGTACCAGCCCAAGTCGCGCGTCCCCGCCAACTTGACTGTCTACGATATCGCTGGTCTTACCCGCGGTGCCTCCACCGGCGCTGGTCTCGGCAATGCTTTCTTGTCTCACATCCGCGCCGTCGATGCCATCTTCCAGGTTGTCCGTGCTTTCGATGATGCCGAGATTATCCACGTCGAGGGTGATGTCAACCCCACCCGTGATCTCGACATCATCAGCGAGGAGCTTCGTCTCAAGGATATCGAGTTCGTCGAGAAAGCCCTCGAGAACCAGAAGAAGAAGACCCGCCAGGGCGGTCAGTCTCTTCAGATGAAGCAGTGGAAGGAGGAAGAGGCCACTATCGAGAAGATCTTGGCCCACCTCAAGGACGGCAAGGAGGTCCGCAAGGGCACCTGGGGTCCCAAGGAGGTAAGCAACATTTTCCTCATCTGCATAACCCTCCAATCCTTGAATGATGATAAAAGGCCCAAGGCCTGAATTATAAACCCAGCTCTTCGATTCCTCAATGAGGATCCATGAGACAAAAACTTTATCCTGACAACACCCTCCATTCATCACTATGCATCATGTTTCGTTATTGGTCATCGAAACATATGCTAACTCTGCATGATTCCAGATCGAGGTCATCAACCCTCTCTTCCTTTTGACTGCCAAGCCCGTCGTCTACCTCGTCAACCTTTCCGAGCGTGACTACATCCGCAAGAAGAACAAGCATCTTCCCGCGATTGCCGCCTGGATCAACGAGCACGCCAAGGGTGATCCCATCATTCCCCTCTCCGTCTCCTTCGAGGAGCGCCTCACCCGCTTCGAGACCGAGGCTGAGGCTGCCGAGGAGTGCAAGAAGGTTGGCGCCGAGTCTGCTCTGCCCAAGATTATCATCCAGATGCGCAAGGCCCTCAACCTCGGCTCGTTCTTCACCACCGGTCCCGATGAGGTTCGCCAGTGGACCATCCGTAACGGCACCAAGGCTCCCCAGGCCGCTGGTGTCATTCACACTGATTTCGAGAAGACCTTCATTCAGGCTGTCGTCTACAACTACAACGTCCTCAGGGAGCTCGGTGGTGACGAAGCCGAGGTCAAGGCCAAGGGCAAGGTCATGACCAAGGGCAAGGATTACGTCGTTGAAGATGGTGATATCATCCTCTTCAAGGCCGGTGCTGCCAAGAGCTAAACGATAGACGTAAATTGTCAATACACATGAATGATGAAATCCCAACCGACTTGGTCCCCTATCCTTACTGTGCTCGCTTTCTGAATGTATACTCGTCTTGTTTATTTTCTGAGCATGTACATCCTGTCTTGATATGGGTTGTTGTCCGTTGAAGTTTTTTAAGCAGTTTGATGGGTATGCCGTACATGGATTCATTTCACTCAGTTGACAGGAGCACCGTTTGTTTGTTTGCCACTTGAGTCTTTGATCATCCATACCTCCATGTTCGTACCTAACATTACTGCCCACTGTAGACCCTGTGCTGGTCTAATCAAATGTCAGATGGTGTTTGTCAATTGCAATCATCTTTTCTCGCGCCCTCGTGTACTAAGAGTTCTTGCCAAGAATTGAACCTTTTAAAGTTCCTCCCAGGAATCATTAAACTGTAACTGAATCACACCTGCCGTTATACTAAGACTGATCAGTATACCACTCTCCAGGTACAAGGTTTTCATTCGTACTAACGTCCACCTCGCTGTGAGACATGTACATAGCGGTGACTGTGATGGCACATGTCAACATCTGTTAAGATAATCCAGGTTCCATCTCGTCACTGGCCTTTCATCCTATCTTATTGCATATAAGAGCCCCTACCCATTCATTTTTACTAGTACATACTCTGACAGTCACAGTGAGCCAGCAGCTTCCAAATATAATAGATATAGACCTGGACCTCCATGATTTCAGTCGAAGAAATTGAGGTGACGCACAAATATTCCCCGACATCATAGTGTCTTGTGAGGCCGGCGATGCTGAGGGTAAGTAGAGTAGACCAGACTGAATAGAACGCAAGAGGTGCTGTTGCGACCAGTTAACGTAAGAGTAAAGTGGTGGACCGGGAGGGGGGTGGGTGAAATGGAGGAGAGCCTCACAAGAGAGAGAGAAAGAGAGAAAGAGAACGAGAAAAAAGAGAAAGAGAGAAGGGCAGGGTTGGAGAAAGAAAGAAGGAGAAAGAGAAAACGATTTAATGAGAGACGAGCAAAGGCGTTTACAAAATTATACGATCAAAAACCAAGTGGAGGAACCCGTGCTCGACAATAGGCGGCCAAAGTACGCCTCGATGGAATCAGGCATCGACGTTAGTTCAAGACCATTACATGATTGTTCAGTGCCGGACTCGAGAAACCCCCATTAAAGAGGAAAAACAGATGAAGAAGAGGGTAATTTACGCGAGTCAGAGGCCAGCTTTGTTGAACAACAACACATAAGTGTTGCTTCACCATTCCAGGAAATTGGTTGGTTCCAAGGCTACCGAGATTTATGGGCTGCAGTAGTTGTTGACGGTGGGGTTGGAGGCGATGTGCCCAGCATCCTGTCATTGATGGATATATGTGTTGTTCGGATATTTAAATCAATAAAAGAGTCACGGTAATGTGTTCAACTGGATTGGGGACATCACACACAACGATTGTATATCGACTGTCTTGGTGTGTTATGGTATTTGATGTATGTATAATGGTATATGCAAATTTTCCTCCTTACCCCCGGGCATCATGATGAACCAGTCATGTCCACAATCCGGGATTTTCGACGCCCTTCTTTCTTTCTTCCATTCTTGTTCTTGATAACAAAGGAAAATTGGTATGCTACATGAAAATGCAAATGCTGAGACCACCCATTTTAAACCCATGCTGTTGCCCTGTCTTGAACTCCGTTGAAAAAGAAGCCAAAAGCCAAATGCAAAATTTCTTTGCCAACAACCAGGTTGAAGAAAGATGATGAGATGCAGATGTTGATGAAAAAAGGGGAGTGAAGTGCCAGACTTTCATTCCATGTACCGTTTCTCTCTTCTTTTCCTCCATTAGCGGGAAGAAAAGGAGCAAAGGGGAGTATCACGTTCGACTGAGTGAACTGAAGAAACCCGTTCTCCAACTTCACACAAGTCGAGATGATGATGATGATGCCAGATCAATACCGCCCCTTGTACCAGGCCCCTTTTCCATTCCATCACACCCAACCGTGCCGCAAGTTCAACTTAGCAAGCACCATACCTCACACCTCTCTTCCCCAACTCCTTCCTTCCCACAGCATCCTCAGGCCAGATCCACCCCCTACTCCTCTTTGCCTCTCTCTTCTCCGCCAACTGCGGCTGCGGCATCCACTCATCCCTCGCCAAGGCCTTCCGTCTCGTTCCCTCAGCGGGCGCACCGATCTCCGCCTTCCAGTGTACCTGTCCAGGAACAGGCTCGTCGCCCGCAAGCATGCACAATCCCCACAGGGCCAAGCAAGCCGTCATCTGCACCTCGTTCACATTCTCCGCGGACACGGCAGCTTCGCTACCCGTGGCAGCAAGCTGCACGCTCCCAACCTCAAGATAGCCGAAATGCGGGGTGGTCTCGGTCCCGTTGCGAACAAACACCAGCTCGATCTCGGTCAAGATGAAGCCGTACCGGCACCCGTGCTCGCGCATGACGTGGTGCAAGTGCGCGAGGCCGCGCAGATACTCGACCCGCTTGATGTTTCCCTCGACGCGCATGCCCGTGTTGAAGCGGTCAAAGGACTTGACGAGCCCGACGACGCGCGCGGTGGGCTTGCCGCCAAAGATGGCGGCTACGCTGTTGGTGGCGGATTCGCCGGCGACGTTGGCGATGAACATGTTGTCCGTTGCTGCTGCGGATGCGGAGGAAGCACCGGTGGCGACGGCGGCCATGGGGCTCTTGGAGGGAACGGAGAGCTGGAGAGGGCGCTGCGAGCAGAGGGCCAGGGCGGCGTTGAGCTTGGGGAGGTAGTGAGCCGAGTAGATAGAGTGCAGCGCGGCTTCGGTCTCGGGGTGGCGGTGGTGGGGAGAAGAGGCCGTGGGGAGGAGGGCCTGCGAGATGGGCACCGAGAGGCAGGCGGAGGCGCCGGGGATGGAGAGGATGGAGGCCGCAGTGAAGTTGGTCCAGGGGCGAACTTGTCGGACGTCCCACCAGAAGTGCTTGGTGTGGGGATCCCGAAGCGGGAAGGAGATGGTGCGAACGAGCGACGGAGCCGGGTTCGACGAGGTGAGGTAGGATAGGAGGGTCGTCGAGGGCGTCATGTCGGGGGTGATGGGAGCGGCGGCAGCGAGCGGCGAAGGTGCGCGCGGCGCATATGGCTGGTACATGAAAGACTCGGGCTGGGGGAATTGGGCCTGGGGCTGCGGCGTAGGCGACGGGCTGAGGCTGGCCCGAGTCTGGGATGGCACGTAGGTCGGCATTTGGCGGTAGGTGGGATAGCCATATCTCTCGATGGTGACGTGGTCTAGACTGCACAAGGACGCCCGGCGAGAGTGAGGTACCGATGAAGGCTCGGCAACATAGTTGATGGGAGCGAAGACGATGCCGCTGTTATCCTCCGTGAAGGGGAGAGGAGTCGCGAAGGAGATGGCATCTGGGTTGGTGTAGCTGCGCTGATGTACAGGTCGGAAGCTGTCCGTATTGGCCCGGGCCCGGGAGATCCTTGGGCCCGGCATAGTCCGAGCACGCTTGGGAGCCGGAGCAGCAACGGCGGACGGATCGATGGACTGGTCCTGGCTGCGAATCTTTGGGAGGAGAAGAGGTCCATGAGTACGGATGGGTGACCGGCTCCGGACCGGTGTTGTCCTCCGTGTGCTTGTTGCGCTCACTGACTCTGAGGGAGAAGACTCAAAGGAGGAGTAGACCGATGAGCTATGGGAGACGGAGCGAACATGGCTAGGGTTGAAGTTGATCTCAAGGAGAGAAGGGTCGAAAGAAAAGCTTGGCGGAGTGACCGGAAGTTCACACGATGGGAATGTGAATTCGTAAGGGATACCTGTTGCCAGACTATGTCCAAACAACTGTTAGCTGTGAAGTTGATGGTAGTCTGGGCTAGTGTAAACAACTTACGTAGACATTTTGAAGCTTGTGTAGTTGAAGGAGCGGATTACAAGATTAGTTTGGAAAACAAGGATAGGAAGGAGACCCGCTCCGATGGTGATTCTAAATTGTATGAGAGTGGAGGTGAAAAGGAAGGAAGGGATCGTATGTATGGTCTTGGCCCGGACACTTGAGACTCTAGATGCCTGAAGAGAGGAGGTTGTTTGGACATGAAGCAAGAAGGGGCAACAAGAGGAGGGAAACAAGGTTATACTTATCCTCATGCTCAGATGGATAACTCGAGATCATAGGCCATGGAGGGCCGGAGAGTATGGACCCATGAACGCACCAGCAGAGGACTGGACGATGGATGCGCATTGCCGGCGCGAGAAGCATGGGCATAGGAATACTAGCGTTAAGCGTGGGCCGCGGTCGCGAAAACCACATGAGAGACATGCTCGGAGACACAGGCGTGTAAGCTGTGCTCACAAAGGTACGTATCTCTTGTGAATACTTTTTAGTGAGTCCTACCCCTGGTGGAGAGGTCCAAGAGGGATTGCCGGAAAGAGGAAGAGAAGAGAAGAGCAACTTGCAGCCTCCAGTGCTACCTTGGCTACGTTGTTACCCTTTGCCCTTGTCGCGACCCTAGTCTTTGGTGGTTAGCAGCTTGGCAGTCGGGTTTAAGGCTGGAACCCATGGACGACTCTGATTGCTCAGATATCCAAATAAATCTGAAACGCGGAGATCTATGGCGCTCGTCGAGACCCAGGGTCATGTCACTCGACGATTTATTTGGATAGTTGCGAAATGGGTTCGTAATTGACGGATAGAATAGCCGCCATTGTGGTTGTCGGTTTCTGGAGACATGATGCTTTGAGGTCGACGTCAAAAGGTAAACACAGGTTGGAAACACCATTCAGGAGAGGAATGATAGGGTATGTAGACTGATGAGATACCGATAATCTTGAATCTCACTTACATGCATCAACATGTCGGATCGGGGGAGGGAACACAATGGACAAAGAGGACAAAGAAGATGTATCGGCAGTTACACGTTCTCTCGCTCCATTCATTCATTCCATGTGGAAGCTTCCTCAAAACGCTTCATGGCCCAAGCTCCCTCTTTTTTTTCTGGGACTTCACGCAAAGAAGAGCCCTTTTCCCTTCTGGGAAGCCCTAGACGTGTAGTTCTGAGAAGTCGAAGGTAGATGGGCATCTCAGCAACACCATTGGCTCAAAATCCCATGTCGGTGCAAGCCGCCATGCAGGCGTCTATGAGTCATATTTAGACACATGGTCCCGCCTACAGCGTAGCACTGTTACCCGTCAAGGGTCATTTGTACTTGATCCAGCACTCGCCAGTAGCAACGGTACTTTCAGAAGCTCTTTCGAGATCTTGGGCCCAGGCGCCAGCCGCGGGACGACGTGGGAACCGAACCAGACAGACGGCAAATGGCAGATGGCAGCAAGAGCGGGCCAGGGACGGAACTTGTTCTGTTGGAGCGTGTGTTTGGGGTCAATATCGGGATACATAGGATATGGCGCAAACTGACAGACAAGTGAGAACAGGGCGGAACCGAATGGGGGGTCGATCATGCTGCCAGATGCCACTTCGACGCGGGGTCATCACGACGGTGCTTCCCGCAGCACATCGCAGCCAGGGCCATTGAGTCGAGCCACGACACGTCTGATGGAGCAAGGCTTCGAACCCATCGCGTCTTTTTCTCGCAACACCACCCGGACACCACCACCGCACCACCATCACCTCAAAAGACATTTACCCCGCGGCGACAAAGGCATGCTAGGCCGTTGAGCAGGACTGTTGCTGAACGGACCCATCCACAGAGTCGAAAAGCCAAACGGAAGGCTGCCACGGCTCGACTATACTATAGAGGGTCAGGCACGGATGCAAGGCCAGCTCTTTCACTTTCACTGAATCCAGAACGTCCGAGAAAAGTGTTCTGATACGACAGCTGGAAAGGCATTCGCCTCCCCGTTATCTCAGTGATAGTGATAGCTCGCAATATCCATACATACTGCATTGCATACCAGGCCGACACTAACAAAAAAAGTAAGGCGGGTTGGGCACCCATCCTCTCCATCCTTTCGTTCGACATTTCGGCTATCCGGAGTTTGGGCGTGCTCGTTGATGTCTCCCTCGCATCATGTTTCTGCTCAAGACTCCAGAGCAGCTCCACGATTGCTCCCCGCTACCAGTCGCATCTCTTCTCTGCACAGAGGAAATGCAGTGCTAGGAGAAACCTCCGACCCTATGACGGCCCTATTTTAGGTGGACCCATTGACTGCTTAGCTTTTCTCAGACCTTCAACTTTGAGAAAGGGAGAGAGAGAGAGAGAGGGGCAGAGGTTCGGTCGAGAGTCTGAAGGGTTCCAAGATGCGAGCGGTTACTGAAATTGCTTTGTCTTACGACCGACCGCCGAAGCTAAACAAGGTAGGGATCGAGCAGGTACGGCGTCGTTCAGAAGGGGTTGGAAGATTGCAAGCACGAATTTCTTGCCGGACCGAAACTACCTAAGCGCCAGGAAGTAGAGAAGATCAAAGATGACCTATGTCTAGCTGACGACCGTAGTATGAAGCGCGCACCCGAAGGCGCTTGCACATGGAATGTCGCTTGCGCTTCAATTACCTAACTTGTTAAGAAAACGTGCGCAGTTGTAGCGTAGGACACTAACACAGCGAGCGGGTCGGGTTAATCAAACAGCCGCCCAATCGTGCCGGCGCCGTGCTTAGGTAACTTCCTAGGGTCTTTAGGTAGGCATGACCCTGAACATGCGTTAACATCAGCGGCGGCTGGGCGGTTACGGAAATTGTTAGAGGCCGGTTTTGCCAGCCCAGCCCCAATCCGATATCCGGAGCTCTCCTGTTCATCATCTGCTTCATTCTCCTTCCTTACTTTGAAGAAAAGGTTTGGCAATGACCGTAAAGGTCGGCAGTTGCACAGCCTCATTACGAGGTTTGTAGGCGCTTAGAATTTCAGAGTCTCACATATCAAGGGAGGATAGGTGGGATCTTCGGATCGGAAACCCACAGCGTCATCAATTTTAAGCGCCCTCCAAACGGCGATGAATGTTCACTCCGGTCGTAGTGTACTACTCCAAGAGGGCGGCCCGGTCAAGAGGTGAATATTTTCTTTGAAAGTTTTAGCGAGCCAGATCGCCGCAAGGTCATAAAATTGTCCCGAGATCGTAACGTCTCAGTAGTAACGTTCCTCGTCCTCATGCGACTATCATACCCCAGGCGTCTTGACATGAAAAGTCTACACTTCATCGTTTCTTGACATTGCCTGCGCAGCACCGAGACCACGGGGACTTTCGGAGTTGGAGTCGTCTCAGTCCGTTTTACCTACGCTAACGTTGCCGGCGGCCCGCGGCCTTTTCCTCCGAACGGGAGCTTTTCAACATTGACGACGATTCTTGCAGTTTGTTCTCCAATTTTCATGCAACACCAGAACGCCGATCTGCAACTTTGCTGTTGTGCTGTCAGTCGAGCATTTCTGTCCTTTTTTTCTTTCACTTTCGAGTCTTTTTACCCCCCCTGTCTTTGCGTGCCGCATGGCAGCCCGACCAATTCCACAAGGGTCCGATTCAACCCTGCATCGCTGTGTGGCCAATCAGATCACTTAAAGCCGACTTATACACCACCATGCCATTACCTTTTCGGACATGGGGCAAGTTTACCCGTCGATTGGACGGCATGGAACCTATCAATATGTGTGGATGATATCAATATATGCTGTATGGAATGGCAGATAACCAAAAGACTGGAAGTTGTCTAGAATCCTTCCTACCGACTCTTGCTTTTCCTTTTTACTCAGGCTCTGGAATAAGAAAAAAAAGCGGGGAAGGAAAGCCTAGAAGGAAAGAAACAGCGGGAGGGAGGAAATGAGAGAGAAAAGAAGGAAAAATCCACAGTCCACAGCACATACGCACTAAAACATGCAGAACACTACACTATATGGACACTAAGACTAACAACGCAAGCTGCTACCTAGGGCATCTCGACTAATGCTAGGTGAAGTGTCAAACTCCGACTGAACGAGGTATCCAGTCGCATCCGATTAAACATGTGGTGCCATTGTCCATCCCGGGTACCAGACCTTTGGCAGTTTCTTCATTTTTTCCCGTTCTTTTCCCACTCTTTTTTTTTTTTTTTTTTTTCACTTTTTCGGGTTGACAGATGTTTCATGGTTTCATGTGGTAGTGGGAGAAACATGAAACAACGGCTTTCTGCAAGGCATACTCCATTTCTGTTGAGGTTCTGACCATCCATCGCTTCGTGATCCCCCGTGGCCAGTGTCGTGGTGCGGGGGAAGAGTTGGTGGAAAAAAGCACGTCAAGTCACGCACATACATGTGAATATGGGTTGAACGTGAATCATGTGAAGGGGAGAAAAAAAAAAAAAAAGAGGAAAAAGAAACTCCGTTATCTGCCGACATGGCATGATGTGATATGCTTTGTCCTTGTGTTGACAACGTCTAGAAAGGTCCAATCTGATCCCAACAAGGCATTTTACATCGAGAGATGGATGGTTGTGATCTTTCAAGTTCAAACCCGTGGATGCCAGTGGATGACTAATGCAGGTCATATCGCGGAATATCAGACAACTGACGAGATGAACTTGTATAGTTCTCATCTACAACTTGAAACTGCTGAAAACGCCTTCTCCAGTGGAAAGGTTGAAAGAAGGGTCGCATACCCGTCTTCCCGGAGCGGACTCTTTATGATAGCATGATTCCATGTCAGTCACTCCTCACTCCCCCTCCTTCCAACTACCTATGGGGACCCAATAATCCGAAGTGATTGGCTATAGGTACATAGTACTACATATCCTTCTTTATTTTTCCACGCCAGAAAAGGAACAAAGATAGAGGAACAATGGCCCCCCCTCCCATTCTTGAACCACGTGCGCACCAAGAAAACATGAAACACCATCATGTTCTTTTCTCTCCCGCTTTTCCGAGCGGATACATACTTCTGTATGTAGTACAAAGACATCCAAACTGGGTCTCAACAATAGGCTTTGTTTGAGGTCTCCCATTCTCCTCCGGCTTTCGGTCACAACATACCTAATTATGCAATGACTGACTGACCAAGCCCTACGTACGCTACGGCTCAACATCTACCCGGGATCCGTAATCCGGCCAGTTTCGTTCGTTGCTCATCATATGGGCCATGCCATGCCATGCCATGCTACACGTCCATCTCATCTCCAGAGAAGGAAGGCCAAGCACAGCCTCACCCCAGCCAGGCCCATTCTGCCGACCTGACCTGGACCTGGACCTGGACCTGACCGGATATTGTAGCCTGTTACCTATGCATCCAAGAATCTCATTTCGTTGCTCATCCTGTGTACATACATTACATAGTAGTACCCTTATCTTGTAACTTATAGGGCGGCGGCGGCTAATTATCTTGCTTCATTATTGTTGTTTGATC